TTACAAATTACTATAAATTATCAAACATTAGAAATGCTCTTCTGAACAATATTTTTGATATATGGCTCTTTTGCACTGATAGTGCGATTTGTACTGAATACTAATTACTTGGTAATACTAATTACTTGATATTAGGTACGCAATAAATAATAATTAAAACAATATCAATTAATTTACCGTTATTATTATTAACGTCCGTTTCGTGCGTAACGCAAAATAAAACAAATGAAATCATATTATATATATATAATAATATCATATCATGACATTGATTTAATATAGAATCCATAATAATATAAAGTGAAATTTAACATTTTGTAAATGCACAAAACATTATATTTATAAGAATATAAAAAATAACATGGCTTATTTTACATTTATTTCAATTAATCTAACATCAACAATTAAGTCATACTTATTGGTTATTAAATAATATAAGTGTACTGAACACATGACGTTTACATTAACATTAACACGTTAACAATTTTATCTTATGATTTAGCAATATAATGTAAACGTACATCAAGATATTGCTTACAAATTAATGACACTAAATTTAATTTGATTTTCTTGAAAACCATCATTTAAACCAGCGGTTCCCAACCCATTGGCCGCGAGCAAGTGGTACTGGAGCATGAACCATATTATATTAACATTACTTACATATATTTTTAATTGTCGTTTGACATAAAATATATATATATATATATATATATGTATAACATACACTAGCGTGAAGGTGCTTAGTGTCGCATAGCAAGAACTCGTCTATTTGTCCATGTTTCCGGGTCCCTTATATATCCGATGGACGCTAGTGTGTGTATGTGAAAATTAGTGATAATTAAAAATAGTTAAAAAATGATAATTCTTATTGATTTTGTGTGTAGGATGGCCTATAATCATTAATTTGTTTTTTTGTTCGAATTTTATGTAGGTATGACGTTTGTGTGATAATGTGTATACTTTAATTTATCCAATTATTATATATGCATATAAGTAATGCAGGGTGATTACGGTATTATTGTTATCTAAGTACGTGGGACGTGACACCTCCCCATCTAAAAATGTATTTGTGTTTGTAGAACAGAAGTCAATTCTCTACAGTTACAATTTTACAATTAATTCACAAGTTACAAATGTTATATGTTTACAATATTACCAGACTTAGAATTTTACAATAATTTATAAATATGATATAATAAAATAATAATAATAATATGATTCCACGATACAGATATTTTCGATGGTTCACGGACGTTTTGCCCCTGTCGTTTTTTTCCCGTCAAAAAAACGAGTCCACGGATGTTTCGTCCCCGTATATTATTAAAATAGGACATTTGGCTCCAGGGAGTTGTATAGATTTATTTATATCTACCCATAGGATGTTTGGCCCCTGGTTAGGTTATGTTATTTTGTTCTAAATTAATTGATTCAAAAAAATAATAAGTAAACTAATAAGTAAGTAAACTAACAACAATTTTACGAACACCTTTTTACCCTTATGACATATCGATAGATATTAATCTTAATCGAAGATCTTCTTATCGACAAATAATATTGCTCGACTATTATTTATTTGTCAGTGGAAAAATGTTTAACTTTTTCTATTTGTATTGTTAAGACTAAATAATATTTTATACCTGCCCTGGATACTATAATAGTATATTACACAGAGCACACTACACAGTACTAGTTGATCAGTGTAATTGTGTCCATGTCAATGAATTATGGACTTTGTTAACCACAAAAAAAATGAAATTATAAATTTGCCAAAAAAAAATCATTACGAAGATAAAATAAAACAAAATTGTATTGAATTTAAATGTAGTAATGATAATATTTTATATTTTTTGAAAAGAATAAGTGATCTAATATAAATAATTGTGTACAGGGTCGGACTGGCCCGGACCGCAGGTCCGCGATCGAGGACTGGGGTCCCGACTGGTTTGGGCCCCCACACTTCATGTTCAATGTTCATATTTTAAAATTTTATATGGTATAACTATTTAATTAATTTAACTGTATTTAGTCATGTCTTAACAAAAAAGGTTAGGTTTTATTGATTCATACAATGATTGAAAAACATGTCATAAGTGTTTACGGTGTGCCTTCAATGTGTTCCATAATATAGTTCAACACTCTGGTTGTTTTAACAATATTAAGTATATAAATTTATATTGATGTTGCCGTGTACCCAAACTACTTGTGAAAGAACATTTTCAAAATTAAAAAATATCAAAACAAAATTAAGGTCAACTATTTTTCAAAAAATAATAGAAGCATTGCTATTAACGAATATTAAAAGAGATTTTTTTAAATTAATACTGAATATGTAATCAATAATGTTGGAAAGAGTTCTAATGAACTTTCAAAACTATTTGTTTAAAGTTGTTATGAAAAAAAATTATAATTTTAAATGTTAAATTATTTATTTATTTAATGTAATAAGTATAGATGTATTGTAATAAATTTAAGTCTCATATTCATATTTGCAAAGGTCAAACAAATTGTTATCAATTATTCTATAGTATATAACACAATATGTATTATTTAGCATGTGAATGAAATATTAAACTGTTATCTTTAATGTTCATCAATTACCATTATAACATGTTTTTCTATAGGTAAAAGTTTTTTAGTATAGTCTAAACCAGTGGTGAATCTGAAGCTTGTTTAAGGAGGGTACAAATAGGAATATTTTATACATACATATATAGCAATGTTTACAGCTGTATACTCATATCAAATATATGTGTAATAAAAAAAATCAGAAGTGGGGGGGGGGGTGATTGTCAAGTCCTCTCCAACATAAGCCTTTAGGGCCCTTTGATCAGATTGCGGATTGGGCTTTATGACGCCAGTCCGACCCTGATTGTTTATAAGTAGAGTAAGGATTTTAAAGCAATAAAAAACTAAAATAAAGCACTAAAAAAAAGCAATAAAACTGTCTAAATCTTCCAAAAAAACTTTAAAAAAAGCATTAAAAATAGGTTTTTAAAAAAAATTTATCACAAAAAAAGTATTAAAATTATTTAAAAAAAAAGGTATTATAATAAACTTATTAACAACCCTGCTTCTCCGAGTTTTCATTCTTCCACAATTATTAATCTGTAAATTGAATTTATTCTATTTAAGATAATTTATAAAAAATAAATTAAATAATAGTTATTAAATGATTTTTTTTACCTATATCATCGGAGTTGCATTGGACAATCAAAACTTTTTTCAAGTTTTCAAATAAAAATTTTCTACGACGATCGGACAATATATGCTTGTATTTTGAAAAGCTATGTTCGACGTCAACAGATGTAATAGGAGCAAATTTGTAATGGATTAAATCATCACATGTTAAGTCTTCAGGAAGTTCCTCTCTTGATACTTTTTCGCCTTTTAGAATATTTGATATTATGGTAAGAATTTTAAATCCCGAATTTTTGTTTAGTACATCATCAAGTTTTTTTGTAACCGTTTCTCCCGTTTTTTCCAAAGCTTGTTTAATTTGTTGTTTAACCTTTTCTATGCAACATACGGATTCTAATAATAGCATCCCAGATGTTTCTAAACGTGTAATTTCAGTAGCCAAAAATCCAAAATTACTTTTTATGTAGATTAAATTTTCTTCAATTTCTGGGTTTTCGACTAATTTTTTAGCGTTTTTAATAGCCAGTGCATCATCTGAGTCCAATTGAAGTATAACATTTTTGATATGTAAAAAATGTTCACAATAATAGTTTACGGCATTTAACCAAGTGCCCCAACGAGTAATAATTGGTTCTGGAGGTAGAGGAATACCCGGAGCCAAATTCTTAAGCAAATTTATACGGTATGGAGCTTTTAAAAAAACTTTTTTAATATTTGATATTAAACTATTAATTTCTGGAAAATTTATTCTGATCTGTTCTGCCGCTCTGTGTAGGCCATGTGCCAAACAAGTTATATGCACCATTTCTGAGTAAAGAACTTGTAAAGATTTTCCTGATTTTACCATATATGGTGCTGCATCCGACACAAAAAGTAAAACGTTGTCATGAAGTATGCCTTCAGGCCATAATATAAAAAGAGATCTGTCAAATAATTTAGATATAGTAGAGTGGTTGGCTTTTTCTAACATCTCTGAGTTAAGTAAGAATATTTTTCCAGGATTGTCTACTTCCAATGTACCAATTATAACATTGGCTACATATCGCCCCTCAACGTCAGTAGTCTCATCTATTGACACCCATACATTTTTGTTCCTGACGTAATCTCTAATTTTAATAATAGTATTTGTATAGCATTGATCTATATAGTTTTTTCGAAGCGTAGACTCGTCAGGAATAATTTGTTTTGTATGTTTATGCAGAAAATCGCGAAATGTTGGTATATTTAATTTAGTGAGAGGGATATTTGCGGACAAAAAAACATTACACAGTTCTTCGTTGAATGATGACTTCATTGACATACCTGTGACTAGAAGCTGAGATTTTGGTTTTTCTTGTTGATTTCTAATATTTAGCTGCTGGATATGTTTACCTCTAGCGATATGTTGTTGAATATTATATTTTTTTTCGGCAGATACTTTAACACCACATACTTTGCAAAAAAGTACAGCATTGTCACGAGAAAAAATGTCTTCACAAAATTCTTTTACAAAATTGCGAAGACGAGCACTACAATTAATAATTTTTGGCATTTTGTAAGTGACTATCGGTAAGAATAACGAACTATACGGTGTTGCAACGAAAAATAAACTCTAATTCTGAGTAAATAATTTCCAGAGCAAAAGCATATTTTTGTGTTTATTGTCGTTTCAAGATAAAATAATCTACTATATTCAATAAGCTATATACGTATCTAAATTACATCGATAAACATACCCATAAATCAAACATAACGAGATAAAATCGATAGCCATATACAATATACGATATTGGAAAACATTATTTTACAATAAAATAAAAATTAAAAAATACGTTTCAAATACGTTTATTTAGAACATATTTTTAAAAATGTACCAAAAATGCCCAAAAAAGCATAAATATTAAAAAAACGCAAAAAAAGCAAAAAAAAAGCAAAATAAAATGTCGTGCATAGCAGTATAGCAGTATAAATCGAATTTGTAGCTGACATAGCTTCGTTTTAGAGCAATAGAAAAAAAAGGCAAATGCCTTCAAAATCCGTACTCTATTTATAAATAAATCTATATAATTCCTGGGAGCCAAATGTCCTATCTTAATAATAGGGAGGGATGAAACGTCCGCGAACTATTTTTGATTATAATTGTTTCTTTTTTTTTTAACATACTGTATACAATATATAAATGTGATTACAATCTTAAGGCTATTATTTCCATAGTAGAAAATATTACAATAATAATTTAGATTAATTAATTAAGTAGTATTACATTTATTGTTGATTAATCATTTTTTTTTTTTTAGTAAATATTTATTTTAATCAATTTTAGAAAACCAAAAGTTAATGCAAGTTTAATTATTCTAAATTAATTACTCATAAAAATTTACTGTTTCGAAATGTGGGTTAATTTAATAATCTAAGAAACTCTATTGCATCACCAGTTGATGAACTTAATGTTTGAGCTGCTATTTTCACTTGCATGATATTCTTCTTTCAGTCTATGTGAGTAGATGTCAATTTATTAGCTAAATTAAATCCTATGTTCTCTTGACCTATTTTTATTAAAATAATTTTAAATTTAAATTATTATTTTTATATTAAAAATTTACTTTGGACATACCTTAATTAGATAATAAGTGACTAATCAATTATTCCATCAACATTTACATTTTTAGCATCAACAGAAGAAGTCCAATTGCTATGTCCAGATTATGTATGTGGTACGCTTAATATTGTTCTGTAATAGAAATGTTAATATTCATAATTTATTAATAATATACTTAAATATATATATTATATATTTATTTACTATAATATATATCATACACAAGTATAAGAATTGTTAGTTTGATTTTACAATCATATACTAACACTCCATAACAACTATTATTATTATTTATCTATTATATTACTATTATATATTATATTATTTATTATTTGTTAAAAAAAAGAGGAATAATTCACATACATACAATTAATATACTTAAGTGTAATTACTGGTAAAAATTATAAACTTTAGGAGAAAGCAAATTCTTTCATTTCTTTGGAGTAGAGTCAACCAAAGCTTTTATTAATATTTTTAAGTTCATTATTAAATAAATCTAATATAGACTCTACCAAAAAAAGTTATTGAAACACAAAAAGCATTCTAAAATAATTAAAATTAATACATAAGGTAATAATTTCAATTTAAAAATACATACCACTAAAATTATTTTCAATCAATCTTTCAGATTCAACTTCAATTAAGCCTTGGTCGTATAAATTATTCAAAATATCGTTAAATTACAAAGTTTCTTATATTTCATTTTAAGCTTTTGCTGTAATATATATATATTTAACTCTATTTCATTTGTGTAGCAATTTATAGTTTATACTCCGACATCTAGTAGCCTGTGACTCGATATCAAATGTAAGATTATCAGTTTCAGGAAGAGCATCTTAAAAATGTAATTGTTTTAATAAATAATAATAAAATATAAAATAGTTCAAATACATACCATCAATAAAAACACTACTTATTCTTATGCCAGGGTTTTTTTTTTTTTTGGTTTTGTAATTATTTGGTAATATGAAGGAAATGCAAAAATATGGATGGAATAGCATTCACTCTTCAAAGTGGTCTACTAGCATTGAAATGGATTTGGTAGTCATTAATGGTAAAATTAGCACGGCAAATTCTGCTATATTGTGATGATTTGAATTTTTTTTTGTTTTATCTTCTATCCAGGGCCGTATCTGGGGGGGGGGGGTGTCCAGGGTGTTTGGACCTTCCCAAATTTCTTCAATATTTTACAAATGTTTAAAATAATTATTTATTTTTAAAACCAACATAAAAATATCAGTCACAAATGATTTAAGCTACAATTAATCATTGACTGTTTTTAGTTTTATATCATAATATCATAAGTAAATACATTTCATATTTGTATAATGTAAGGTGACAAGATATCAAAGTAATTTTGTTTGTTTGATTTTATTATATTTTAATAAAAGAAGATTAAATCTTTTTCTGTCCTATTTTTAATCAAATATCAATAATCAAAATCTAAATTCAATAAAATTACAATATACATGTTTTGGACCGCCCCCGAAAAAAATTTCTAGATACGGCCTTGCTTCTATCCACTTTTCCATAAATTTCTCGTTGGAACTTGGAAATCTATTATTACGATGAATAATAATAATTCTATAAAAATGGTAATAAATTGCAATGTTACGTTTGATTCTAGTTGGACATTGATATATAGAACTATGTACTTACTCAAAAAAATGTGTGGACTGATCAGGTACAAATATAATTTGGCAACCATAAGCAACGAATGTATTTGACATATTTAACAAAGAAATCTACAGACGACATAAACAATTTTCAGTAAAATACAATTTGATATAAAATAATAACATGAAATATGAATAAATGAAAATACGTGAAATCAAAAATATCATAAATTCAGATTGATATTTTACGGCGCATTCGACAGACCGACTCTTGACAGACATTTTCACCTCCGACAAACTAACAACTAACCTAACAAAATTCACCTGGTTAGTAGGAGTGTACCATCTATCATTAGTGGTCTAAACTTTTCTACTGCCACTTTTCACAGTGGATTCATGGAGTAGCAGTAAAAGCGTCTGCTAATAGTACGCAAAGAGCAGTGATTCGAAAATAATGCTGTACTGTTTCAAAATTCATCTCGATAGGAGTTTTGGAACACCTTTTTGGGGCATTGTGTTGTAATAGGTTGGTTAATACATTTGACCGCTATCAACCGCTACAATGTTATCATAATTCATATTATCAATTATCAATACGATAAGATTGTCGATCGTGTATAGTTTTTTTTTTTAAATTTTAATATTTAATAATTAACATTTATTTGAATTATAAGACATATAGGTAATAGTTTATCAAAATTTATTTTGGTGTTTGGTTTAATCCACCTTAAGTGTTTAAATAAATCTTTGGATTGAAAAAAAAAAACTGCTTCTTCGGTATATTTAAAAACATCAAAAGTGCTTATGTTAAAAAGAAATGTTATGTTAATTACTAGCTTGTATGATGATTATTGACTTAAAATATCATTTTAGACTCATAAGAAGTTCCGTTGAAGTAAGCTGATAATTAAATAAAAAATTATATAATAATATTTAATTCTATAATACAAAGTACTATTTTATTATTTACAATATAGATTCTTATGTGTAAGGTGAAAACTTTTTATAATTCACTAAATTCTCTAATTGAAAGGCCATCAGACTATAAAAAGGCAACATTGATGACTGTATGGTATTTGAGTATTATGGAAACATTACGGTAATTCAATTTGTCTATGTTTTATTTTAGAACAATTAATCTGTTTTTAACTATGTATCACAAGGTTAAATTTGTATTTATGTTTAGTCAAATTGGAGATAGTTTTGATTTAAGCAGAGGTCTTGCCTTTCGAACAATTCATAAGTTTATTCGAGTTCTTTCAAAACTACTTAATGATTTTATTTTATGGCTCAAAGGGAGTTCTATAACCGGTATGTAAACTATTTTAATCATTATAATTATTTAAATTTCATTATACTTTTGTGTACATTTAGCAACATTAAAAGATTTTAGAAGTTTGAGCTTTGATTATATGCCTAACACAAAGCTGCCTCTCCCACGGGATGAATTTTTCTCCTATAGTTTTAAAAAAATATTATAATTTAACTTTTTATAATAAATAGGGCTCGGATTTTAAAGCATGATAAATAACAAAAAAGCAAAAAATTCTCTTAAAAAAGTAAAAAAAATAGCATGATCAAATATTAACATGAATCGGTTATAAAACTAAATAAAAAAAATTAATTAAATTAAAAAAAATAATTAACTACCATGTATATTGTAAGATTTGCAATGGTGAAACTGTCTCTATTATCTGATAGAATGTTTTTTACATAGAAAACGAATGATTTACATCCACTTAAGTTATTGGAACACACTTCATGCTAGAGGTTTTGTTTAAATCTAACCTACGATAATTTATTTTGTTTGATTAAATGCCATCAGCATATTATTAATGTATATTAATTGTTTCCTGCCATTTTTTTTTTCAATAGAACATGATTTAGTTTACCTAAAATTGCAGTTGCAATATCTTCATTATCTTCTTTTAACTTCTTTTCTGCATTGAAGACAATATTTATACATTTTGTCAATGATCTTACTGTCTGCAGATCGATAATCTATAAATTTAATACATTTAACAACTAGGCCGAAATAAAATAAAATAATGCAATTCAACCATTTAATCTGTATTCCTATTTTCAAATTTGTTATTAATTAAATAAAAAAAAAAAAAAATTATTACTTTAGTATAATAAACATATAAAAATTCTATCATATAAAACATACTATACCATCAAATATTTACTGATTGAATAAGTTTGTTTGGTTCTTTAATACCATTATTTAGTCTACTTGATTACAAAATCTTATTTGCATTATTCAACTTTAACTGTTAATAAATAGTTTCTAATAGAATTTACTCAAGGAAATGGTAGTATTTTATTGTCTCTTAAAAAGCAATAGCCACTTGGAGATCTGAAAAATATAAAATTGTATACAAAATAATTTGTTATTGAAATATGCTTATTATGATGTTAGATACTGTATTTAAAACAATTAACACAAGCCAATTTTCACTATACTTTATTATCTATTTACGTATACCTATTTTTAGGACTTGCTTTAGATGCATTAAATATTTCATATATCAACTCAGACATTTTGGTACATTGAATTATTTAATATTGTTTGGAGACTATTGTATGAAATATCTTTAATTTATTTGTATATCATTTAAATTTTGTTGAAATCTGTTCATTCTCATTACTGTTCTAGAATACTTCTTTTTTACTAAATCTTAAGTTTTAAATTTTTTGTAATGTTTTTTTTTTTATTTAGATAAAAATATATTTTTGAATTTTGTTAAGCTTTTTGATTTTTAATGGTATTCATTAATTTTTTACACCATAAACAAATTTGTCACTATTACAACAAAATAATTAACATTTCATTAATTTTTAATTAATATAAATCAAATAATCATACACTAAAAATCAATTAAGTACCTTGAATTGTTTTCAACTATACTTGTACATTTTAAATGTCTCCACTTTCTAAAAGATTTTACAAATCGTGACCCAAATTTTGATTTAATATCTAAATATTTATTTATAAAACCTGATCCCTAGCAAATTTAGTATAATGGAACAATTGAATGACATTTTCCAAGTCTTAAATGCAATTAAGTTTAAAATTAGTTTGTACACCAATATCTTTTTTATAATGACTTTCTCATTTACACGAAGAATAATTATTAAATCTGTTTTATAAAATTTAGTATCAAATTTTATTCTTTCAAATTTATTACCTATCTTTATAATTATATATATTATAAAATTTTAAAAATTCAAAAAGTATTTAAGTGATTTTTACCTTTAGTTAAAACAAGTTCCTTATAGATATCAAAAAAACTATCATTAAAGTGGCTAAGTTTATGAAAACACATTAGATGTTCATTCAAGTGATAACATGTATCATATTGTTATGTATCATACATAAACTTGTTACTGTAACTTAATGTTCCAAAAAAAATGGACATAATGTAAACGGTGGACTAGTTAATGGATGGTTAAACGAAATGAATACTGTATTCGCATAAGTATTTTAAATGAAAGTGTTATGATGGACTCAACCGTAACGGCACACAACAAAAGTGTCTGATCCAAAAGGTCTTCAAAACTATTTTTGCGAATTATGCGATCGTAAATATTTCGCGACCTGTGTTTTAACCATTGTCGTTTATTGCTGTGACACCAACACGCTTAAGAAGTGTCATTGTTCGCCTAGCACTATGACTTACATTCATCATTAGTGATACGGTCAACCGCGAAACTATAATAATAATAATTAACTATATTATAGATGAAAACGTCGTAGTGCACGTGCCCGTTTCAAAAAAGTCCGCGTTATGTTTGGCCGACAACCGCTCGGTAACCAGCAAATTAACCGGTAACGCGGTTCGCGTGCGCGTTGTTTGGTTGACGATGGGACGACGCTACGACGCCTCCGCCGGGATCGCAACTACACCCAGTTAGGGATAGGGTATCGACAGTATGTCAACGACCCCCCACACTCGACCATTACTGGGCATTCCGACATTCCATCTGTAACACGACAGTGTCCGTTGATTCGAAACCTAACCAACGTTCTACTGTTGCAGCAAGTGTACGTAAGACGTCGTACCATTCGTTCATCTGACGATCCTTTTCACATACGCACAAACCGTTCGGTAAGTACGGATGTACAAATATACGTAATATATTATGTGTGCGTTGCCATTTCCTAAACTTAACAATGGACCATAGCCCATCCGGTCCCATTCCTGCAGTCAGATCTTGGCGGGACAACCCCTTCTACCCCGCTCTTCCCGATCCCGAAGGAGAGCCTAACAATGAAGAATGAATTTAAAACGAACGACATTCAATATAAATCCAAGTCAGGCTTTGTAATTGTGTACCTATTACTCATTGTAGCTATTATCTGTACCTTTTTGGCAAAGAACAGTAGTCGAGTAAAAAGATAGTACGATTTTTGTAATTTTTTTGATAAAATAAATAATAATAATGCAAGTGTAAGCATATTTACTGCTTAAATAGAAGCTATAATTCAATATTTTCATATTAAAATTATTTATAATCATAATTTAAGTTACTAAAGTTTAGAAAGTAATGAATTTGTAAATCTATCGATAACTTTTTAACTTGTAATAATTGAAACAATAGATAATTTACAAAATTAAATTACAGTTAATAAAGTGAAGTTGTAAATGTTTTAAATTCTTAATTAAAAATCTTCAAGTAAAACTAAAAAACATACACACTGCTTGTCAAGGACGTACTCAAGGGGGGGGGTTCGAGTCCGGACCCCCCATTGAAATTTCTACATACTCAACGATTTAATAGTAAATAGTATAATAATAGTATATAGTGTATTTTAATTTCCCATTATCAAATAAAATAAAAATTTTGGACCCCCCCCCCCCAAAAAAAAAATTCCTGGGTACGCTCCTACCGCTTATAAGTATTTGTAGGTTGCATTTATAAGTTTCGCACCACCAGCAATACTTGGTTACTATGGTCCTATTATAATATGAGTATTAGTCGTAGTTTCGACTTTAAGTCTATTATTGCTATTTATTATTAAGCAAACCTTCATTTTATAAAATTATATTTTATTATTCTATTTCAGGAGTTAACTGTTGAATTTTTGATACCACAGTGATCAAAATGGGCATAAATGATAAACCAAATAAATCCAAATTGAAACCATTTGTGATGAGAAAAGTTGAGTATGTATTAGTAGTTGTCAGTGGTGTAGAGATAATATTTTTTATATTAGCTCTATTATATAGCCATAACAATCAGACTTATACACTTCCTTAGATATTTGAGATATAGGCACATATAAAAAAATTGTATGACATATATATTACTCTATTAATATACTATATGTAATAATATAAATTATATAATAATTTCAAAATAAACTTATTTCTCGTAAAGAATTTAACTAAATATAAAGTACATCTTCGTTTTAAATTAATGGTAATTGGTGGGCATTGATTGGTACATCTTAAAATTAATTGGCATTCCACTAAGCTTACCTGCTCGTTTAAACAAAACAATGAGTAGATTAAAAATATTATACTACTTACAAATATCCATATCAGATGATAAAAAAAACAACATTCCGAATAATTTATATCAGGCTTAGAAATCTATATTCTCTTTCTCTTTGTATTTTTATGTATTTATCAAGTGTAATATTATATAAGTGCAGGGGTGCATTTGGAGGGGGGCTATAATATTTTACTATCTTAATATTATTATTTAATTGGGTAAATTGAAACGTTTCATGTTCTTTGTTTATCATTATTCATTACTAATCTTAACATGTTTTGTTCCGAAAAAATATTTTATTCATAAATATTAAATATTTAAATATATAGGTTATCATAATTTTTTTAAATATTATGAAGTCGGCAAAATAATAATCAGTTGCCTGCCCCATCCTTTCAAAAGTTGAAATGACGCCCCTGAATAAGTGTAATGTTAATTACAATAAGCCAATTACAGGATAATGCTATAATATAAAATATTTACTAATATAGAAAATAAGGATGGGATAACTTTTTTATTTCAACACTTCTCACTCGATACATATTTTATTCTAAAATTTGACTTAAAATTACTTACACCTACCTACCATATCAATACTAAGTTAATATAAAGTATTTATGTTCAGGGGCTAAGAGCTTAGTAATCAGTACTTACATCATAGTTGTAACTTTAAAAAATGCAATGGAAACATTATTAAATAATAACTACACACATTTAAATGAGTTTATATTTTGTTGATAGTGTAAATTATTTATTCTGTGAGACTTATTACGAGTTATTAAATATTTTTAGGTATGTTTAGTTTAATTATTAAATAATTTAATTGTTGAAATGTTTAATATAAGTTTTTGGAAGTATGAAAGAAAATATAGTTTAAAGTAAAATTGTTTAATTACGGTATATATTACCACAGTATGATTACCACATGATTCCATAATTTTTTATTAATTTGATTCTACTAACAATTAAATGACTTCGAGATGACTTCTATGAAAAAATATTGTCATTTATACAGGTTTTTTTTTACTATTGTCTAATGGAATTCATGTTGAATTTTAAACTTAAATTAATATAATTTTCTATGATATAAACAGTATATATTTATATATATTACATAATTATATGTTCATATTACAAAAAAAATAAAATGTAATGCTGAAAAATACAAATCACGATTTGATATTAATCCATTTGAAAAAAAATTTAAATGATTTGTTCTGCATAGTATTGGAGCGCTTTCTAGTTATGATATTAGTAGCTGTTATATTTAATAAATAAAGATAATAAAGATCGTAACAAATGGAGAGAAAAGTTAAAAAACGTTGTAAACCAACCTAATACAGGTTAAAAAAATAAATAAATAAATAAATAATTTCTTTCTTTAGCTATGTCAATTTAAAAGTATTTTTATCAGTCAGAAAACGTTTTTATCGTTTTTTAAATCCACATTTGATATATTTAATTAAATTTATTATTTACCTATTATATAGTTATGAACTAGTTTTATCAACGTTCAGTTAAATAATATGTATTAAATTCTATTAGTTGTATTATCTGATTTAAAAGTATTATACAGTATATATGTATAAGGTAGGCAAGTTAATAAAAATAATTAACTTAAGTCAGTGGCGCAACCAGAATTTTTTTAATGAGGGGAGTCCAAAAATATAATTATTTTAAAGTCGCTAGCAAATTTAATTATTATTTTATAGTTTGATTAACGTAAATATTGTAATTATAATGTAAAACTGAATGATAATTAAATATATTATGTAAAAAAAAGGTAAAAGGTATTTACAAGATTATAAATTGAAATCTAAGCAATGTTTTGCATAGCTTAAATGTTTTATTGCTTCTTCAGGAGTTACACTAACTTTGTAGTAGACATTGAGAATAACTCAAATCCATTGAGGCTTTTTTCTGATGTGGAATTTCTTAAATCAATCTTCGAATCAATTATTCAATTTTGCCAAACATTATCATTTTAGAAAGATACGATAGTACCTAAATCATATAACATCAATACAATACTATTTTTAATTTATAGTTTCATTAAAAAAATTTCCAAAAGCAACTTGCATAATAAATAATTATTTATAACTAGTCTTTATATATAATTATATATATATGTAAAATAAAAACCTTTAAATATACATTTTATTTTCATGGTTTATTTTTTAACATTTAAATATTTATTATATTTAAGTAACAAGGTAATTTCAAAAAAATGTTAACTTGATAGATCATATTTAAATCAACTGTGAAGAGCTAAATTATTTCAACTGCCAATTAAACTAGTTAAGTTAAAAAGTTTAAAAAAAAAATTAACTTTTTAACTTAACTTTAATTTTTAAACTAATCAATTTTGATTGCCCACCTTTGCATTTATATTTTTTTTTATAGGGAGATACGAAGAAGAGAAATGGAGGAAAATTCACCAGAGTTCTTTAGGAATCAAATGCAGAGAGTGATTGACAATCCAACTCTTGAAATGTATTATAGTAGTGAATCTGACTCTGATGAATCCGACTCTCAATCCAGCGAAAGCGATAGTGATTATTCCACCTCATCTGGTAGCGATTAATAATATTATTTATTTTATTTTGACATTGATGTATTTTTTTTAAATAAACTTATTCAATTTAATCAAAATTAAACCCTATACAAGAAAGTTTTTTATAAACATGTATTTATTAGTAATCAACCTTTACTACTGTAGTAAAACCTCAATTATCTGGGGTAATTGTGGGGAGGAGTCATATGGATAAATGAAAACCCTAGTTAATTGAGATATTTTAAATAAAATGTCTAGGTTAAATAACCTATGTTAACATAAACATTGGGAAAACGAGAATCTAGCACATCCGTAGAATGGTCTTACGTAACTTGTTTTTTAAATGTAAAAAGAAATAATATTACAGCTTGAATACAGTTGAAAATTTCACGTACGTGAAGTTGGCCCACCCTTTTTCACGGATTAACTTGAAACCTATACCAATATTTTGCGAGAATTTGCGAGTTCATTTTCAAAATTTGTGAGTAAGCCGTTTGCGAGTTATAATTAAAAAACAGAAGGGTGGTCCAACTTCACGTAGCCCCTCCAAGTCGCCCTAGAACTTCAAAACCGATACCAAACGATGCGTCTTTATTTGCGAGAATTCGCGAGTCCATTTTCAAAATTTGCGAGTAAGCCGTTTGCGAGTTATAATTAAAAAACAGAAGAGTGGGCCAACTTCACGTAGCCCCTCCAAGTGGCCCTAGAATTTCAAAATTATTTAATATTTTTAATTTTATTCAAATTATTTCCAATATTATAATTTTCAGATTATGGAATTAAATTATTATTATGGAATCTTAAAAAAATTATTTTATCTGCTAATTCATTTTTACGAAAGGATCAGTGGCGGCTCGTGTGCTCGTGCACCTACCCAAACTCCAAAAATAATTGAAAACATAAACCATAATAATACAATTAAATACCTGTAGTTTTATTAAGATTATTTTTCAAAATTTAAATTCAGAATAGTATGAAAATAATATAATATTTAGATTGGGTTATTCCAAAGGCCACACGAGCAGGCGGTTGTCCGCGACAGAACAGTATCGGTGTGTGTGTGTGTGTGTTATAGCGGTACAGTAGTGCACACTATTGCTGTGCACATTTGTACAATGTAAAAATTAAATCAAGTCAAAACACACAACACGCGTTTTAATGGAATTGATGTGCACATTCATTTCTGTGCACATAACCAATTAAAATGTTTTCAGCGAATTATTTTCGACGTCGCCGCGTCGGTATCGGCATTATGATTTATTTTTACTATCATTTGTTTATTATATTCTGATTATCGACTAATAATGTTAGTCATTATCTTAAATTCAAAACAACAATCGTGTTTCTATTTACTATCGACCACCGACGTAAAAAAAACAAAAAACTTTTAACGTTGTATATATAATATTTTTTATAATTTTTTCGGATGTGCTCTACTTCATTAAAAATCCACGAGCCGCCACTGGGAAGAATATAATTTTAATTCTAAAATTGTGATCAAATTAAAATTACCTATTTCTTACGTATGAATCTTATTTTCCCTTTTTATACATAGCCCACCCATATTGTTGTGATACTTTAAAATGTTTGTCAAATGATAATTCCTAATTCACAAGGATTTTCGAGGGAAGTTTTAACACCCTGAAGTCAATAACTTCTAAAAAAATAATTGGTTTCAGGTATTCATATTATATAACCTTAACAAATTGCAGAAGTGTGTTAGAATAACTAAATATGTATGCCAATGGTTCATTTTGCGTGTCAGTTCTTTCTGGAAAATATAATTATCATTATATTTTGTGGTTTAAGGATTTTCAATTTAATTGATCAACAAAATATATAGGAGCACCAATTTATTAATGGAGAATAATTTATTTTAAACTATGTTATGTGCAATATCTAGTTCTTGTATTAATAACAACTTCAGTTTCTGGTAAAGCTTTTTATTTTAAAAATTGTTTTAAACCTAATTCCTTTTAGCTTAATCTTATATATCTATTAAATTATAAAAATTATAAAATAATTTTAAAAATATACAATAAATTTAAAATGTTATGTTACATTTTTATGTACATTAATATATGTGGCGTTAAACTAATATTTTCTTTTTTTTACTACTGTTATTTTTTTAGTCTGATCATTATGAAGCTCCCATATTTTTGTTTTTGTCCTTTGAATATAGGTAACATAGTGGCTTCCTGATACAAAATTAACAATAACTACAAGTGAGAACCTGTAAAATTAATAAAATTAATTATTTAGTCAAAAAATCATGTATATATAAATATAAATTTTAATATAAAAAAACCCAGGATGCAATTAACACATGTACAAAAAATGTACGGGACGCAATTTTGTATACCTAAAATTACTCGGGACTCAATTTACATCAAAAAGGTACATTGGGACGCAACTTATAGTCACACAGAAAAATTAAACAGAAACAAAATTCCGATTTTATCTCATAAAATATTAGTCGTACATTTTTATAATTAAAAATGCACAAAAATTGATTTAATATTTAAGACATGAAAATTGGATAAAAAATTTTCTTAAGATTTTCTTTGTCATAAAAAAAAAAATTATAACGGAAAGGTGTAAAAAGATTATATTAGCTTCAACAAATGAAATGTTTTCTTCCAGCCATAAAATTATTATTTATTATTATTATTATTATTATTATTATTATTATTATTATTAATTTAATAAATTTAATAAATTATTAAGATATTTAATAAAATTATGTTTCTATTACAAAATAATATCTCAAAAAAAGAAATCAAAATTAAATTTTTGTACAAATACTGCACTCTAATTCACAGTTCATATGGTAAACACAACACTAAAGAGCTAAATGACTAAAATGAACTGTTATTAATTTATATCATACACGAATATATTATAAATATGAGTAAAATACATACTATCGGATATATTTAAATTAAATAAAAATAATTACAATTTATATCCCATGCCATTGTTATCTAACTTATAGATGTTTAAAATAGGAATAGGTAGTATGTTTGCAGTATGCCTTAGTATAAATGAAACAATGATGTTGGAATTTCCAACAATTATTGAACCAATCATATGTTCAAATAAAAAATTGTGAGAAATATCCATCGGTAATTGAACGTCCTAAAGCTACATTACTTATGAAACTACCAACGGTCAAATCCAAGAATTGCAGCAATTTATTAATAAACGTCTTTCCGTGGAGAAACTTGCATGTTTGCACAATAAAAATGCTTTATCAAACTGCACTGGATTTCAGAATATTGAATAGAACATTTCGCCAGTACTTATTTTCATTGAAATTCTGTTTTGGAAAGGTATGATTATCTTTTTAATAACTTAAGTACTTATCGTAGGTCAACATTTTGAATATACATAATATTTTTTCAGGTGAAAACGTTGAACACAGCAATGATGCAGGATATACATTAAATTTAAAACTATGTGATAATCCAAAAGGCATATCTCTTAGTGAAAAGTCGTTTGAACTTCATGGAGTAACACATTTTCACAGAAGGAATAATAATTCAGGAAATTCTGTAGGCCATTACACAACATACGTGAAAAGATGTAATGAACATTGGAAGTTATTTGATGACATAAAAAAAAACCAATACCTGTCAAAGAAACTACTAAGTTTCATGCAAAATAATAATGTATACGATATAAAAACTTGTCAGTAGAATTTTAATTTTTAAGTCAAATTTTTGTATGTAAACTGAATATAAATAATTACAAAAAATTTAAAAATAGAAATATGTAGTAAAAAAGGTGATTTTTCATATTTTTTAATAATTAATACTCTTTTATTATTATGAAACAAGGGAATAAATAAATTGTATATATAATATGTAGTTATGCTTATTGTCATTTAAATTTATGGCACTATTTTTGAAGTGCAATACAACGTTAATGAATCTATAAGAATTGACTGCTGGTTTTCTTCCTGATATCGTTCATAATATCGTTGACGAATTATTATTTTACAGAATTATATTTCTAAAAACTTTCCAAAAGTGAAAACAAAATGAAACATTTACAAAAACACTGCCCCACTTCAAAGATCCAAAAGTAAACACAATATTGAAGAACTCAATGATTGAAATAAACTGTTATTAGTTTATATAATATATGTAATATACAAGTATATTATAAATACGAGTAAAATACATATTATCGGATATTTCTTAAGAAAATAAAAATAACTACTATTTTTATCCACGCTATTGTTATCTAAAAAATATATGTTTAAAATAGAAATAGTGTGTTTGCAATATACCTTTGTATAAATAATAATAATACAATTATGAATATAATGATTTAAGAGATTTTAAACATACAGAATTCTTCCGAAAATATTTTTTATTTTGTTAATATAACACTTTGCTAATTAATAAAAGTGGTAAAATGGTTGTACAAATTCATACAAATTACGTACTAATTATTCGCAAAATAAATTTTTGTAAAACGTGTATTTTTACTGGTGGGAGGGGTTGGAATAACGTTATTCCAGCCCCTCCCGCGAAAAACTAATTTTTCTCGGTGAACGAGCTCCGTACAAATTCTGAAAATGGTCGTACAAATCATACAAATTACGTACTAATTATAAGCACGAAAAAAATCACACATTTCTGGATGGGGGGGGGGGCAGGGTAATGGACGTACAAATTTCCTTAATTCAACCCCTTAAAAACTACCCGGATCGAATCCCCTGAATAACTATGCAATTGACGATTATTAATCGTGCATTTGTAGATAACCTTTTGTGGTTTATCTGCAATAAGTATAAGTATGTGTAATGTATATGTGTTATACCTATAGCGATATAACAACAATTATCTACAATTATTGACAAAAATAAATTTCTACAGTGTTCGTGTAATAACGGTAAAACGTTATCGCAATCGCAATCGTTTTAATAATATGTTATCGTGGACCCAACCGCGGATAAAAAAAAACGCGGATAACGAGGGATTACTGTGCTTAGTAATTAGTGTACATTATTTTTGTGTAGAGAGTAAAAAAAATATTAATCAATTAGAATAAAATAAACAATAATTTTAAAAATAAATATTGAATCTTACCTTTGAATTTGCCATTTTATTTTCAACGCAATATAAAATCAAAGTAATAAAGTAACATCAGTTGCACAACCGCGACATAATAACACGTTAAAACAAATGACGAAAAATAAACAGCTAAAAATCGACCGATTAAATCAAAATAGTTTTTAATAGATAAAACTAAATATAGCTCTTTATTTGGATAACAAATTTAAAATTATATCAAATCATTGTATTATGAAGTGTCTTTAATTGGAAAACCATGAGTCCTCTGGAAGGTTCTATTGTGTTGCTATAGACCATAATTATAATTGAAAGACGTGTCTACAACTAATAAGTCATAAGTTACATACTCGTAAGTCGTAAATCATAATTTTTTAGGTAGGTAAATTTATAATATAATAACAGTGGAAAATGTAAAAATGACCGTTCAAACATATTTAAAATAGTATGATAATTTATTCTTTGTATAGATAAAGGATATTATTATTTTATTTTATAAATTTTAATAAAAAAGTAAAATAACAGGTAGAAACAATGGTTTTTGGTAATTTTTTAGAACTATTCAAAAATCACAGTATATATATAAAATCACCTTTAACCTGTACTATACTCTGGTTAAAAATCTGAGGGTAATAATTTCATTTAGGGAAAATATTTTTATAAACTTAGTTTTAAATAAAAAAAAAAAAATTTTTTTTAAACAATGTTTAAAACTTACGAATAAAATAACAATTAAAAACTGTTTAAAACATAAAAATCATGGTTTTAAACAATTAAAAGGTATTTTATGTTTTTTTTTTTAAAAACTGATTTTTTCGCGACCCTAGCTGTGGTGTCAAGAAATCTTATCTACAACCGGTTATTACTTTGTTTCCTTTGAAAACGGGCAATTGAAATTATAGGGCGTGTTAAGTGAGCTGACTTCACGGTAAGAAAATGGAATTTGCGGGTAAGGGATGAACTCGCAAATTTTGAAAATGAACTCGCAAATTCTTACTAGTAAAGACGCATCGTTTGGTATCAATTTTGAAATTCTCGGGCGACTTGGAGAGGCTAAGTGAAGTTAGCCCAACCTTCTGTTTTTTAAGTATAATTCGCAAACGGCTTACTCGCAAATTCTCGCATAATATTGGTATAGGTTTCAAGTTAATCCGTGAAAAAGGGTGGGCCAACTTCACGTACGTGAAAATTTCAACTTAATAATTCTGATAAAATTGAATTATATACTATCTATTTTCTCTAATGATAATTATTAAATTTAACCTAAAGAAGAAGTAAGTTGTAAGGAAAAACTAAAAATATTCTATTGATTAAAATGTATCATACTGTTTTATACATTTATTTATTTTTAATAATGCTTACTTTATATTTATTTAAAAAATAATTTGCAATTAAGATTTATTCGTGGCTGACCTTATTGAGGCTCATCGCAAAGTTTTATGAGTTATTTATTTTCAAATTTTTTTAGATAAAAAAATATTAAATCAAGCTTTAAAATGCAATTAGTTTTTATACAATCAAAAGGAAGATAATAAAAATACAATAGAATCTTAACCATGTCTCAATGAAACATGTTTGTGACTAATCTAACCATGTTCATTCTTCTGAAAATGTGAATGTACCAAAATTAAAGGTATAAGCAGTATACTGTATATGGGTTAAAGATGATAAATAATATTAATTTGATAAACAATGTGTGGACTATATTATAAATAGATTTATAGAAGAAGTTGATATCCTCTTGAACTTCTATGAGTAGAAACATTTTGATTTCCATGATGTCATGAACTCAAGAAAAATTAGAAGTTAAGTAAGAAAAATAATTTCAAACCGAAAAAACCAGAGACTGATTACTCCAAATGTCAAACCCTAATAATTTTAAAATATAACAATATGTATTAATTTAATACCAAAATTCATAACCAGGGCTCATAACTCATAGCGTTTACATATTTTTTTTTTGAGAGGTCCTAGAAATACCTATGTGAGCTATACATTTGTTTTAGATACATAACTAAGAAGTTAAATACAAAATTTTATGTTGCATATTTCAAAATATAAATACTATTTTGCTTTTTTTAGTCTTTTTCAGTTCTATATCATTCAAAACATTTTTTTCTTAATAATAACAAATAATTATAATAGTATTAATTTTTATATTTGTAATTAATTCATGTTAATTTAACTATAATTCTTCTTTTAGTTTAAATTATATATTTATTTGTATCATATAGCGACGCAATCAAAATTTTAATAATAAAAGTTAAAATTTTTTTTTTATACGTGTTACGTTTTTTTTTTTAATAATAAGTGAAAAATGTGATATTTATTTTTGCATATTTTTGTATTTTTAGTGCATATTTAAGTTCTTATTTTAATACTTTTAAGAGCATATATAGAGCTTATGACTATTTTTTTAGAGCTATAAGTTATGGTTAGTGTGGTTGGTATGGACATGGGTTATTTTTTTCATAAAATAAAGAAACAACGAGAATGAATTCGAAAGCTGTGAATACACACATGACCTCACAGGTCAAATTCAACGTTGAATAATAATTCTGTATAAACTCTGGTGCGGAAATCTATTATGATCCGAATATCTAGTATCTAATAGAGTCGTAGTTATGATTTGGATCTAACCATAATGTTGAATTGTTGAGTGCAAAATGTATTACGGTTCTGTTCTCATCTCCGTTATGATATAATGCGATATTACTATCCATTTTAAGTACAACTTGCAGTCAGGGGTGAATTCTGTGAAGTTGTATCCAAAATGTTTTATACACTAGAAGTGTTGTTAAAAATTGTTTCTAGTATTTTAGAATACTTTTACAAAAAATTTTATGATATATTTTAGTCCTAAGAAAATGTATTTTTTTACGAGTACATATGAAGAATTACATTACAAGATTAATAATGTGTAATACAATTTGACTAAAATAATAATACATAACTAAAAAAATATTCTGAACTGATACGAGTTGATAAAAAAAACAATTATAGTGGCAGTTAAAATGGAACCCATCACCTGTGCAATAGCTCTTTCATCCATTTAACCAAAAGCACTTATTTATTTCCTGATTCCTTATTCAGCCAATAAGGCTGATACACACCTTAGACCAAGATGGAATTAATTTAAAATATACAGGTTTCTATCACAATTCATTGTAATCATTGATTTTATGAGATATAGATACAATTCTTAACACCAACAAAAGTAACTTTAAGAATAAATTTGATCAATTACAGGGCCAAACAGACATTTGACATTGAAAGTAAGTGGTTAAAAAAATATACCTTCCTACAGTAAGAGAAAATATATTTTTATTGGTCATCATAACTAGTCATGACATGGCTCATCAATGCTATTATAAATGTTCTCAAAGAAAATATAGAAAGAAAAAGCTAATGACTACACTTATTTCATTTTTTTTTCTATATAGATTTAAAAACAACAATGTAAAACAAAGCATATTACACATTATATTTTCTCAACAATACAAAAAAAAATATTTTTCTATCTTACAAATTATACTAAGCATAGAATTTGTACTATTTTATAATATCTTGAAAAGAGAAAAAAATATTTAATAACGATTTGGTAATTAAAATATACAAATGGTCCAGTTAAATTCAACAATGTTATTCATAACAATATCATATATAACAATAACTTATTAATACAAACAATTAGAAGTACTCAATACTACACTCATGATCTTGATTGTGTTTCATTAGGTTGAACATCTGTGCACTTTGGCACGTTTCTAAGAATAGTAGTGTTAGGTTTTCTGTACAGTTTGAGCGGACGCTGAAATCCTTTTGACAAGTTTTGGGGCATAGGAAGAGTCTCACAGTTGGCAAAACCCACTTCGTTTAACAAATACTCAGTAAACATCGGAGGTTTTAGTTCAATGTTCTTGTAGTTTCGCCAGATGGTTTCCTGAAATTAAAACACAACAGAAAGTCAGTAAGCATCTTGTTTATTAATTTAAGTTGTAATTGTATTTACTGTTAATGTTTTCCTCCGGCCATAAGATTTCCATGGTTGTGGTTCTACTACAAGTATTCCACCAGGTCGCAATTGTGCATACATACGTTTGAATGCTCGTTTCAATCCTTCATCACCCCAATTCAAGTGCAGCCATTTGGTAATACTCAGACAAAGAATAACGTCAAACTTACACACTTCCATCGAGAGCATGACATCAGATTCTAATACATAATTTCCCTGAAACATATGGGTTATATTAAGTACAAATCAAGTTTGCACTTATGATTCAAATACATTTGGTTCTGATTACTAACCTGCACAAAAGAAACATTGAAGGGAAATCTTCCAAATATCGTCATACCAGGTAAATTGATAGGACCGTACAACATAGGTAAAGATATAGGAAATGATTGGGTTGTATCACAGTTAACATCATTATGACTACGTGAAGCATAATCATTAAATTGGTAATTTGGTGAAAGATGAGAGGAAGACTGCGTTGTGTCATTGATATAATATTGTACATTTTTACGCGCAATATTTATTAATTTACGATCAATGTCCATCCCGACTACTGACTTTGCACCAAAATCTCTGGCGACGCTGAATGTAACATGACCGATATTGCAGCCAATGTCTAATACATCCTTTCCGTAGAATAAATCCATACGTTCAGCTAGTACTTTTAGTCTATGATCTTCATCATCAGGATTACGATAACCGTAATATCTAAAAAAAATAAATAAATAACATTATAAGAAATAATAATATTTAAGCTCAGCAAAAATACACGCAGAGTAAAGAATCTGATACACACAAATTGCATGTAACAATTTCTTATTCAATCATTAAAATCAAGACCAGATGTACAAGTTATACAATAAACCTTCTTTATTGTTCCAACCAGCTTTCATTAAATATAATGAAATTAATGTGTATCTATTAACAATTATTAACCATTTTAGTGTATTCATTCTGATCAAGAAAGGTATTTTCCTGAGTAATTTGCCTCGATTATGTACGAAAACGTAAATGTTTAAAATCACTAGTTACAATTTACATTTTAAAATTAACTTTATGAGACTATATCATAATATAAAATAAAACAAATGCACACATTTTCAACGACTTTTTCGAAATGCTTAACTGTTTAGCTCTACAGATTCCTGCCAAGGAACCATGATCAGTATCTTTGAATGCATAGAACACAATGTACGTGAACCTACATTTGATTTTTTTTTTATCACCGATATCAGTAAACCGAATAGATTGTTTACAATGTATGATAATATTATCAACTAATATAATTTTCGTAACTATAAACATTTCATTAAAAAATAATGCAAGGAATGTGTTGTAAAAACGTTTTAAATTATTTATTTAAAGGTGTTTCTTATCAAAATATTCCATCGAATAAACTTTTAATTGCGTTTAAAATATTATGAACAAATGTTAACGATTTAATTTACGTCAACATTTTAAGTCATTTTTGGCAAAACATTATTGCGAACTTTCTACTACGATTCATAAACATTTGAAGATTGATGTATAATTTAATGGACATTAAGGTACTTTTGGTATTACAAAATAGTTATGGTTGCTGCTAGGTACTCAAATTTAATAACAACTGATACTATTTAATTTTTATTTGTAATAAGCGTTAATCAATATTTTCAGTCATTTTTTCTCTGGGTTAACTAAGAATTAACTAAGAGATCAGAGGCGTAATTAGGGGGGATTTGGGGGATGGATCTCCCCCAAAACTTTTTTTATGTAATTTTTTTTTTATTTATTATATTGTGATAATATGATTATTATCATTATTATTATTATTACGATTACTATTATTATTATTAAAATTTAAATAATTAAAAATTTTATTCTGGTAGGGTGGGGGGGGAGTTACTCTATGAGGTGTACAGATTTTTCTAAAACCTATTATCCCCCAAACCAAATTTCTAATTACGCCACTGTAAGAGATGATTAAGATTTATATTGTTTACAAGTATATTAATAGGATAATGAAGAAGAATTGATAATATTAAAACTATTTTAGTAAACATAATTCAAATCCATATGAATAATTAAATTATTTTCATAATTAAACAAATAAGATAGTTCAACATACATAGTAGTTACTACAGGGGTAAACAGTGTTCTCTAGGGCACAAATATTTTTTGAAAAGTAATACATGAAGACAAGGCTTAATGATGTTTTAAGATATAATTATTGCCTATCTAAACAATAAGTAATGAAATAAATATAATATAAATAAAAAGTTTGTGACGCCTTTGGTTACAATATAGTTTAAGAGACAAAGTGCATAATTTCTATAATTGGACGAAAAAAAATATTTTACCTCTGAGTGCTTTAATGTGTAATTATACTATTGTGTTTAATAGTTCTATTGATGATAATTTTAGTTATACCACAGGAACTCATTTGAATGTTTATTTATACAGACGGTTTTTTTTTTTTTTTTTTTTGTTTGAAGAAGGTAAAAATATTAATTTTAAATTTGGTAAATATACATCAGTACAATAATAACTTTTATTAATAAAATAAAATATGCTTTTATTTAATTGTATTATAAATTAATATCAAAATATTTTTTTTTATACACAGTGTAATAAAATTACTTTGTTAAAGATTTTTTTATATAAATAAAACCAAATATTACAAAAAATGTAATGGGGAAGAAAGAAACGAAAAATTCATCAAATATTTTGTACAAAAGTAAGAATCATAAATGTAAGATTTTACATTTAAACTGTTTTATATCAAATTAAATAATTATATAATTGATTAAATTCTATTTTGTTAAACATAAATACACAGTTTTACATAAATGATATATTGATTTATAAGTAAATTGTAAAATTTCAAAATTTTTTAGATTTTAATCTCAATAAAGCAACATAACTGATGGATTATTTCATTAATCTTTGATGCAAATTAATAGAAATTTAGTTATAATGCTTTGAAATTAAAAATCTTTGGCGATCAAATATTTTAAATTAGATAAATAGATATTACAATTTTTTATACAAACTATGTTTTTGATAAAATATTATTTATAAAAAATGTGCACATTAATTATTTTAAACAAAAAGCTGAAAAATGTATTAATATAGGTGTCTATAAAATGGTTCATTATATAAATAATTTTTTTTATATTCAAAATATATGTAATATAGTTAAAATATATTTTGAAATAGTACAATAATTACATTTTTATTAATCACAAACTTCATGATTAAATATAATATTACAATATACGATATTATATTAGTTATTAATTATTAATAAAACATCTATTCAATAAAGATACATTCTTTTAATACCTCCTGCATTTGTCAACTAAAATATTTTTTCAAACTACATTAAGATAATTGGTTATAAAGGTACATATTTTTTGAATTTAACAATAACTTTAATCTTACCTGTTGTAATTTCCATATTTAAACAAAGAATTTTTTTCTTTAAACTTGGGCTCATTTTTATTTATTTTTTGTTTTGGTTTAGTTGATATAGCAACAATATGCTGAGGTTTGCATTTTTTTTCTGTTAATGTGGTCTGAGGAACAACTGGGTTTACTACATTTCTTTTGGGTTTAATTGGTTCGCGCAGCTCTTCTTTTTCCATAATGTCTTTCATATTTTTTTCAGGCAATAACGGAATTTTGCATGGTTTGTTGAACTGTTTAACAGGACTTTTAGGAATTGGAATAAAACATGAATCTATTGGTTTAATCTGAACTTCATTCTCTAATACTTCTTTGATTTTCTCTATTATTTCAATAACAGTACTAAGTATATTGTTATCTTCATCTTTACAAATATTTTTTTCATACATTTCAATTTTGGCTTTTTTCTTTGATGGTGATGAAATAATATCTTCTACTGTCTTTTCTTTATTATCAATTAATTCCGATAAACTACTAAGACAAAACAAAATATACAATCATAGAATTAATTGTAAATTTTAAATAAATCCCAATGAGTTATAAAATAATTTTATCAAACTATTAATTATTATATAAATAAAATATATGTAATACTTAATAGTTCAAGCTTATAAAGGTACCAGTTATACAAGTCAATTACAAAGATCAAAAAATTTTAATGCAAATAAAAATTATAAATAATTTTAAATTTGTCTTTTCTGATACATGAATCTAAAGGGGATAAAAGTAAATTCAGTTCTAGAAGTTTTATTGCTCAAAAATATTTTCATTTTTTATTTTTTCAAATCGGCAAATTATTATTATTTATATAAATATTTGTGTACTTGTATCATTTATGTATTAAAACCCTTTGTAATGATAGTTGTAAATAATAATTTGAAATAAGATTTGAAAAAGAAGTAAATATATGAAATATCAAAAAATGTCTTCCTGTAGGTATGCAATAAGAACATAATTTTGATTTCAGACATGGAGTATTACATATAACTTTTTTAATAGATTTAACATTAAATCGAGTTTAATGATGATTGTAAAATAAATACATTACTCATTTCACATAAGATCTATAATCCAAATTAAAGGAATTCATCATTGGTTCTTGGAGTTACAGGAGTAAGAGCAAATAAAGAGTAAAAACAATTATAAAACTTGAGACATTTAAGTTATTAGTATAATTATTTGAACAATTTCATAATTAAGTTGAATATGTGAATAACATAACTATTTTTATAACTTACTTATTTTCTTGAGTGTTTTCAGTGAGTAAACCAGAATCAGATAATGATTTTGCTATTACTTTTTTAGTAATCAATTTTTGCGGAGTTTTTTCTTTCAATGAATCTAATTCAGGACAAATAACTGCTTTGACATCATCGCAGGTACCAAGTTCTAATGGATCAGATAAATTTCGAGGAATAATAACATTCACATGGTCTTTTTTGATGTTGATTGTGTTTGAATGTAAAGGAGATGATTTTGGAGTTTTATTCATTGCCCTACAAGGTTTCAAATAATTGTTAAAATCTTAATAAAGCACATAAATATTTACAAAATAAATATATACTTATTGATATCTTCATTTTGTAGACTATTTAAATTGAGCGGATCAGAAATGTTGCCACCAAGTAAAAACTTTTTAGGTGGTATAACATTTTGACCATCTTTTTTCTTTTTCTTTGGCGAAGAGCTTATAATAATTGATGTGCTAACACATCTTTTTCTTGATGAATTTAGTTTTATATTAGTATCAGAAAACTGTAATGTTTTGCAAACTGTATTCAGATTTTGATTTTCGAGTGGATTTTCAACTTCTTCATTTTCAACTTCAGTTTTGGTAGCCATTATAAACCTAAAATTAAAAATTTAAATTACTAAATTATTAAATTAGTAAAAACATACTTTTTTCATTTTGAAACAGTTATAGTGGTGCAACTACCGGGTAGGTTGGGAGTGTCAAACACCGGGGCCCAAAGATAGCAGGGGCCCCTGGGCTCAGCCTAAATAAAATAATCTATTTTGGTATTTGACTATCTAACTTTACAATAAATATAAAAATCATGACATTTTGATGTACAAATATACTTTCCCGAAATACGGACAACAAAATAAAATTATCGATTTCATAAAGAAAAAACTAGAATCTATGGAATTTGTTCTAATTTTATGTTTTTGGAAAAAGATTTTGAGAGCATTACACGGGGTGTACAAATCCCTTCAGAAATGAAATACAAATTTGCACAATGCATGCCAAAACAATTATAGAAAACCTAAGAGATAGATATAAAAATATACTGTTGGAGTGTAAAGAATTATGCTCCAGATGAGGAATTACTTCTAACTTTCATGTTAAGAGTAGACTTGCTCCACAATATTTTGATGAAATTGATGGTGATCGCCGGCTAAATATAACATGAACATTTCAGAGTTAAAATTTTTCTACCTGTGATTGATAAAGTTATATTTCAACTAAACTCACGGTTTCAAAGACTACAAGAAGTTACAAAGAATTTTGATTTCTTATTTTCTACAATGTTTGCTAAAATGGATGAAAATGAGTTCTCCAAAGCTCCAATGGACTTTTTTTATTTATACAATGATGGCATTTCTTCAGATTTTACCAGAAAATTATTGTGTTTAAAAGGATTTTAAACACTAATATTCAAATGATTTAGGATCTGGCTTTATTTATAGTTAAAAATGATTTTTGTACTACATACTGTGATGTAATAACTGCATGTATAATTTAAATTTTATTGCCTATAACACTTGCAATGCATTGCCACGGCAGAAAGATCATTTTCGAAATTGAAATTTATTAAAAACTATTTGAGAAACAGTATGGGGCAGGATCGACTTTTTAATATTTCCATTATAAATATAGAAAGAAATGTAACTAATCAAGATGATTTAGAAAAAATGATTTCTATGTTTGCCAATTTAAAAACAAGAAAAAAAAATTTTCTTAAATGAAGACAAATTTGAGATACTTCTAATAGTATAGTTTTCATTATATTACTCTAAATGTATAAAATATTAAAATATATATAAAACATAAATGACTAATGTAGTCTTAAAAGTGATATTTTTTATTTATTTTTGTAAGTATATTATGATTTATGTTTTTATTTGTTTGGTAAAACTTTTAATAAATCTATTAACTTAAGTTTAATACGTGGTATTGATAATGAATAGTAATTACCACTTTCAATAAACTGATTAAAAACAGTTTTTACAACTTATAAGTGTATAAGTATATATAAGTTACCATTAAACACATTACTTAATTTTTTTTCCTTTTGGCGATTTATCATTTTATTAACCACCCCAAATGTTGTTCACAATAAATAACTTTAATTAGGGTCCCTTCATTAAAAATGACACTGGGGCCTCAGTTGTCCTAGTTGCGTCACTGAACAGTTAATATTAAATTTATAGTATTTTAATGAAACAATTTATACTTAGGAATAATAAGAATTATTAGTAGCCTTTGTATCAAATATGGTTGCAATTATGTTAAAGATGAAAAACTTAAAAATAATACCACAATATAATAATTAAAATGTATCAAAATATCAAAACCAATCTAATAAGTAAAATATAAAATGGCAAGTTGCCTAAGTTTCAAATATTTTTTAGGTTATCAAACCAAAAGTTATAAGTTTAGACTAATTTAGTACACTTATGTTATGAAAACTCAAAAAATGTTGTTAGGTAAGTTATTTACTAAAAATTAAATTTGAAATAAATAATATTAAAGCAGAATAAACAAAAAGTCAAGAGTTACTCTTTATAAAAGGCTAGCTGGTTTATATAGGGCTGATAAAATATTCATAAAAAAATAAGATAATTCCTATATTTTTTGATAAGTTTTTTATATTAAATTTGAAAATGTGCTTAATATATTCAAAAGCAATCATGTTTAAAATGAAAGATAATCAACTATTTTAATACAATAATGTCGAGAAGTAAATAATTAATGTATAACTAATAACTATAGTTATATTTTCTATATTCTAAAAAAGCAATATTTCTGTATTTTAATACATTATAGTATACAACATTATGTACATTTCGAAATATATGGACATTTTATGTATTTAGATTTAAACTATAAAGTAAAATCTGTAAATGTTATGTTAGAAATAATTATAAATGAAAAATAGGTTAAATGGTTGAATGCCAAGAAATGTATAGCAAACTGAAATGTCAAGAATCTGGAAATTCTTAGTGAGGTTATCTTAAATATTAGTTTTGCCTAAGATTAGCGATGCTTGAGGCTCGAAAGTTTATGACCTTAAAAACATTAAAATATGACAAAAAAAATTACAAATAATTGTTTTAAATTAATAAAAATACATTTTTTTTTTAATATTTTACTCTATTTTACTGTAACATTCTATACAAATTTATCGACGTTTTAATTTTCGTCATTTCGAAAAAATTACGAAAAAAATAATAAAATTTAGATATAATAGGTAGTATTCACTATAACATGATAACGATGCGACGGCTGTAATCAACGTGATAAAATCGGATACTAATCGAATACTAGGAAAAAATAATAAAATGTAGACAGGGCCGGATTTGGAGGTGTGGAGATCTCGAGGCAACAAAGGAGTGGAGGCCCCTGGCCCCAAATTATTTTCCAAATAAAATGAACTTTTTTTTTTTCAAAGTAGATTTTTTTCTTTTATTAGTATTTAACAAACATATACAAATATAAACGGAAACAAGAAATTAAATTTAAGTGTTAATTAACGGAACCTTCCGAGCTTTTTTCGCCAAAAAATCGTTGATGGGTTCGTTGAAATCCAGTTCCCGAAGTGTATATTTGTTATACCAGCGCAATAGATGTATATTTTACATGTAGTGTCCCAAATTCGGCGCAATTGATGAATACCGATTTTTATCCTATTGGCTACTTTCGGCTGGACGGCGGAGTGACAGTGCATGGGTGATTTGAAAAATTTTTTTTTTTCGAAGTCTATTGTGGAGGCCCCGGAGCTATCGGCCCAGTTGTCCTCTCCTAAATCCTGCCCGGAATGTAGGTATAATAATATTCACCACAATACGACAATCAGGATGTAAGATTATAAGACAAGTCTTGAATTATCGGCATAATGGTCGACAAAAAACGATAAGAAGTGTGAAATCAGTAAAAATGTCTAAAAATATCATAAAATGACTTAAAAAGTAATAAATACCAAAAAATGCAAAATAAAAATGAGTTATTCGGATTCACATGCTAATGAAATAATTTGTAGCCAGGTTAAGAGCATTGTCTAAAAAGTTCTAAAAAAATGCAAAATGCATAAACTTCCGAGCCCTACTTATAAATATTAATTGAGTCAGCTGACATAAAAAAAGTTGAGCTGCTTTAATTTATTTAAGTTTTCGGGAATATAAATAATTTACATTATTGTTATACATAAATTATCAATTAAATTATTGTTATACTATTTAAAAACCTATTATAATTAATACCAGTATTATATAGCATATTTAAATAAAGTTATTATTAAAAATTATGACATTTTGAATTGAGTACCGAGTACTAGTAATTTACCCACTTAATTATCGTCATAATTAACACATTTCGCAGCTGTTAATATTTCAAAATATAGATTTTTTTTATGCGTCATAGATCTCTAATTTTTATATCAATTTAGTAAAGTGTTCTAAAATGGTGTGCGAAGTTAAAAATGTAGATTTAATCAGATGTATATTAAGATATATTTTTTGACATAAATTGAATAATAACAATGATAACCATAACAGTTATTTATATGGACTATCAACATGTACTATGTGCCTATATTTCGCATACCATAAAATCTTAACTAAAATAAATATATTACAAATTTAAATAACATTTATGGACAAAGATTAGCCTGAGTAGAATTAAATAATCAGATTTTTGAAATAATAATTGGTTTTTAACTAAATTGTAATCTAAAAGAAGCCATTATTCGTGAATATATTTATCATTTACTTTATTTATATATTTACTAGTTTTATTAACAATTTAATCCCAACTTTAAATTCGTCAAATATTTTTTTTTTAAGTAATAATTTATTGTCTTTATGAAAATTATACAGTTAAGTCTTAATTTAAATTTTACATCCCAAAAATATAACTTTTTCAGATGCATTTAAATAACTAAAATATATTTTGCTGTGTTGCTATATTTTGCATAAAAACGTTTTTAAAATAGGCCAACAAAATTAAAATATTTAAATAATAGTAGAATACCGAAATTGATTGATTATATTTTTAAGTCAATTTTATAAATTGCTCCATATTTTCAGTTTCTATTTCGATGAAAATATATTTACCAACAATTATAATAGGTACATAAAAATTAAATATTTAACCAGTATTCAGTAATAATTTATAAATGTATAACTATTTATGTTTTTGATGATTCAGACCAACAATATAGTAGTATGTAATACTATATACTCAGTGCCGGCCCAAGACATGGGCAATTTTATAGGGACGCGTTTAATATAAAAATATTTTATAAATTTAAGTGTAATATTTATTCAAATTGACAATATTTCTAAATCCATGACAGAATATTCTGTTACATAATTTTTTTTTTATAAATTATACATCACTTTCTACTGTAATATTACAAATAATTTAAAAATATTGTACAAAAATATATAATCATTAACTCGGAAAACCCAAAAAAAGTTTGTGTTATAGCAGATACGTTTCAGATATAAGATAGTCGCCACAGAGTCTGTGATGGTTATCATTAGAGTTATATTAATCGTACAATTTATTGTCATTATAAGTAAAGATTAAGATTCGTATTTGTATACGAATACAATGTAAAATGAGATCACATTTATTTCTTGCTAATGAAGTTGAACAGTAGTTAGCGGTGTCGTCGTTATCGGTCTAAAATATGTAAGTATTTTTAAATTATAGAAGCAATTTTGAATTAACACATTTGTATTGATAAATTAAAACAGTTATCGTAGGTTAATGCAATTTTATTTAAATATTAATTGGTAGAGAAAAAGTAGCACCAAAAAAAAGCTAGCGGTTGTCAAAATCGTAAAAGAAAATTAGAAAAGCAATTACAAATAAAAAAATGTTTAAAAATGTCATAATTTTTCTAATTTAATATAAACGTAAAGATAATATATATGAACGTCTCAATAATTTTGCATATTATGCAATTTTCAGCATAGAAAATGAAATAGATTCTGAATTATATCTGAACGAAGTAATATAAAATTTTGCTGATTTAAAATCTAGAAAAAAATGTATAGTTTAAAAAAAATGTATTATGTTTATTATATTGTACGATTAAAGAAATAGTGTTAATTAAATATTCATTATAAATAGTGATAATAAATTGTACCCAAATAAGTTTTGCAATATTTTACCTATCCATAAATATAAGAATTTTAAACAAAATATATAGATAAGTATAAAATTTATTTAATATATTAAAGAAAATTTGTTTTAGGACGTCTTTCAAAAAATTGCCCATGGTGACAAAATATCTTGGGCCGGCCCTGTATATACTATATATGTTGGCGTAGTGGCGTAAGAAGTACAGTGTTTATCTTAATTTTAAATACTAATAATAATTTACTAATAAATAATTACCAGCTGGTTCAATATGCGATTTTTACGGTTAGATGTTCAAATGAAAACTGTGCTTTAGAATTTAAGATAATTAATTTAAATTACATGCTTCCATATAGGTACGTTTCAAAAAATATTAAGATGTTTATTTTTTTAGATTACATTAAAGTATGTGTATTTTTAATTATAATTTATTATTCAATAAATGTTTCTAAATTACACGAATCGGTGCAGAAAATGAATAAACATTAATCGCACAATATAAACAATCCGAAATATAATTTATTTGGTCTGCTTGGGTAAAATATCTTTAAAATTAAAATCAGTTACTTATGTTTTCATTGTGATTCAATTTCTCTTTACTTCATACATAAGTTCGAAAAGTAAAGCGTGAATGTAAAATATAACTTAATGTTTATGAAAATATTATATTTCAAAATTACCAACAACATTTTTTTAATTTTGAAACCATTCCCAGGTCATTTTCATGAAATTTTTAAAGCAAAATTACTACTATTAAAAAAAATTATAATAAAGCTCGTGTCATTTATATTGAGATTTCTCAGTTGACCACCTTGAAGATATTATTTTGACAATATGCCAAACGCCAGGTTAGGGTATCAAATGTATAGTCTTGTAAAACATTAATTTTATATTTAATTAATTATTAGATTTCAGAAAAAAAATCAAACATTGATTAAAAAATGCCTGTTAATTTATGAAATTAATATTAAAATAAACAACCATATGTTTTTTTTTTTAAATTAAGACAAATAAACTAAAAACTGTTCAAAGTATACTTACTCGAATAAAAGACGATAATAAATTCCCGATAAAATGTTTCAGAAGTTGTACTATTAAAAAGAACGATTAGTTACTACAAATACGTGTTTACGTTTTTTATTGGATTAGCAACGTTCTGAATAAATGTTTAAGATTCTCCATTTTTAAAAGTTGATTTTAAACATTCATTTCAATTACAATATATTTATTAAATAGGAAAATACGAATGATTTCCTTTAATAATATAACATTGGGTTGTGTGAAGTTTTCTTTTTGATAAAGTAATTGTAATATCATCGAGTCAAGCTAAATTTTTTTTAAGGTATTGGTCATACGTCCTAGAATTAGTAATTGAAATATACTCGTAATAATACTAATGAGTATTTAAAATAATGCCATTCATTTATAAAACTGTACCGACACATTATTACCTATTTTGAACACGAAATGATTTAGTGAATTAAGTCATTAGAAACAGTTTATACAATGAAATTGAAAATGACCAACTAATATTCGAAAAAACGAATTTTTGCAAGAAAATAATAAAAATATTTGAATAACATTGTTCCATAGAAAATCATTAAAATATATTACACGAGGTACAATTAGGCACGTTATAAAAGCTCAAGAATTGACACATTTTTTGGGCACATAGCGTATTCATCCTAACGATTGGCGAAGAAAATTAATTCGTTATTTCCGGACAACCATCGTCATTTTTGATGCAAACTTATTCAATTATGACTCAATTTTATAGCACATACGTACAATATATATATATAAATGAATAAACAAACATATAAAATATACAAATACTTGTTCTGTAGTATTATTATATTTATAAGTACATCTGGTTTCGAATTAAAAATTCATCATCAGGTTAATACAAAGTTATTAAAATTAGTGGCAATTTTATTAACTTGGTAGATATATAACAATTACCATAATTGTATACTTTACAAATATAAATATACTCTAGGCAAAACATTTATTTATTATTATATATGAAATATTTGTTCATTTTTATAATAACTGACGTGTATTAACTATTTACTAATTTTTAATTTTTATTTTTTTATTACAAATATATATTGAGATATGCACAATTGCATCATACGTTATAGAAATAATATTTCTCGTCAACGTTCTACTAATTAAATAAATGCATTTTTGAATAATTAAAATAAAATAAATGTTAATTTCGTTTATAATAAATGCATAACTGTCTTTTTACCATGAAAAAATGTCGTGTTAGATAAAATATAAAATTACCGTGTGGTGTACTTAAAAAAAGTTTGATAAAAATAACTGTTTAAAATATATACAAAGATACTTTTGTTTGTTTTCGAGGATAAAACGGTTAGTGTAATAAATTGGGACGAAAAAGTCCCAGTTTTTCGTGTTGCAACGATGGTATAAAAAATACCGTTAGGGTTTCAAATGCATCACCAATATCGAGTACGTTATATTACGTACGTAATATGCAATTCTTGTCCTAATAACGGGTACGTATCAAAAGCCAAGAGGGTACCGTTTTCCTGCGCCCGCCCCACCGCGTCGCGGATCGAAAAACGGCGCGACGAAACCGGAGCCGTCGTTAGGTGTACATACACGAATATAATGAACGTAATAGTATATACAATGTATACACACGAAGTTATTATGGTTGTGTGTTTCCGACCACGTAACGGACAAAGAGGAAACAGGAACACGTATTATTTCTACGTCAGAATTGCAACCGACGCACACGCGCCAGTGTAGCAACGCGCAGTGATTTTTACATTAAGGTTGTGGAAGTCGAGCGCGACGGCTGCGAACACGCAAATGTACCCGTCGGGAGCGGTGGTGAACGGCGGTGCGAAATGCAACTCGGAAACGGGACGAAAATGCGGGTGGTGCACCACGGCGGGAGTAACCAGTTTCTCATCGGCAGATTAGGCGCCTTGGTCGGGTAAGTGACAACGGCAGTATTGGTTCGACTGGGACGGAAAAACCCGCGGAAAACAGATGTCGTGTACGTAAACGTGGTCGCAATCGACCGCGGCAAAAAAAAAAAAAAAAATGGTCGTGAAACCCAAGGGGGAAGAACAACAGGCTCAGAACAGTGAACAAGGCCCGCTCGACCTCCCCGGGCGGTGAACAGCTGGTGGCGGCGGCGTAGAAAACAACAATAATAATAACACGTAAGGACGAACGTGGGGAAGCGGCAGGAGGAAGGATGTGGAAAAATTAGGACGGGCGGCGGTAACGCGCGGGTAGGGGGGGTCATGTTTGATCGTGTACACCGAGGCAAGCGTTCGTACCGCGTTCGCCGTGTCGGGACGGAGGACCTCCGTCGAACGATAACGGAGACAGAAGAGAGAGAAAAAAAAAAAAATAAAACGATGTAAAAGTGCGGAACCGAGGAAAAACGTCAACATTTCCGACACGCTCGGCGGAAAAGCCGTCGTCTACGAAGGAGAAGGAAAAAAAAAAATAAACAGACGTCGCGTGCGACGCGACACGCAGCCGTATACTCACAACATGAATGAGGCTGCGCGCTTGTGCGACGTTGTCGGCGGTGATCGCAGCGGCGACGTTCACACGGCGGCCATCTTAGTCGCGTGCTTGTGCGTGCGTACGATGTCCGGCGAGCGGAGTGCGTGCGTGACTCCGCGTCTGGTGCTGCAGGCGAGAGCCGTTCGGAGGGCACGAGTGCCGGGCGGTGGTAGTGGAGGTGGTGGTGGTGGTGGTCGTTGTGCACGGAACGGTACGCGACTCGGCGGCGTTCCTGCGCGTTCGGCGTCGAAATGTTTAATAACTGGTCGCGTACGCCGCTCGCCCGACCGTACAATGTGGTTCGGGAGCGCGCAGTGCTGCCACGTCCCGCGCGACGCAATACCCGCTCGCGAACACGATAATTATTCCCGTGCGGTTTTGTCGTGCTACGCGGGCGATCGCGACGCACTACCGCGCGCCAAACACGCACACGCGCGCCCGTACGCTAACAACACATGCACGCGCCGTATGACACGCGCGCGCACATCGTAGTGCACGTCAAATAGCGTCCGCCGAGTAATCCATAGAGTGCCCCTCCTAGGACCGTAGTCAACCATCGGAAAGTCTACGTCGTATCGTTCCGAAGCTTTCGGATTTGCGCAGCGTTAATAATATTAATGCATCCTAGTGGGATTGCCGTTCACGTCGTATTATCCGTCATGCACATTATTTTAATATAATAGTGTTGTTGTCGTCGGCGCACAGACGTGTGCACACACAAAACGTTGTGTTATGTAAAACAGCTGAAATTTGCCGCTTGGTTACATATTTTATTATTTCGATATTTAGGTCAAACGCGTATGGTCAAAACGCGAAGCTGATATTTCAGGAACGATTTTATGTTATGAATCAATAACGCTTCCAAAAGTTCAAATCATCGCGATAAAAAGATAGTAAAACGTCCAGTTGTTTCGATTAAAATCATCGAAAAATCAATTGAAATTCGTTTTATCGTGTACACAAATTAATACTAACAAGTTAAGATTTTCAAATATATACCTACTAAATATGAGAACCGATTTATTTCTACAAAACATTTACTTTCTCGTGTGAAACAGACATGAAAATAAATTATATAACGTATACGTTTTATGAAAATATAATTAATATTTCAATTAAATAATTATGAGCAAATGTTTCTCTAGGAACTTGATATATACCTATATATATATATATTCCTACTAAAGTCTTGAATAAAAATAAAAATGTAAGGTATACTAACTAAAGATTGCTCATTAATACTTCGATCAAATTTGATAGCAATAATAAATTATAAAAATCGAAGAACAATTCCGAATGCAGTTCGTTGAACTTGAATGTTTATTTACATTAAATATACTGTTCAGAAGCGTACCCAGGAATTTTTTATGGGGTGGGGGGGTCCAACATTTTTATTTTATCTGTTCTCTAAATATAATTATAATTTAACTCAATATCAACAAATTACTGTTAATATACTATGTAATATACTATAACTAGTATGGCTTATATATTATAGGTGTAATACACATTTGGTATCTATAAACTTTGTGTATTGAAGATAATGGGAAATTAAAATACACTATGTACTATTATTATACTATTTACTATTAAATCTTTGAGTATGTAAAAATTTCAATAGCGGGGTCCGGACTCCCCCCCCCCGTGAGTACGCCCATGATACTGTTTAATATTTGTTTACAGAAACTTTCTAAGTAATTAGAATATCAGTAACTTTATTAATCATACATTAAGATCTTAAATTATAAATTCTTAATGCGCAATAAATTGTTTGTATTACATTGGAAATAGTAATATATCGGTATGATTTTAAAAACATTTTAAAAATAAGTTAAAACAAAAATAATACAATGATATAAATAAGTTCATAAGTTAAAAATGTAAGATATTTTATTCCGTATTCAATTTTATTTTTTTGATAAAAATATGAACAAAATGACCATTTTGATTTTATTACAGAGTGGAAAATTTTCTATAATATTTAATAAAATTATATTATTGGAACCGAGATATTTTTATTTTTTTTTTATTTTGTGTGTCTAAATGTTGAGTAAATATGCTCTTAAATATTCTTGTAATATTTCAAAGGTATAATTATTTATAGGAATATTTTCGTATTTATTTAAAATGTAATTGAAATAATACGAAAACGTTGTAAAATTTAAATATGTTTGTTTATTATATAATTAATTTTATTGAAATTTAGAAAATAATTTAAGTTTTTATTTCGTTTTTGAAAGTCTTCATTAATTTTAATATTAATATGATCTTGTATTTACTTTAATTGATTATTATTTTATCTCTTAAAGATGTAGTTAATAATAAGTTCAGATGTCAAAATAATCGACATTAGATTTAGATAAGTATATTATGGACAAATGGAAAAAGTAACTTTATTTTTAACACGACTTATTATTTAAACTACATCTAATCCATTATAAATAGGAATCATTTTATATATAAAGTAACAGTTTAAGTGAACCAACTAGAAAGCTTTTAGTTTAGATGTAATGTGATATTGTATGTGATAAATGATAAAGGAAAAAAACAAAAAGTTCTAAATGGAAAAATATATGGATATTGTACCAATAATTTACTACAGAACTAAAGCCTGAAACAAAAACAGAGCCAGGTTCTTAAAAAAAATTATACATTTATATTTTATATTCCATAACATCAAGGTGAACAGTACAAGGCAGTGTCAATTGTCATAATTAAATAAATACCAGTTTTTCTATTTAACTTGTTAACAAAATAACTGAAGATGAATAGTTAAAATTACTATCACAAATACAATAGGGTAAATAAACTTCATAAACTAAACGTATTCGTATCCATAATGATAAGATCATATAAAAGCTAAAATTAACTACTTTCATTTAATATTTTACATTGTTTATTTAATTTGGAGTATTTTATTTAGTTTTCATTTCGCATACAAATAAACGGCCGAAGAAGTCAAAGATAGGACTAGTGAAAGAAAATAACTAAGAATAATAATGTTTTGAATTCGGCATCCATCAGTCATCATTTAACAATAGTTAAATAATTGATACGAGTGTGTAATTTGTATATGCATAATACATTTATCGTAATACTTATTGTACGCACGACGCATCTTCTTCATAATAGGATGTACAAAAATAAATGTATAAGCTAAATTGTAAATGTAAATGTAAAGTCACTAAGTGTCCCTAATATGAGACTTCCTTCCATATCATTTCAATATTTATACATATATTCAATCTTAGTTTTTTTTATTATCCTTTCATAATAATTGCTTATTGCACATATATTGTAGTTTTTTCAAAATAGTCATATTTTTAAAATATAAAAAATATACTAATATATTTTATTTTACTTTATCTTCAAATTTATTCAATATCATTTTATTTAAAAAAAAATAATAAGTTTATAACCTTAGCTTTAAGTTTTTAATTTAATTAATTAATATTATCGTCATTTTTATGATAAAACTATACAACGAATGACAGTCAAATGAAAAAAAGTAATAGAAATTACAATATTATTTGAAATCTTAAGTTATAAACCTAAAAATTAACTTTTTTTATCAAAGTTAAACATAAAATGTCTGTAGGTATATGATTTATAATTTAAAATGAAACTCAAATATTTTTAAGTTACAATAATATTGCTGCAACAGAAAAAAAAATCTTTTAATCTTTGTAAAAGGTTTAAAAAAAAAAAAAAAAAAACACTAAGCAAACAGGATTTGTCGGTTAAATTGTATTTAATATTTATTAAAGATAAATTAAATAGTGTTTAAACAGTATAGTTTAGTTGGGTGTAGTTGAATTATTCACTTTAATTAATTTTCAACCATTTTTTTTTAAAGAAATCGCCAGTATATGAGTATACATAATATTTAATACATCCAGCTTTATTAAATTTATCTTGAAACTTTTCTAAACAAGTAATAGTTTAAATTATTATGAAGGAAAATTAAAACCTAATAACTAATTAAGCTTACCTTTTAAATAGTTTACAAATGTTTTAATCCGTTTTTTTCGTTTCTTACTTTCTAAATGTATTTGCCATATAAACATATTTTTAATTTCATCTATTGTGGCTTAAAAAAACATTTTATTTTTAATGAGAAATAACCAAATATAATTCGTTTCTTATTCGTTAGTATAGATGAGCGGAGCTTTTTATGTTTTGAATTTCTTATAATCTATGTATGAATATTCAAAAATATTTCGAACAAATTAAAGTACAATTTCAAACAAGTAATTTATTATTACTTATTTTAGTTAAATAATTAATATTATTATAATTAATTACCTTTTTTCGTTATAAATGCAAAATATGAAATTTACCTTAGATCAATAAAAAAATTCAGTTTCATTGCATTCGGCAATAATCATAGTATACATACATATGTGATGTAATGATATACAAATATAATATTACTGTATGACGTATGTTATCATGGATAGAACGCGAAAATGTGTCATATGCTTTCTGAGATGCTTTTTTAACTCATTGAGTACTAAAGTAAAATATTATATTATTATACTTGTTACAGTAAATTATGTAAAACATGAAAATTACGTAATTAACCGGTAATTATTGTAAACATATATACAAAATGAAGATTTTCCATATTCACCAAACAAATTGGTAAATGTTGTGTATAATACTAAGATACGACTATAACACAACTTGTATGTTTTTCTGTTGCACAATTTCACATTAGGAAGATTTCTAATATCTTTAAATATGTTTTTACGCAAGATATCTGATAATCATTGGATACATAAAAATTAAAGGTACAAGTAATCGATAATCAACTTCAATTTTAGGTTTTATCTTATCATTAGAAAACCCAATATAATTAATTGTATAAATGAATTAGGTATAAGAATAAATTGCACGAGTCTGTGTATTATAGTCAGTATATCGTACTATCAGTACAAGTAGGTCATATATCAAAAATATTAGATTGTATAGGAGAGCATTTCTAATGTTTGATAATTTATAGTAATTTGTAATTTTCTTCTGCTAAATATCAATGTGACTTTGTTATATATGACTAGTTGACCAGACATTTTCTTATAATATTTTTATCAACAAATATAATTAAAATGCCACACTTCGTATTACGGCTTTATTGTTTTCAGTTACCTCTCGATCTGTCTTAGTGCAATGAGTTTATTTGCATAACTAACGATTTAAAAATATAATTACATAGATCGTGCCACACTAAGACAAAAAAGAAAAAAAAATACGAATTCAAAGATACCAAAAATGTAAATTAATATTTTTTGACATACGGCCCTCTTGCACTGATAGTGCGATATAATAATTTAAAATATTTTAGAGCGTCAAAACAAAATAATGAATGAACGAAAATAATTAGTCTCATGTTTGCAAAAACATGCAGAAAATATGTTAAAGTCATCATCATCTCGATTTGATCCACTCGAAATAGGTTCAACTGTTAGAATATCGATACCAGATGTAGATCGTGTTCGCGGAGCTCCACGTAATTTATTAACAGTCGTTATACTCGTACATATCGAAAATGATCTTAACAAATTAGATTAGTAGTACCCACATATAAGTTATTCAAATATTTACAAAAAATGAATGTTATACTTTTGAAACAGGTACTGAACATTGACACCTAAAACATAAATACACAAGATTTGAGTTAATACCTCGTAAAGAAAAACTTCTTGACATACCTAAATCCATCAAAGAAAAAGAGCTTACTCTTCGAGAGGCAACTGGTTTGAGCAGTATTTCGGGCACTCAAGGGTACCAACGATGTCACTGCAAAACTAAATGTAAAAATAATAAATGTGCTTATCGTTCTTCAGGAAAACTTAGTAATTCAAAATAACATGGTTCATTTATATGTGAAAATAAGTAGTTCTTAAAATATGATGTAAATACAAAAATAACCATTTGTATAATTTTTTATCGTAAATTTACGGTAATTAACTTAAAAATCTACTCATATAAACTATAAATGGATATTAGCGATATTAACGGTAAATGATGGAAATTATTATTTTTCGTCATTTATTGTAATATTGTCATAAATTAAGTAAATAAAGTGAACAATTAAATGACAAAATATATATTTTATATACCTACCTAATTTATATTGTAGTGTATCTTACGCATGAAATATGTTTCATGAACGTTTTTTGATCAAAATTATCTTATAAATTATTATATTATTAATAAACAATAGTCATCAGCTAATTTGATTTTATTAATGTATTAATGTGTTAATTGACAATTATTTCCGTCACTGCACTTTCATAATAATTTTAATTAGAAAACTCATGTAAATTTTAAAGTAAAAAAATAGGAAAATTTAATTATTGGAAATATTTTATAATTGTTAAGATGTATAGGTACCTACTACTTTTTTTTTTTTATTGAAACTTAATTTACCTATACTACTTAAAGATACACATTGTGAAACACTACAAAAAAAAATTACACATAGAGGCACAAATAGGGAATTTCAATGAGGAGAGGCGCTTCAGTTCTACTATTTTTAACCAACAATTATAATTTCAGGCTTTGTCCCTATTCTTCTAAAGGATCTAAAATAATCATTAAATTATTGTTATTAGTTATAATCACTAAGAGCTTTATTGTTGCAAGATAAAGGCTTAATAAAATAAAAAAAATCTCAATTATATAAAATAATAATTTATTAATATATAATTTATAATAATAATAATAATAATAATAATTTTAGTTTCAGTGTTCAGTCACTTGCTCCACTCTGACAGCTGCATCTTCTTAGGCGAATTTCTGGCAAATTCAGTTATTATTTCACTTTCATCGAATTGCTCTTTTTTATTTATATTAGCCATAGCTAACCCATTCAGTCTGTTTTCCGACATGGTGCTTCTTAAAAAATTTTTTAAGCGATTAAGTGCTGAAAACGTTCTTTCCAGAGTGAAAGAGGTAACTGGTAACGTGGCGAATAATTGTAAAAGTATTTTAATGTTAGGTCGAAGATTGGTATCATGAGAGAGTGAATCAAGAGCAGAATTCGGTTTTGGAATAGTATTTTGACTCTGTTGCCTCCATATGAACAGGTTAGCTCTGATTGTAGATGAGGTATCATCATGGAGATCTTGGACATATATTTTAGCAGTTTTTATAATATTTTTATCGTCATACATATTTAAATTGGCCGGAATAAGTCCTTCAAGTGGCATAACATCAATAAGCCTTTGATTAAAACGAGCATCCATTGATTCTATTAAATAGTCAAGATACATTATACATATAAACACGGCCCATGGGGGGGGCTATAGCCCCCTTAGCCCCCCCTTGGCTAACGCCACTGCATATATTAAATTAATCAATCGGCAATTTTTTTTTTTTCTTTGATTGAATGATAATTGTAAATGCAGTAAATCTGTATTTTACCATAATTTAAATATAGTGTAGCATTAATAGCTAATGGAAAAAAGTATCATTGAATTTATATGTATGTACATAATAATATTTTAGTATACACTTATGAGTACAATTTTCAGTTTAAAGGATATTTTAACTTACTATAACATAAATTATGTCTTTTAGCATATGATTTATATAGGTACCCTAAGCACATATTAGTACAGTATTATGTGTACAATGAATAAACATGTTTTAACAATAATAAATTGAGTAATAAAATTATTTTCCAGTTACATTGCATTACAAAAAAAATTTGCAAATTTTGTGATATTGATTGTATAATCAATTTAAGTGAATTTTGAACATATAAGGATAATATAAGAGATAATTATAGAGATAATTAATTTAAAAAGGAATAATACGAAAATATAATTACATACTATATAAGCTAAGTAGTTTTTATTTTTATTTTAGTAAAGTATTGGTACTCTTTGTATATATTATATATTAAAATATCAGTTTAATATTTAAGATTTGAAAACGTTTACAGGACATTTATTATTGGTCCCATTATCATATTACAAACGTCATACGTTTTATACCATCTACATAATATATTCTGTAAATATATAATTATAGATCTATAACACGATTATAGTTGTGTAATTGATTAAAATTTTCATAATTTGTTGTTACAAAAATAAATATAACTCTTACAAAAATTAATAGTATTTTTAAAATTTAAAAAAACTATTGAAGTTCAAATATATCTACTAAAATATAGAGCTTAATCCAAAAATTAACAGTTACAAAAATAAAAACAGAACGTTTAAAATGTTTACATGTGTAGTAATATAGTATTAAATATGTAAAATGTTCATACTTTATTGACACTTTATATGTATTCCTTTGATACTAGAATATGTGGCCATATAATATACGAGTGTGTTTTTCTTCTGAGTTATAACTTATGACCATAAATGCATATACTTATGAGTCAAGAATAAACAAATATGTAACAATATTGAAAATGAGTTTTTAAACACTTACGTTCCAAATTTTTTTTCTGCAAACTCAATTACTTCAAAAAGTGCCAAGAGACTTGTGAAAATTAACTTAAATTTTTATTATACATTTCAGATTGAAATATTTCATTAAACTACACGTATTTCAATGAATTACTTATATTGATGAATAATATTAATAGTTTTATACAAATATATGTACGAGTATAAAGACAGTTGGAGTACTACCGTACCAGTTTAAAAAGTGATTGTTTTTATTTTGTGTAGTTGATATCAATATATTTTAATAAGTAAATTTATTCGTATACCAAGGTAAATACTTGTAACTTATTTTTAAACCACGAGGAATTTATATAGCAAAATGAACTAGATTGTATTAATATAAATAAAACCTCAATATGAAAAAAAATAACTAAACATTCTTTACCTTTTAGGTTAGTCATATTTTTTTAAAACAGGTAGCTTATTTTAATCTTGTGATCAATTATTATCGTGTTTGTAACATATGAATATTCTTTCTCAGAATACATTGTACGCATTCAATTTACCATTTTCTGTGTTTATTTTATGCATCGTAGCATTGTTAAATGTTTTATTTATGTAATTTTACAATTTAAATACTTAAAAAAATATTTTAACTGAATTCCAGATTTTTCGAATAAATAAACTGATGTAATATAATATATACCCTTATTAGTTTCGAATTAAAATATTTAATTATTTATAGTTTATTATTAATACGATAGACGATTGTAAATATACAGAATTTTGGTAGAAGAAGTTTCGTGGGTTACTATTTTTTGATTTAAATTTTTTTGTCTCTAAGAAAACTGATTAAGTTAATGAAAATAAAAATAAAAATAATGATAATCAGATTTAATTTATTCTATAATTAATTAACAAAATAATCATAATGAAAAAATGTTTACGTTAACTCTTTATTTAGAAATATATATATATATATATATATATATATTGAAAACATAACAATTTCATTGAAGAAAATGTACAAGTTGGCAGTTTGAAAACTTAAACTATTACTATATACTGATTTCCTTTTTTATACATAACCATTATTCAAACTTGATAATAAACTGTTACACTATTCATAATTTTCACAGGTAAGTAATTAACATTTTAATTTAAGAAAAATTGTATAACTCATGAATATCAAAATTTAAAATTTGCAAAAATTGAAGGAAATAATTAAAAAAATTATGTTAAAACATAAAAATAATAAGAATAGTGAAGGTCATAGCTACTGAACCTCTGTGGTATAACCATTATTATTGAATCGTCTTTCTTTCGATTTTAATAACTATAAGAAACTAGATAAGTTTTTGAACAAGGTCACGTTTCATATAAGACTATTAGTGTTGGTATCTTTGTAGGAAAAGTTTAGAATATAACGTTAGTATTCAACAAAAAAATTAAAAAAATTAATTTTAAAATTTTATTGTAACAATTAATGAATTACGATTAACCTGTCTATCAGACTTAAAGGTATAAATATTGATCGAAATAATTGCGGATTCGTCTAAATATTTAAAGTAATTATTGTTACGTACCTATTATTGATTATGAGTTTTTTAAAGTATCGATAAAATGAGCAATAAGGTCTCATTTGTATTTGGTAATCATAATTTTATAACACAAACAAAAACAGTTAGGACATCTTCATCACCGCGATAAAGAATATTTTGGTTAAAAATAAACGTATTATTTGCTATTTATTAAGAGTTGTACTTGAATATTACTAAAAATCCTCATATACTCGTATTTCTATGCATGAACATACAGATATTTTATTTTTTTTTCTACTAATTATATTTTTTAGTTACAAGTAAATATTATGTAAGTTATATCTGTATATTTCTTACTCATGTTCTAAGAATAATGTTAGGGATCATATTACAATGAATTGTACCTTGAAACAGCTGCTATAATAAATAAATTTACCATGTAGTCACTATCGTAGTCTGTATAATAAACTCGATACATTTATTTTTGTTTCATTTTTATTATACAATCTTTTTTTTTTTTATGGTATTAGTGTTATTGTTATCGATTTAATTCACATTATTATTAATGATATCACCGATTTAGGTACTCGCGTTATGTACAGTGAGATAATTTTTAATATTACATTTATTAAATAAACATATCTCCGATGGTGGTAGGACATTTTCCGAACACAATATTTACAATTCGCACCGTGTGACTGCAATTTAATTCATACTAGACGTGCACACGTACAATTTTTCGTAAAACATTATTGCACACGTCACACAATAATCTTCGCCCTACTACAAACGAGCGACCACTCGATACAACTATAAGCGCAATGCATTGTAGTATTCTAGAGGGGAGCGGGCGTGTATACAATAGGAAGCACATAATACTGTACCTACCACCAAAAACTACACGAACAAAATTCAAAAAATATGTTTTATCTGTTTCGTTTTCAATCGAATCATATTTCACAATCAAAATACTTTTTCTCCACTTGAATCTAATTATTCATGTTTCGTGAACCAACATAAAAAAAACCAATGAAAAATAGATAATCATTATAAATAAGAATTTTCTTTGGTCATTCGGGAATTTTTTTTTTATAAAGTGCAGTGAGAATAGTAATTGTGCAGTTAAAATTTTTAGTTCGTGCAGTGCACCAAAAACAATTCACCATTATTATTTATTCTATGCTATAAAAAATAATAATTGCATAAGCCTCGAATAAAAAATAAAAAAATGTTTCAGGAACAATTTTGAAAATTGATTACTGATTTTTAGTTTTATTTTACCATCTGATCGATTGTGAGTTTCATACTTACAAACGGGGAGATTTAGTGTTATTTACAACCACAATAACATGATAATTACAGATTAAGAATTTACCAAACAACTGTTTATTTGGATATAAAACAAATAATTGTTAATTATTATTACTAATAATACCTGTAGGTACCTATGATTTTAATTTACATACTAAATTATAAAATTATTATTTACAAGTAAAAATAGTGCAATAGTGTAAAACAATTAACTTGTATGTCATGGGCAATAATTGTATTTTTTAGGTAGTTAAATTTTTTTGTAGAGTCAAAAAAAATCATTAAAAAAAAAAGCCCCAAGGTAACTTACTCACCGGTAATATGTACCTAAATAAATATTATAAACAAATGTCATTCTTTTAAAAGAATTTCCTAGAAACATTAAGCGTCATAAGCCTGTAATTTGTAAGGAACTATTTTATTTTTTTATTAATAGCTACTAGTAATAAAATTATGATACTGCACTGTGGTTTATATCATAATCGTATAGTATAATTGTAATATGTTCGAGTGTCGTAAACACTTATTTCGATAACGTTGTGTCCTAAGGTTAATAGTCTTTCACTTTTAGTTTCATTTTCGTTTGAAGTTGGAATGGTCTATTACCCGAACAAAATTTCACTCTTAGTTGAATGCAAACATGTTTTTTTTTTGTTGATTTATATCAATTAAATATTCGTTTAATTTAATGATAAATATTTTTTTTAACCATACCATTCTTGTCAAATTATTTAAAAAACTGAGATATTAACTAGTATCAAATAGTGTCACACAGAAACAAAGAGACTTCCGTTTCCAATCACTACACATTAATATTGAATTACCGATATTAAAATATGATAAAAAAAGTTTGACTTATATATATTATATTAAATTATGACATTGTTATTTTCTTGTTATTTATTTTATTCTGAGTTTGTTAGAATATTTATGTGTTGATACGTTCATTTGATTTAAACTATACTGAAATAAAAATATAGTTTATTTTAAATTGTATTTTAAAATAATACATTTTATAACATGTATAAGAAAAATTCTGATAATATCACAAGAATAAAATTTGATTTTAGACTTTTCCATCCATCGTATCACCATTTCAGAATACAACGTAATAATGCATAGATGAACTAGTGTATATTCCATATTACAAGGCTAACAACTTTACAACTTACATAAATCAATATATTTAAAGTATAAGTTTACACATGTATATTTTAAATGGGGAGTTTTCATTTTAATTATTTTAATTGTCAAAAATAAGTTGTACAACAATTTAGTATAGCCACGTTATACTATTTAGTTATAGTTAAATAATAGTTTCATTATTGTTCATAAATACACAGACTAGTAGGTACCATATTTATTCACTTGAAACATATGTAATCTTCCAACGCGTATATCGTACACAAATATATTTCCTTGAACCATGTAACTATCGTGAGATGGATGGCACTGGGATATGGCTGTATGTGAACCGTGATAAAATTACACCTTTTCTAAAAGTTGATATGTAAACTGCGCAAAAAAAAAATTTAACATTATACAATCTGCTACAAAACCGATAAAGATACATTATACAAACTGTGACAGTTTATTTTATATGTATAATATATATAGATACTATATACATACCGATACGATAACATAAATAGGTATTTATGTTATAATGTATAACAAGTATTTATATGCAACATATATACATCTATGTGCTATTATGTACATATATCATTTAGTTAATATGTTATAGTGGAGACAAATTTGTAAGAAAAATCCAATTTTTTACGCAATGTACTAAATATCGGCTCCTTCGCAAGTACAAGATTATACTAAACAGTAAAATGCTAAATAAATTTATTAGAGTACCTAAACAATTATTATATTAGTAATTTAATATTTCAATTTTTAATTTTTTTGATTACACAATTACTACGATCTATTAAAAACAATGTTACAAAATGTCAAATTAATTTGTGTAAATTAATCAAACATTTAACATATTATAGTAATATTTTAAATATTTAACATATTAATTAAATAATTAAATGTGTTAATTACATAAAATAATGTATTATTAATTTATTATTTCAATTTTCAATTTGTTTAAATCTATTGAATACAATATGTGCATGTTACAAGATAGCAAATGAAGTACAAACATTATCGATCATGAAGTTAAGTCACCGATCAAATGCATACCTATATATAGCTGTACCTTAACATTTAGAATGGTACACGATTTCGCACAATATACCTTTTTACCTACCCGATTCCGCACATTTTCATAATACAAAAGATTTTTTTTACTTAACCCAAGTTTTACACGATTCCGCATAAAAATGTTTGCGACGTTGCCAATTACGAGGAAAAATAATTGTAGTTATAATATTAAATAAAAAAAATTATTAAAAATAAATTTTATAATTAACAATAAGTAGTAAATTACAATTTTTTTCCTTGATATCGAGAACCAACTTGTGATAAAAATTGAATGATATCAATTTGATTTGTTTCATATTTATTGTATGCATTCATGGTGAATTCCATATGTTTTTTTTTTCGCGTTCAATATTTTCCGATCACTATATAAAGTAATTTATCTGATTTTAGTTTCGGTTTCCATCAATACTTTTATAACTAAATAAATATGTGGATGAGAGTGATAAAATTGGCCGTAATATATGTGATGAAGAATCAAAATAATGTTATAATATGACTATTTTTATAATACAATCTGCAACGTCGCAAATTAGTTTTGTGCGGAATCGGAATGAAGAGGTATATGCGGAATCGTGAATCTACCAACATGGACCAACCAACATTTGTATCTAATTAAATGATAAACGTATATGTTATCTTATCGGTATGTATATAGTATCTATATATATGATAAATGGTAACAGTTTGTATAATGCAGGGTCGAAACGTATAATACAGTATAGTATAAAACACGTATTATACGTATAAAAAACAAGTAGTTTTATACGTTTTATACTGTATAAAGAATAAAATCTCTTATAAAAAAAAAAAAAATGCATTTATAATTTAAACATTTTAAATTTAAACACAATAAAACAAGGAAATATAAATTATAAATAAACAATCGTGGTGCTATTAATCTATTGTTAATAATTATCATTATTTTATCGCGGACGTATTTATAGTAAATTAATTGTACTTATGATATTTGTAATACTTTTAATATTTTATATTAATATGTTATAAACGAAAAATTAAAGTAGATATATAATATAAAATAGTAGTAAAATATATGTTTACTATGTATAAAAATTAAAAACCTTACTTAATATCTAAAATAGGAAGAATTTTTAATTTTTAAAAGTAAATTTCAAGTACGAGAATATGTGTTAAATTTATTTTCTAAGAGTCGGATTACAATAGCTAGTCGGTCGCAACACCGACAATGGCATCATTATTATTATTTATTTATTTAGGCGTATAATCATAAACGATTAAATAGCATAATAAACAGTGCAACACTAATTATTTATACAATCGAATTTTAAATAGTTCGCTGCCTCGTGATTCATTTCACTTGCAGGTGCAGATATCAATTAGCATTTAACAGATATCATATCAATACAATATTATCACGACGTATATGTTGTAACTATAGTTATACGCAGGTGAAAGTGGACATGTCTCTTCTGTTAAAAGGTTTTTAGTGATTTTTTTCATTAGTTATTATTGCATTAGTTTTTTAAATGTGTAATCTGTACATTGCATATTCCATACGACATATAATATACTTTTTGACCCACTGATATACGATTGACTTTGGTTTTTTCGCTTATTCTTTGGAGCAATTATACTATCACTTACCTTTCTAGTCTCGACGACTGCGCCTTATTGTCATGCACCTACAATAATAATATACATTATATACTTAGGTACTACACGCATACAAGCGTCTGTTGTAGGAAATAAAATCTAATTTGCTATTAAACTACGTTAAGCTATGATATTAAGATCGACAGTTGGTGCACAGTTCTTATGGAACCCAATAAATCGAACATACTATAGGTAAATTTTATATGTAGACTATTGTACGACAAAATTAAAAAAAAAAAGAGATAAAGAAAATAAATTCTCAGTAATAAAAAACATAATAAGGACAAGGAAGTTTTTATTAATGAAGAAGGTATCTATTAATTATTTTTTTTATAAAATATGATTTTTATAATGTGAAATTTACATTAGAATTAGGCATTTATTATAATATTAATATGTAATTCTTATTTATTTATACTTATTGCATACCTTTATAAAATAGATATTTTAGATTCAATAAATTGGCTAAAGTACAATATAGAATCAAAAATAACTTTACACCAGTTATGGGCTGAAACTATACATTATAGAAATACTAAGCAAATAAATGAAAATGCTTTTCATAAATATCCAGCTTTAAAAAAGATAACAGGTCACATACTTGTAAGCTTAGTCACACAACTACAAAAGGAGGTTTCCTTATGCCATAATAAATTTAAAAGTTTTTTGAACTGCAGTATATTTAATTAATATTAAAATTAAAATAAATACATTTATTGCTTTCAAATACATATTTTTTAAATCTTAATAATAAAATAAAATTGTTATTTTCAAATATATAATTAGAAATATACACAATGATTTTTTTTAGATTGATATGGATTTTTCTTACTTAATTCCATAAAAAGACCAATATCTTCTACAAAAATATTCAAGTATTCAAAAGTATTCAAAAATAAGTTGAAAACATATTTTAAAAGACAAGTAAATTTATAAGTTTAAACAAAACTTGATTAAAAATATTATAACACCTGCTAAATTAGACAAGTTGTTTTACATAACTGTTAACATAATATAATTAATAAATATACAATTGGAGTAGGTAAACAGAAAAGTAGGCACTCATCTGTAATTTTTTTTAGGTGATGATGATTTAGCAGCTATACAAATACTTCCTTATCTATTCAAATCAGTAAAAATTAAAATTCCAAAGAAGACTATAAATGACGACAATCAGAAAATAGTTAAATATTGTATGTGGAAACCTTCAAAAGTAGAACAAGCTAGTGCTTTCCTAGTTAATATCAACTGTAAGTCTTAAATATTTTATTTTGTATTTGTCTACTATTTTGTCTCAAAAAAAAAAAAATAAAAAATATATCTTATAGTAACACAAGTATTCATAGTTTTAATAAAACAACAAAAACACTAAATCCAAATATCTAATGTTTAACATTTAAAACATAAAATAACACTAAAATATAAATTAAGTAGATACACTTACACTATACACTCAAGTTATAACTACTATAAGCCATCATTTCTTGGACTACTTACCTACCTACATTGTTAAATTAATACCTATTTATTTTATTATCTAATAGCTGTTGCGAAAATTTTATTAAATGGTACCAATACCTTCTCTAAATAAAATCTATGAAGTGCTTTTTTTATCATTAATAAATTATGAAATTAAAATATCTAATTCGGTTTAGTGATGGGAATAATCAAAAGAAAACACTCAAAATACTCTATTGTTTGATTTAATCAACTCGATTGTTTTGAAAGTAATTGAGTGATTATCTCGATATTGAAATCAATTGAAATAATTAATTTAAAAGTAATATTCTGAATCGATGGAGAGGTAATTTTTCGAGTGAATCACTCGATTGTAACAACATCTTGATATTCTTAATCATTCATTTATCAAAATCTCTCGAATGTTCCCATTACTATATTAAGTCTATTTTACCAACACTTTATGGTGTAACTATATTATTATAGTATTAAATATGGTATTAATTTAAAATTGCTTATTTCACAAAATAACAATGATATCAAGACAATCCACGAACAAAAAGTGAATAGAGCATTTGTTAATAATTTAACTGTTCAACCGTATATCGCCATCGGGGGTAATATTGAAGATGCTAGTAGTATATTGAACTACTATACTATAATTTGCAATATTTATTACAAATTCGAAACGCCAATTAAGACGTTAGATATTTGTTTTAAATAATTTCATACATTCAATCTAAACTATCCCCCAGAAGCTGAGTAGGTTTGGTGGTTTATTTAAGATTATTTTATTGAAATAAAAAATTTCTACAAAAAAAAAATTGTTGTTGTTCAAACTTTAATTAAAGATTTACAATAGCAGTTTAAGTTTAAATTGGGTTATTATATATCTATATTTAGTTATCTATATTTTTTTATATTATTTATTGTAAAAAAACCTATACTATTTTTCGAATAAGAACGCACCGTGTCGCACATGGTAAGACATTAAGATAAGACTTAGAACATTTAATTTTTTTTCTATGGTGTAGTGTTTTTCGTCTTTCTTTTACTCTTTGTTCACGTGTTAAGGCAAAACATTAACGGTGTATAATTTAAAACGGTTTTCTTTTTAATAATTAAAGTTACAAGTCATAATACATTAATTGTCTCTTATTTATTATTTAACACCACCATGTATTGACACGGCGTTAATCAATAACAGAGGCTATGGTGATTTCGCTTATTTACCATAAAATTAAACGCTATTACCAAAAAATAACACAATTGTTCCAAGTCACCTGGACACATGCATATACACATGCATAGATTGCTTTAACAAAAATCATATTTAAAATGTCTTAATATTTTTTTTAAACTACAATGTATACAGTTTATATATTATATATTAATTATTATATTTTAATATAATAATTTCTTAAAGTTAATCAATATTTAAGTATTTTTAATATTATAAACTGTATTTAATACCAAGTAGTATACAAAAGTATTTATAAATATTGTCATTTTTATTAAATATTTTCAAAGATTAAAATTTAAAAAAAATTGTTTTTTTTATACCAAAAGAATTGTCATGTTCTTTTTTTTATGAATTAAATACTCCACCACTTGCAATTAATTAGTATTAAATTTGTTGTATGATATACACGAGCTCGGCCAGATTTGTATCCGCCGCCCACGGTGAATTATTATTTGAAAAAAAGTATATATGTCCTATTGTTATTTGTTTTTGGAATAAATCTATACACAAAATCTTTAATATGTTGTTATTTTAATTAGTTACCAAATAACCAGTAAATCTGTTACACAATTGAAAATAAAAAATAAAAATAAATATTTTTTTTACAAAAACGAAATTATATTTGAATACCATATTAAAAGAAAAAAAAAAGAAAAAAGTAATAGCATGTACTAGCCAATTATAATAGCTACAATTTGAATGAATATAATATTGTAATTTTATAGTAAAAAGTACTATACATGACAATAGGTACTGCTAAATATATAAAATAATTAAATATAACATTTGGTTACGATTACATCATTTTATAGTAGTGGTTATTACGAGTTATAGTTCAATAAACTGTTAATTATAGTAAAATAAATTTCTGCTGCAGTGATCTGAACTAAACCTTCCAGTTCTAACTATTATAAATTTCATTATGTACTACTATAAATATTGTTTAAACTAAATTAAAATATACAGTGAACTATAAAATAACAGTAGAAATTATTTTCTTGTAACAATGATCATAATAAGTTAACTAATAATAACTTATAGTAAATCTCACTAACATTATAGCTATCCCTATAACAATTATAAAATACTGTTAAATCTACTATTTTAATAATGGGTTGAACCGTTTTGTTTTTTCCGTGCGCGGCCAAAAAACGTCTCGTTTATCTTTTGAATCAAACTCTATAAAAATTATCACAGTGATGTTTATTGGCTGCATCCGCGTAAACCAGTGCTTCTCAACCTGGGAGCCGTGGCCCCCTAGGGGGGCGTGAAATATTTATTTCATTTAAAATTCTTGTAACCGAATTTAATGAAAAAGAACTCACTACATTTTGGTTAAGACGACAGCAAGAGTACCTATCCTGTAATCTTGAAAGCGGTTTTACTTATTTTAATACCTTTCGCACCAACAACTAACATCAACAACAACTAACAACTTAAAATTATATTAAACAAACATAGATTAAACATATCACAACAGTTCTTAAATGCAAACTTGCGTATTTAAGTTCCAAATATCACACCTGACATAAATATGTTAAGTGAAAATGTGCTTTATTATTATTATTATTATTAACCTAGCCTTTGTTTGAAACCAAATCAACATTATTACTTAATATTCTTGTATTGCTTTATAGTTATTACCAATTATTTTTTGTTTATATATATCTTAAGTTTTATACAATTGTAGGATTACATTTCAAAAATATATTAAAAAACATTTATTTTCTTTACATTTTAATAATTTATTTGTGTGAAATAGTAGATGCAAATTTAGTATATCATTAACAATAAATAATTAATGATTTTTATTGAGTGGGGCCTTGACAGTTTTACATTAAATTTAAGGGGCCTTACAACAAAAAAGGTTGAGAAGCACTGACGTAAACGTTATCGATTATAACAATAGGATGGCTTATCTGTGTAATATTTTAAAATCAATGATGATACATATTAATACACATGAAGTGCCTGATAATCCGTGAAATTTTGGGCAAATTAAATAATTGATAATGAATAATGTTTGAATTGTGTAATAACAATTTTTAGTCCAACCCAACTGACTTAAGTCTACATTTATCAACGTAGCCCTCTCCTATGAACAACTATCAACTTAACTATTGAGCATTACTACCAAAGTGTGCGACCACTCGTTCAATTCAATCGGCAAAGCCGAATTCAGTAGGGACTATAATGTTATTAATGATATATACATTTATAGTGATGGTAGCGGAGAAGCGATTCTTTAACATAACATCGTACTAGTACTATGTTGGCGATGTCAATGACTCAGAACAGTGATTATAAAAATTCGGAATATACGTATTAAAATTCAAGTAATAAAATAATAATTTAAAATTTTTGTATAACGTATAATGATTTTGAGGTTCATGAGTGCATTGCGGAACCAAACATTGGATAAAATGTGATCAACGTCTCTAAAGCTGGATATGGTTAATAAATACTTTATAGGTCACGTATCGTGACGAGATCACCAAAATATCATGTGGTACGAATATATCCCACCTATCCTCCACCGTGGACGGGCGTTTGAGATGTCCACACGCGATGCACTATATATATAACGAATGACGAGAACGGGTGAAAAATGGAATATTTTATGTTTTTGTGTTGCTCCACATATATATGTATACTTGACTATAATGCAGTTGATGACAGTGTTTTTTTTTATAAATATTTGAACAGGAAAATATTTTCGTATCGATCTCTCAGAACTCTCTAGTCCAGAAATTAACGAATATTTATTGCCTTCTATGCTTATTAACTTAGAAAATCTAGGTATCCTATTGAATTGGTTAAAACTTTCACTAGTTGATATAAATTCGTTTATGTACTTCTTTTTTCCTTTTTGAAGACAGATATGTTCAAAAAATGGAATACTACCTCTCATCATATTTTTTTAATAAATAAGTTTATCAGAAATATGTAAAGTTTTCATAATTTTTAAATATAGCACGAAATTGATTTACGTAAATATACACAGGCGGAACGGGTTATTTCATTTTCGTCTTATATAAATAGGTTTTTATTCTACGCGGGAGATTTACTAATCCGTCAGTATTCGAAAGTACACCGATGAGCTATAATAATAATCATGTTTTAGGTTTTAAATTGTCAAAAGAATTTATTTTAAAACTCAGAAACAGTTATATAGTATAATAATTTATTTGTTATACATGAATATATTTTATGATAATTGTGCTAAAAATGAATAATTTATATGGCAAGTATACACAATAGTATAGTTTGAAATGAAAATGTTTAAAACCAAAATTTTACTTGTATTATAATAGTAATAATCCAATGGGTAATAGGGATGACTTAATTACGCGAAACAGAATATTTATTAGACGCGAGTTTAAAGTTAATCTTAAATTCACATTAAAGATAAGACGATCACTACAGATATATCAAACTTTAAATACTTCTAATTACTTTTATTATTAAACTTTTTGATGATTAAATAATTGTATTTATTTGGTAAAGTACGAACGTTATTCATGAAGCTACCAGTTTTTTTTTTTTGTGAAAAGAAAACATTTTACAAACACACTTTCTCGCCTGTATTGATTACGTTTAAGAAGCCTTTGACATGCCACAAATACAAACTACAGTAATTAGATACTCGCTAGCTGTGTACTTTGCGTACCAGTTAAATATTGTATACAGTTCAACCACACGACTGAAACTTGTAATAGTATTCATACTCGTTAATTAACTCAAAAGTACAATTGTCATGGTTATGTTATTAGTCAAATTAACAGAAATGTCATTTTTAACACCTATTTGAGTATACTTAATTATGAATTTACAACAAAACAACATATTTTACTGAACACCAATATTAATTGTACGTTTTAGATTATACTTAATATTATAAAATATCATTTTACGATTGCTATTTTCCACTCAGTAATTCTGTAATAAATAATATTCTTCTAACGTGTCCATCTTTTTTAGTAAGATATGTCTAACCTTTGTCCAGAGAACCATCGTTCTCCGACATTAGTACATTTATTATTTTTACCAACAAAAATATTATTCAAATTAAATTAATATAAATAAGTATCGCATTAAATTGGGTGTCTGTTTAATTACATATTCTGAAATCTAATTACCAGAGCTCGTAAGTACATGCATTTGCATATCAATTTTGCAAAGTTGTATTTAATGCTAGATGAAACAGAAATCCATTTCAAGGTACCACGGTTAAAAATGTGAAATCTTATTTTGCATGTTTTTGTTTATTTGACATATTTATGCATATTTCTATTTTATCGGGCATATTATACAACATTCTATTAGTATCGATCAAAAATCTAAATGGAAAATATATATAAAATTAAAAATAGAAATTGTACTATTTTTTCTTTTTTTATATTCTTGATACACGGACATTTAATGAATAAATTTGTCCAAAAGTTTCAGATTTAAAATTAATTACTGAAAAAGACGTACATTATACACAGTTCATGAAGGCTCAAGAATAGTTTTAAATAGTATTTAAAATCTATTTTTTTTTTTAATTATGAGATAAAAAAATAAAATATAGCTATAAAAAATTGAATAGATAATTTATGTAATTTCAAAAATTATTTATGATTTATTTAAGTAAGCATTTTTTAAGTGCATAATTTTAGATATTTAGTGCATATAAATGCATATTTCAAAGCATATTTTGCCAATTTTAAGTGCATAAATGCATGCTTATTTAGGCATTTTTTAGGGCATGAACTTACGAACCCTGCTAATTACCATGCAGCGCCATAACACTGCATTAAAACAAATAAACCAAACAATAGGTATTAGCGGTGAAAAGATGCCTGAATGCGTATATTTTAGTTTTATTACTACTAAGCATCCCCTCATAAATTGTGTTCAACGAATCAAATGTTAATACATTTTGTTTTACAAGAATACCAAGTAGATATAATATTCAAACATTTTATAATATATATATATATATATATATATATAACTATATTATTCTAAAATTAAATATTTTTGTACCAGCGATGTTTATTTTATATCATATGTAAGCGGAACACGTCCGCAGTTAAAATATGTGTTTAAATATATGTACTGTAATAATTTATTATGCGTTATATAGCTTTTGTTCATATTGTTTATTTTCAATGATGAAGTAACTGCATTTCTATTAGAGAAGGACTGCCATTCAATACAATTGAAAATACTTTGACGTAAGTTACGTCTTTGGGGAGGGCGTAGAGTAAATTAGTTAGGTATATAGTTTTAAGAGAGACAGAAAAATCACTTAAAATACCGAAAAACGTTGGCTGTCGTTTTACTGTACACATTTTCATTATTTAGCACTGTGATCTCAGTGCTGTGAATTATTTTTAAACTTCGATTACGGAAATTGAACATTCGGAGGTACGGAATTGCATTTTATTTTGCAGTCAAAAGTCTAGTCTACTCAGTAGCAACGAAATAAAAATAAAAATGTACGAGTATTTTTCGAATGTAAAAATACCTTTGCTACAGAATATTTCTAACCATTACACTTAATTGTTATTGTAATTTTACGTTTTTACTGAAGTGTTTTAAGTGTATTATTTTATAATTTAAAACTGAATTTGCTATTAACAATTTTTACGTACGTGTTTCGGGGAATTATTTATATTTTATGCATATACCACCACATCATACTCCGTTGACTTTTCAATTGTCCAACATTCAATGTCATAACAATTATTATTTTAAATAACGAAGATCAGTGCATGCAAGCTTATCTTAACTATTGATGAAACCGTATAAATAATATTATTTGACTAAAATAATAAATTAATGCTTAGTTTGGAGTATTATTATATTTGTAATGTATGATCGATTTTGAAATAAAAAATCATCATTGGATATATGTATACAAAGTCAATAATTGTAAGTATAAGCCATACGTTACAAATATAATAATTATCTAGTCTAAGAATTCATTATTTCTATATTTCTATCTATAAATGATTTATTTATAGATTAATTTATGAGTATTAACAATTTATTGATTTGTACATTATCTTTTATTATTTTATTGATATAATAAAATAAACAAAAAAAAAATTTAATTTATATCATAACAAAATTAAAATATATTTAAGACTTTTCAATTATTGGTTCTCTAATTATTTATTTATTACATTTCTTAACTGTTACTATAAAATGTTTAGGTTATCATATTTTTTAATAAACAAATAGAACTAATTATTCAATCGCCTGATACTGATCAGACTTCTTGTTTAAACGAATCAAAAAATATGTTAATATTGTACGTACCTCATTTATAATGAATTATTGTTTATTTTCAATCGTATTCGTATTTTATTAACCTGGTTTTCGTGTTCCAGCGTTTTAAGTGTACCTACCTAGTTCGGAGATAGTGTCTAATCAATTTGATTTAGTGTATAATTTAAAAAGTTTAAAACTAAAAATAACATAGGTTTACAAGTATTATATGTTATATTACTTTTTTTTTTTTTAAAAATAACCTACTTGAATGTAGGTAACGCATTTATTGAAAATGGTACGGTTGTGACATCGCGTGACTTCAGATCTTTATAACTTTAGGTGAAATAATTCAATTGTATTATTTTATGAGGTTTTCAAAATAATACCATATTGTATTTATTTTTATTTTTAAATTGGCACACTACAATTATAAACAATTTATGGAAAAATGACAATAATAATCGATTGTGTAATTTCTGTTCTCATAATAACAATATATATGTTACGGGTAGAGTACAAATTTCGAACTCTACCCGTAACATAAACACACATAAAATGTATTCGGAAAATAAGAACCCGTCATTAAATTTGTACTTTATACTCATATCAGTAATATTTTTACACATTTCAACACGCGTGTCTCGTAATATTCTATTCACGGTGAGAACAAATTAGAAATTTTATTACATCCAATGATCAATTATAATAGGATACATTTTTATTTTATGTATACATAGTTTTAAATATTTTACAATACTAAAAAATTAATAAGCAACACACACAATGAAGTATATATACCTTATTATGTCTGAAATTAAACTTGTAATAAGTAATCAACTTGTAATTATTGTACTAATTTAGATAATTTAGACCTATTTAAAATAAGTGGTAGTAATGTATAATAGTATACATAATATTTAATTACAATTTATTCCTGTACTTTTATTATAATTGAATATTAGTATAGTAAGATTCGATTTAATTATATTATTATTTACAAATTTACAAAATTGTATCGAATAACACGAAACTATTTAATATTGTACAAATTAATTCATAAAATGGGTGATTTTGATGTATTATTGTTCGTCTTACATTTTCTACATAGAACATTCTCGTATGGAACAAAAATAATCACACAAATTATAATTAATTTCATACTTGGATATATATATATATATATAACTATTTAACGCTTATTTATTGTGTTGGTTTGATGAATTATTGTTTAGTTTCTTCATTAGATAATTGATTCATAGACTGACTTTCATCAGCGTTATCAGAATAACCATATCTTTCATTATTAGGATTCTGTTCGTATGGTTCTACATACTCCGATTGTTGTGTTTGATAACTATTATTTTCATAGTTCTGCTGTGGGTCATAATTATTGGTCGAAGAATCTGGATAATAAGATGCATTAGTCTCGTGTTGATCGCCAACATAACCGTCGTACTGCTCTTTGGCAACGGTTCCATCGTAATGTTCATCTTGTTTTTGATAATAGTAATCATCGTTCGCATGCTGATCGTTCGGATAGTTTTCTTGTTGCGCGTGTTCATCGTACTGCTCGGGCGGAACCCTTTCTGTGTTCGCATTTGAATTATCTTCGTAATAATAATTCCTTTGCTCCCCGTCCACGTAATTTCCTTGGAGCTCGGATTCCGCATAATGCCGGTCGGCATGATTTTCACTAGTATTTTCTTCTGGACGATTTTGATAATAATAATCATCATGATTAACATTTTCAGCCACGTACTTGGCCTGTTGACCATGATCGGCATATTCATTTTGTGATTGTCCTTTTGGATTAGCGTCAGAATAATTTTGGTAATAATAGTCATCTTGAGCTGAATGCTGGTCGGCATAATTTCCCTGATAGTTAGGATCGACATATTGTTGGTCCACTTGTTGCTCTTTCCCGTCATCTTTTGCATGATTTTGGTAATAATAGTCATCGTGTTCATCATATTCTCCTTGATGTTCCGGTTGAGTGTATTGGTTTTCTAGCATTGATTCTTTTGGATCAACATTAGAATAATTATTTTGATAATAATAATCATCATCAGCGTGTTGTTCGTCAACATAATTTGTTTGTGTGTTGGGCTCTTCGTATTGATTTTGTGTTGGATTTTCTTTACTGTCATCTGTAGGGTTTTGGTAATAATAATTATTTTCATCGTGTACATTATTTTCCTCGACAAATTCATTATGCTGGTTGGGTTCAATGTTATTGTTTGTTGTAATCTCTTTGTTACTTTCAGTGGTTCCATCTGGATAATAGTTTTTCTCGTTTATGATGTGTTCATCGGTATAGTCCGGTTGATTTTCAAGATTTTGTATTGTATGCTCTTGATAATGACTATTATCAATCGTGAATTCTTCATTTACAATATCTTGTGATGGTCCTTGCTCTATTGGAATTGTTTTCAACTCAGAACTATCTCGTTCATTGGATTGTATTATATCTATATCATTATTTGAATTATTATCAACTTGATACGGTAGAATAGTTTTAACATTATTTTTTAAGTAGTTTTCATTATTATTAAATTGTTGGGGGTTCCCGGTTTCTTGTTCGTTGGTTATATATTTATTAGCACTTGTATAATCAATTTTGGATTGGTTGATAAATGTTCTAGATGATTCATTTATACTATCTGGTTGATTATTAAATTCTTGATCTAACTGATTGTCTGAATTATTTGAATATACTTTACCGCTAGAAATATTTTCGTTTGTCAATACTGACTCATTTTTGAAGCTTTCTCTTCGATCATTAATGTTAACATTGTTGATTTTATTTAATGTATTTTTTGTTTCGTCTTGATAATCAACTTGAGGTGGCTTAGATGTTTCCACTACTTTTCTTCGGTCATTATTATTACTATTACGCCTAAGAACACGATATGTGTTATTGTGATCATAATCTACTTTTTCAATATCTTTATAATTATTATGTACATTACTTTCTAACGAATTTGGTTCATTTTCCTGAACATCGTTCTTTAAATTTAAATATTTATTGGATTCAAAAGAATTTCCAATTGAAGCAAGTTTTTCTGGTTTATTTAAAGATTCCCTTCTGGAGTTTACTTGTTTATCACTTGGTAAAGCACGATGTTTGTTCATCGAAGCAGAATAATTGTCGTTTGATAATAAAGAGGTTCGGCGTTTGTTTTCATGTTTTGCAATTGAATTTTTTCTTTCTAGAAGTAACTTACGTTCATGTGTAATGGGTTTGTCGTAAGTATTTTCTTCAGTTGAATATTTATGATTAGGTAACTCAATATTTTCACTGTCAAGATCAAAACTAATTCGCTTTGAAACATTTGTGGATGTTTCAGGTTTTTTTATATATGAATTATTTTCTAAATAATCATCCTCTTTCTGTGAATCGAAACTTTCGTCATTTAAAAGTCTTTTTTCTGGTGACTTCAAAAATGAGTTTCTTCTATACAAATCTTCTTTGGTTAATTCAACTTTTGGATTATTTACTTGAGAATTTAATGAACGTGTTTTAAATACATCATCACCTTGCCGTTTGTTTTGTAATGACTTAAAATCAGAATAATATGTACTTTTTTCATAACTTGGAGTCGAATATCTTTCCACCCGTTCTTTGTGAGGATTCCAAACATAGTCTCGGATTTTTTTTTCAAGTAGGCTTCCAGAATTTCCTAGATTTGTTTTATCATACAACATATCTCGACTGTAAACTGGTGAACATGGTCTAGTTATACTGGAAAATGATCGTTGCCTCAAATCGGCCTCATAATAATCATCATATCCAGGATACGTTAAATTATCATTTGTTGGATAATACCTTTTACGGTATTCGGGTGAATATTCATAGCTTGTATTACCAACAGGGTAATTAATTGTATTACGATATCTGTAATCACCCATCGAATAAGATGGTTCGCGTTCGATAATTTTTACTGGTTTTGGATATCGTGTAGGCCAATAAGGGACTTCTTCTTCTGGATATTGTTGAACAGGTCTTCGTTTGTAAAATTGCTCTGTGGTGTGTCGTGGATATTGAGCAATAGGTTTTGATGTAGGAAAGTAATACACTTGGTATTCTTGACAATTTGGAGTGTAGAAGTTCATAGCTTTATTATATTTTTTAGAACTTATTGGCATATAATATGCACTATTGTAAGTATCAAAATCTGCGGACGAATAGTGACGAATTTGTGGTTTGTTATTTGGACGGAAGTCATTGTAGTTATTTGATGAATACATATCATTTGCGTATAAGTTAGTTTTATTTATACGTTTCCTGGTATCTATATGGTCATCAAATACTAAATATTTGTATTTGTTATCAAAATCTATTTTTTTAGGATACATTTTATTAAAACTAAGCGTATTTGATGAAGGTTTAGAATTATCCATTAAGCCGAGGTATTTAAGCCTATTGTGAATAGCCGATCCATTCAAAATTGAATTTTGTTCTTGTATTGTTTCATCGAGTGTTAGTTTTATTAGTCTGACGTAATTTTCGCATCGTTCCTATAATAATAAATGCAAAGTATAAATTTAAACAAATAATAACGGAAACAATCTTGACAAACTGAAATTATGTATTTTTATAGGAATAAAATTATAATTGATAAAGTAAATTTGGTTTAATATAGGTAATACCATTGATTTTATAATATAATATATATCCCATCCAATTTTTAAAGCTAGTAGAATTTTAATTAATAAAAACAACAACTTTCTTACATATTGTTGCTAACTAGGGTTTGGATGTTTATGAAATTCATATTTTTTCCTATTGGTCCAATTTAATGCTGACACGGTTAAAATACGATTTATTTTATACTGAATCAAATTATATTATTTTTATTAACATATTTTTGCATACTTTATTATTTTATATTCTAAATACATATTTCAGTACATTTAAGAACTTTTTAAAAACTATTTAAACTAACGAGTAAATAAATTATAATTTATTGACCCGTATAATTATACTTTTCCAAAATATTTTTATACTAAAGTTTAATGAAATTTAAAAAAAACCATTGTATCACAGTGTAACGCTCTTATTGTAAATTAGTATATGTTAAAAAAATATAAGATATAAAAATAACAACTGATAAAAATTAAGTATTATTATATTATTAAATATTATTTAAATAATTATTATAATTTATAAGTTATAAATTATAATTCATTTTTATTTTTAATACTACAGGTAATACACATTAAATGTACCTACGAAATTTTTATTCTGCTTATTTTGGTGTTTTTTATTACTAAAATGCATTTTTTTTTTTTGTGCATACTTTGAATGCATATTTGGTAATTTTTTAGTACATAAATATTTGAATTCTATTGATAATCTGTTTCTATCAAGTTATATCAAGAAATCATTGGGGTATAGTGACTTCTGGTTCACGTAGGCGCAATATATTTTAATGATAGAATGGCGGGTTAGTATAACATTCTAAAATCAATGCTTTGATTTTATCGCAATGCAGTGAATGTTGATGTGTACAATTATAGCAATATATATTTAAAAATTATACCAAAATACTAAAGTAGCATTATATGTAATATCTAAAACTGCAATATGAATAAAATATATGAAAAACAACGGCATAAATTATAAAAGAACTAACTTATCAAAATCACAATTTTATTTTTATTTAAATTATAAAAGTTGTGAGGTATTTGATGATGAGCAATTCGTTTTAATCTAATAACATGGTTTGGTCATGCATTTTATGATTTTAGATATTATTCATTTTCTCTAAGCTATAAATAACTCCTCAAAGGTTAGTATAATGTACTGAAAACAAATTTCATTTATTTAAAAATAGTTATTTTTATTCAAATCTCTATAATCATCTTTAAAAATGAAATATTTCTCACCCTTAAACATCGCATTCTGTCGATTTTCTCAGCCATCATATTGAAATTTCTCTGGACTCCATCCATTTAGGAATTTATGAATTATCTTTAATATGAACCGTAGAAGGACTAAAACAATCAAAAAAGATTTATTTATACCGTAGTCAATTAATTCATATTGTTTTTTTTTTCAAGCAAGAATTTTAAAATCTCAACTAAACTAATTATTAATCATATTTATTAGTTTATTGAACAGGTACTATTTTTAGTTATATATGACTGTACAAAATAATGTATAAATATATTTTATACAATTTACACACCGTAATATATTCATATTAGTTACTTATAATTTAATACATAATATAATAATATTATATATTAAATTAATTACAGACTTGATAGTATATCAATACGGTTCGATTATGAAATTTTATACTTTTTTGGTACGAGACAACAGTTAATTATAATTGAAAGTATCCTTTGGTTTGCTATAAATTGAATTTATATTTAGGCAATGGTTAAAAAAATAGTTTTAAAAATATGTAAGAAACAGAACTAATACCTATCACACTGTACAAAAATCACCGTTTTACTTTTTAGTAATGGTAGCATTCAAGGTTCATCAGGAAGGAACTTTAATATCAATTTAGCAATTAGGTACTCGTTTAACATTGAATAGGAATGAATTTGTTTCGATATTAAAATTCAAAAGACATTATAGTTGAATGAACTAGGTAAAGGGTGTTATTTTAAATTACCATCGTAAAAAAAACTGATTTAATGAATTATTATAATTTGAAATACATAACTACACACCAAACACGTGTTTTAAATTTCAACAGTTAAAGTTTTTATTGTGATCAAAATAAAAACCAGTACGTTATGATTAATTATATTATTATTATTTTTTTGGAAATTATGCGCTGAAAAGTAATAAAACTCCCTACTATTAAAAATATGTACCACGAAAGTATTAATTATTTATATAGGTAAATTATGTATTGTTTCTAAATATATTTTATAATAAAATTACAAGTTTGTTTTAAAATATTAAAAAAGCTGTACTTACTTACAAAAATGTACTAGTACTAAATAATTTCCAAAAGCTTAAATGACGTTGGATATAATTTGTTTCATACGGTCAAAATTCGAAATGTGCCAGAATAATTGTTCTGCATTTTACATGGTTTTAGTTTATAACATAGTTATACTATAATTGTATGAATAGCAAGTACTTGACTTTTTCTGGAGGTTACAGACAATTTTTTCACAAAAATGTACACTTTTAGATGTCCACTTGATGAAAAGAGGATAAAATTATTTAGCACCATTAAAAAGTCTGGTAATAGCTTGGAATGCCCATTGTACAGTATATATTTTAATTTTTTAAATTATTACATACTGAATATTAAGCTTTTATTTACCAGATAAACAAGAAATATTATTTTAAATTATTATTATTATCTATACTTATAAAACTTAATAGAGTAATTTTATTCTTGACTAACACGTTCAATTTAAAATAATTAACAACAATAGTTAATAAACATTTCGGTAAACATATATTCTGGTACGCTTAGTACTGAATAATGAGTCTTCCTTGAAAAAATCGTCTGTATAAACCGAGTATTCTGATTTTAACACCTGTACTTATAAACGGTTTGATTTTCGAATACTGTGTGATGTGACTGTTATACTATTTATTATTATAACGATCTGTCACGTTAAAAATCATAATAACTAAAAACGATAACCAATTGATTAATATTAATAGTTTTTTTAGCTTCAATTAAAACTTCAGTTTAGATTTTAACATCGTAATTGAATCGCGTCTTATAACCATTTAAAACCTTTAAACGATTTATTTATTTTAATATACAGTGATTTTCCCATCAACTTCGTTGTAAGTATATTCTGACGAGTGAATATGGCAATTTTTATAATTGTACTAATCATGATGTAATAACCATGGAAATGAGGATATGGTTTCAATAATGACTAAGCAATTTAAATGCACGCTTGTTTTCTTCTTTGCAGTATTATAAATAAAAATTAATTAAAAAAGTTGACAAAAAATCTTTCGGATATGTATATAAACGCATCGGTACTCATGCATATCTACAATTATAATAGCCAATAACAATGTCAAAATATACGATAAAATCGTATATATTGATAGAATTGTTTATAAATACAATTATAAAAAATACAATAATATGCTGTCAATTATGTCAAAATAATATTCTGATCATTTGAAAAAAATATTAATATCCATTACCGAAAAAGGTCATTATGAAAACATTAAAAATTACTTTTTAATCAAATCTTATATTTCTGCTTGATAGTATCTATTCATAGTAGTATACTCAGTGAATGCTAAAAATAATGTTTAGATTATACCGCATACGACGTAAATGTTGTAAATCATATAGTATGTTTCCTTTGTAAGTTATTAAAACGTTATAAAAATATTGAACGATTATTTGACATTATTTAACTCGACTAATGACTAATGATAAAACTCCATCGTTGGAGTATAGAGCCTATGTAGGTACTATGTACAATCGTTCAACCAACAATGGTACTAATATCTAGACAAGCATATGATATCAGTGTTTAAACGAGATATTTTTACGGATTAATTGTGAAATTGAAATTTTTCTGTCCAAGGATCACTAACAGATTTCTCGTATACGAATATATTACGTCTCGTGGTTGGTCGCAATCGATGTTTTCGTGGGTACCTATGCTATTTATGATCGTGTACTCGTAAAAGTTTACAACACACACAAGATTTATACACATATATGTACCTATGTATGTACATTTGTGCATACGTGACTGCTCACACGATTCGAACGATGAGACATCATAACGGTCTTCGTCATCGCCCACTCGCTCGGTATCAGTGTTATAATACAATTACATAAAATATCAGTAGTAGCTGGTAGAAAATAACAACACACCTCCCTCCAAACGTACACACATGCACATACACAAGTGTACACGCACACGCACATACTTAGTTGATAATAACAACAAGACTCTCATCGGCCATAGTCACACAATCAATATCCGATGAAATCCATGCAGTAATAACGTTATATTAAATAAACATAAAATATACACACACACGTATATATATATAGGTGTATTCAGAAGTTTTCCTCGAGTGAGGATATCCATTTATTAAAAAATTGTTTTAATAAAAATTAAATTTTTCCTCAACTATTATAACGTAATCCAAGATATATAAAATAAGGTTAAAATATTTTTTTCTGTTATACTTTTAAGAGCTTTAAACATTCATAATATAAAAAAATACAAAATTAATATTACAATCGAAAAATACTTGTAAGGAAAATAAAGAAGCTCTGAGGGTTATCCTCCCGTGTACGTGCATAGCTGTTTTATTGATAGTATGATGTACATACAGAGCCGTCCCGAAAAGGGGTCCCTTCCCCCAACGAAAACACCAGTCGGCAGTCGGACTTGTTTCATTATAGCCTAGAAGGATCTAATTTTACTTACATATTTCGTAATACAGTGTACACAGGAATAAAATTTATATAACTACTTATTACACAATATAAAATATTGTTATATATATTTAATTAAATCGTTAATTTTAAGAACGTGTGACACTGACACATATATACAGATTAAAAAGTAAAAATATGACTACATATAGTTAATTATACTACTTACATTGAGTAAAAAAATTGTAATCAGCATTTTTCATATTATTCACCCCCCCTCTTGATTTTCATCTTCAGGACGGCCCTGTGTACATACAACAATCGTATGATACGGCTGTCATTCAATTGTATATAATATATAGAAACACGTGGGGGCAATCACTGTGGTTTCCAATCAGAAGTAATTATTGTTTCCGGTGTAAATGCGATCATTAAATATGCGATGTTAATAAGGAAGGTACATGTATAGTATACATGATATGTATTCCTATAGTAACGTAACTATATGTTTTGTGTATATTGTAGTATTGAGTTGCGAACCCATTTGTTAAAATTTTGAATTTTAAAATTACCTTACAACAATTGTTATTATAGTTAAAGTAATTACGTATTTTTTTATGTCACATGTATATATGTTGTAAAGATATTTTTAATTTGTATGCAATTTATTGTTCACGTATAATAAATCACGTAGCACGATTTTAATTATTTGACACTATACTTTTTATGTGCTTAGAAACTAGTGAATTACACTATTATAGAAAATTTAAGAAAACACTTAAAACCTTATTGTTTTTAATTTAAATCATAGGAATCCGATTTAAGGAAAAATTGTAATTATTCAAATTATATTTTCACACGCAAAATTTTACTTCGAGCCCCATCTCGTCGCGTCGTAACTACACAATTTAGTGAAATTGACTATTTCATGAAAGAGTTATAATTTTTTGAAGTATTTTCGACATTTCTTTGAGTGGGAAAAAAACTGTTTCCACTTTAAGCGTCTCAACATTTCTTTACGTTTTTATTTATTGATTTCTTCATGTGTGTGCTTAAGTTGATTGTGAAACAATCTGAAAATTCTTCATACTAGAATATTCGCGTTTTAAATATGCTCTGATAGTAACTAAATACATTTTTCTAAGTTTAAATCTAGGCTAGTTATGTGATAATTGCACAAGTTTCTTTTAATTTGAAAATATAAAATCACATTTTGAAATTTTCTAATCAGTTATCGTTCCAAAATCAGTATTATATTATATTTTATTTTTACATCATAGATTTTGTAATTATTTTTAAGATGTTTCGATATTTTAGCACGCAATAAAGAACTATTTTTCGCAAATTTTGATATTTTTGTTCAGCAATATTTTTTTTTTTTAAATAATAATTCTATATACAATTACAGGCGGAGTTCAGAGTAGGAAAAATAAAAACGTACTTAAAATTCATCTTTGCACAGATTTGACGTGGGCTATAGCAAATACGTGATTTTGAAGGATTAGAAAATTCTTTAAATATCCGTCATTAATATTTAATGTATAGTTTCGACTCTTAAACGAAGAAACAGTTGGACCAATTTTCACACATGCACATAAGGTGTGTTCGATTTTCTCGTTTATATTATGATTTATATCTACACACAAAAGCATAATAGGTTGCAGCTCTGTACGTTGAAATTGCCGATAACATCCCGGTTGTATGACGGTTATTTAGTCGGCTTGAGTGAAAATTCACAAATAACAGAATAACACAATAGGTAAAATGTTTAAAAAAAATATCGTAACTTTTTTTTATTTTTACAATTCGATTTTGTCTGTGTAAATTTGATAACCAGATGTGATATGTTTATTTCGACTTGTAAAACGTGTTACTGTACAACACGGTAAAAGGACTAAATACATAACACAATTGATGATCAGTTTTTTTTTTTTTCATAAAATAACGGTGCTGATATATTATTATGAAATGTATTAAAATACGAGTGATGTGAAAACAACTACAAGTAGTGAATAATATTGATCGATGACAATACCGTCGGCGTCATGGCACGTAAAGATACGTGTCGATCATTCGATCATTCGTGCGGTATTCGTTTCCCGTGCGCCAACAGATAATTGTTATCGTTTTTGAAAACGAAGAAACGGACGTAAACGGAAACGTTGCGCCGACGTGTTCGGGACCACGTACGGAAGACTACTGCCGAACACCCGCACACGAATTCGGCTCTTCGTCCACGGCGGTGGCGATACCGTGTCAACCGGTATGGTCGGCGGAACACAAGTTTTTACGGCGGTGTACTGATAAACGAAACGGTATATACCTACGGTATAATCGTGCACGTAATGTTATGTAAATAAAATTTACGTTTATGTACGTTCGTTGGCGGTGCGGAAAAAAAATAATAACAATAACCACGTCGTCGTCACAAGTTCACCTTGGTACGAGTTTCGATCCTTCGGGTGGAGAAGAGGAAAAAAAAAAAAGGAAAAAGGAAAGCGTCTCGAAACGCACAAACCGTATGCATGTATTATTAATATAATAATCATTATCGTCGTGATGCCTCACCATCACGATATTATACATGCAGTTAACGTACACCCGCGTACTAATACACAACTTGTACGTGCGCAGTCCTCCTATTTTGATCTAGTTCGTAGTGTGTTTTTCCCTCTACCCGTTACATTCGCGAAATGTGTTACCTATACCACTACGGCTTGCGGACACGCGATCCGTCGCCGTTGTCGTTGCGCGCACGTAAAAGCGAAAAACTTTTTGTGCACTGTCATTTTATCATTATTGCCATTATTTTGTGCACGTTACCGCGTGTTCGTGATATTCAACGGGGATATTAATTTTTTTTTGTTTCTTCGTCCTCCGTTTACATGTCTTTGGCGTGTCTTGGAAATACGACGCGCCGTCATTTCTCTCCGTTTAACTTGAAAAGTATTATTTTTATTTTTTCGCAAAACCCGTGACTGTCACCGAATGACGTGAACGGTGCCGTGGCGAATAAGTCGGCGTTCCCTATTCTTTAGCGGCCCCGTGCGCTCCACGTTGGGATAGGCGGTGTTACTTTATCATCGGCAACAACAGTGCGCCGCAATTGAAGTGGATATCGTTTTTGGATTTTTATTTAAACATTAATTTATCCGTAAAATATAATGCCACAGCTTCATGTGTCACGTGCTGTTCACACTTGATGCTGTGAGGTTTGTTTTGATTTTTGTCTCCCACGTTTTTCCGACGTGGTCACAGCCACACAATTATATTATTATTAATACAATTCAAATAGCCAATAATTACGTATTAAACGCAAATGCTGTTGTTCTTGAAAAATTATTACTCTCGAAACGGAAAAAAAAAATCATAATAGACAATTTTATGTTTATATTGTTAAAATAAGATGTAATATGTTAATATATATTATATTATAGTTATATGTTATAGTTAATAAAATAATGTATTTTTATAATATGCGTATACACGATACAAAATAATACAAAACAAATTGTTGATAATTTATCAAAATGTGCAATCATTGCCATTATAATAAATTAATTTAAATCTTTCGTAGTTGGTAGTTGCCATTTGTCATTTATGTAATTTTAATAAAGTTTGAATAAGCAAAAATTAATTTTGTGTTAGTTAATTATTTCATTTTTTAATACCGTAAACAAAAACTATTAATGTTATTTTTAGAATTGGTCATTGTATTATCATTCCTTGTGTGTATTCTTGGTTGACAATAAAAATAACGAAATAATGAAATTTAATCTAAAAGAGGAATACACAAACAATAAACAATTTACAATGAAAGCCGTTAACGACTAGACTTCTTTCCCATTATTTACATTATACTATAGATGTACATTGGATGCACGTGTACCGAACCAAAACTCGATGTTAGTAGTGGATAATATATTAAATTGTTAGGATTTTGAATCAATTTAGTGCCCGTTTTTTCAGCGGGGAAGAACTCGTAAATTGAGTGAGACGGTTTGCCGTTACCGAATAAGCCTTGAACTATATTACACATCACTTTATAGAATTAATAGAGTTTATAATGACAGCTTTTTCCAATCTAATTTGTTCTTTTGATTTATATGATTTTTTTGTAAACTACAATACCTTTGATAAACTGTATTCATCAGGAATTTCCTGTTAGGAAATGTTATTACGTAGTTGCTTTTGATGTGACATCATAAATCGATAGTTTTAAAAATAAAAATAAATTAGAAAAAATAACTTTAACCAACGGTAAGATTAAAAAATGACTGACCATCATTAGCTGTTTTTATTAACAAGACAACAAATCATATTGTGTCTTTTATTTTCAGTTAATTGTTGTATTATTATAATAATCATATTATTTTGTACATTATGTTTAATTGGAATTTTCTATTTGTTATTTATTTTACTGTTACAATAAAAAAAAGTATTTGATTCATGTTATTGTTGGTATTTTTACAATATTTAATTTTTCTATTACCTAAAAATTTGTGCCAAAATAATTTGTTACTTTATCCTTATTAATGAGATGTAACTCACTTTAACTCACTATTTTAAATAACTTACCGACTATTTTTCACTATTTTTAAATAGCCTGCATTATTTTAATAACTACACCTTTTTTTGCCAAAATATTCTAGACTTAAGATTTTTGTAGTCACTTTCACTACAATATTTTCTAATAACCAGGGATCGAAAGTTCTAGCAAATGCATATTTTTCTTGGTTCATCCTAGAACATCCAAAGTAAAATACAAATATGTTTCAAATTACTTGGATATCATACACAAAATTTAATTTTGCTATTTTTTTATATATATATTTTATTATTACATTGCTAATTTAGAGTTTATAATGCTATATATTTTTGGGTATACTTTCACATAATACAGGAAATAATCACATTTTGTTGATAATAACGGTAATTATTATAAGTTATATTTTTAAAAATATTTGAATTATTGGAAATAAATAAAATTTTCACAATGGTGTTATTATTAGGTTGTACAAAATTATTATTATTTGCAACTTTACACATATTAAATTATATTAAGTTGTAAATATTGTTTTATTACATACTCGAAAACATATCATGTTATTCAGCCCAATAGAATAGAATGATTTTGTCCGCGCAGAATTTTATAGCATGTAAAACTTAAATAATTTGCTGTAATAATTATGCCCAATAATTGTGCCTGTGTGCCCCAAATCACAAGTCGTCACTGCATCCAGTGCTGTTATATAAAAAAAAAAAAAAAGCAGTATCCTCTGTAACTGTACCATCATTAGGTGTATTGTTTTTGTGAAGAATATATTATTGTAATACTTATTATTATTATATATATATATATAAATATATTTATTTTGTACAGATTAAAATTAAAATAAAACATATTTTTATCAATAATGTTTAGTAATTGTTGTATCAAAACAATATTTATATAATTTATTTAATTATATTATTCTAGTACTTGATTATGTGTAATAATAATTTTCAGTAAGATTTTTGTAGTCTAACCAAAAAGGATATTATTATTATACATAAGTATTAAGTACAATTATTATTTTTTAGTCATGTACAACAATATCGATATTTATATCAAGTTGTCACAATTTCTATTTTCTATAATAAACATTTTTTAGGTATAGTCAAATTGCACTTATTTTAGTCGAATTGCACTTGGGCTTAAAAATGTAATGGTCTAACTGCACTCGGGTAAAAAGCAGGTAGTGGTCGAACTGCGCTTGGGTTCAAAAAAGTATTTCAATAAAATTATCATGTTTTTGAAGGGGTTAGATTTATTTTATTTAGTTACATTTATTACCATTTAGTAATCATTAGTATGGTTAAAAATTATTGTTTTATACATCACATTATTATATGTTAATTATATATATTTATATTATAATTGTTATATTACGAGTATACTATAAATATTATTATTATTAGGTATACATTTTTTTTTTTTAATCGCCAAATTTAATTATTGTCATTATTATAATTTTTTTTCGTCATTTTAATAATTTTTTGTAGTAGGTAATGACCAACTGTATTCAAAAATTCTACCCTGGTAATACGCTTCTGAGTATACCTATATGTTATTATTATATAATATTATTTGCGTTATCTAAATTATATGAACTAATATATAATGCTATTAAATAAGTACGCTGAAGGGTTCTTCAACAGAAAGATTCATAATATTTTTAAAGGATTTTCTATTTTAAATCTTTTTTGAACGATTGCAGTTGGACCATTACCTTTTTTCAATCCAAGTGCAATTCTACCATTTATTTGTAGGTAATAAGTGCAATACGACTATCCCGTTTTTTTTTAAAGCAACGATTTTAAAAAAAAATCTGTCACTAAATTTTGTAATTAGTATTGTATTATTTTTAGCTTTATGAATTATATCATTAAATGTAAATAAAAGATGAATTTAACTTTTTTATGACTATAAGCACTAAACATTTTCCGTGTTAATTAAATTTAGTAGTACCTTAATTCATTTGAATTTTTAGATACATTTTTTCTGACTTTTAGTTATTTATCATGCTTTGAAAACATTTCAATGAATGTCCACTAAATTTTAATAGAAATGTTCAATGATAATTTTTATGAAACATCATTATTAAAACCATTTTTTTGGACAATTAAATAAGTATTGCATCATAATATTTGTAAATATAAAACAATAAGGAATTTTGTTTTACGATTGATGTATTAATTTAAATACTGTAAGATTTTCTACCTTAGGAAGCTGCTTACTTTGCTTATTGGGAAACTCACCTCTGATTATATCAATATATCGATAGTTGGAAATATATCGTTAAACATATTATTTTTTACTGTAGCACATTATACGTTATTTTTTTGAAAAACTATTAAAAGCTATTAAAAGTTATGTGGCTTATTATTATACACTATTACAGCCATGTCTATGTCTTTTTAACCAGTTAAATCTCACTTTTCCTGGTAGGACAGCATACAACTTAAAAAATTTACTCGTATGAATCATTATGATATTTAACCTGCACAAGTGCGGGGTTTGTATGTGTGCAGTGCCGCAACTATCGGGTGTGCAAGGTGTGCATTGCATATCGGCCCCCAAACCGTTATAGGCCCCATACGATGTATTATTATGAATTTGGTTGTAGACATTTTAACTGAAGTAAATTGATAAATATAAAAAACATATTTATCATATTATTAAATATTTATAATCAAATAACATACCCAACTACTAACTCATTGCCAATAACCAAATGCAATACCATTAATTATAAATACTATTATATTACTAAAGTATTCATAATCCTGTGGTAATAACAATTCGTAGAACAGAAATAGCAGAAAATAATGCAGGTCATTTAAAATTAAAGATCCACTAGACTACCTTCCATAATATAAACACCGGGTGACATATTTTATTTATAGTAGGTAAATATTTTTTTGAAAATATATTTAGGACCCAAATTCAGATTTACATACCAGCTCCATAGTGTATAGTTGCGGCATTGTATGTGCGTATTGTGACTTAGGTCTATTTATTTGTATTGTATTCCAAATATGTTTGTGTTGGCTTAACACTGATTTGTTTATAAATGTTGTTTCAGTGTATGTATATTTTTTTTATATTTTATTAATATTGTATTATTATTTTATTACTAGATACCAGTAGTATAGGTAAAGAGGGTCATCCCCATTACCATAATTTTTGTTACTAAATAAATAGATTATAATAAAAATAATCTTTATTACGTCCTTGATAGATACTTTCATTACTTATATAATGATACTTTTGATTTTATAACTAATTAAGATAAAGCAACATTTTAAAATAAAAGAAAATATGATGAAATAGTTCAGAGATTTACCTTTTTTTTTTTGTATTGTAATATAACCATATATTATAAGGGTTTGGATTTTATAGTATTGAGTATTAAAATACGCACTATATGACCAAAAAAAAAAAAATTTGTAAACTAAAATTGAATTAAATTTATTACTTTTTACTGACTGTTTATTGTATCTTATGAATTAAAACATTTATAATCAAACTTAAAATTACCTTCTTTTGATAATTAATTTAAAAAAAAACGTGATAAAAACAAAAATGTGGTAATTTTTCTTATTATAAATGAATACTATATTTTATTTGATACAAACAATATTTTTTTTTTACTCAATATAAACAATATTTATGAAAAATACAGAATAAAGCATTATATTATTATTCGTATTAACAAAAAATAGCAATATAATTTCAAAAATCTATAAATACTTCAAATATGCTATACTTCAAAAATAGCAAAATTAAATTTACTTTATTCTAATTCATGAAATAAAAGACTATATATCCCAAATGGTATAACACATAATACTTTTACATCTCTAGTACTAGTCTCCCTGTATGCTAATATTAATCTGTATATATACCGAACCTTTGCTCTAAATTTATGTAAACAATGTTAAAGATGATGTATATTAATAAAATATGTTAGGGTGTATAAATTAAAGTATGTAAACAAAAAATAAATGTAAATAATAAGTACCACATATTATATTGTATTATATTATTATATTGGTATACAACAATATTATAATGTCTCATTGTGCCTCTTCAACATATTGGAAGTTTGTGCATGTACTGATAGGTCAAAGGACAGTTAGGAATTTACTATGCATAGACATTTCCTTAATTAAGTATTTTATGTTATAAATGCATTATCATTACAACCTATATAATATTATTTATGCATGGTGCATTAAAACGGCAATTGTATACCTTGAAAGCTAGGAGATAGGATAGCACTTACCTACTTGATTTATTGTTGGTCTATGAGATCCTGACAGTATATAAATTAAATAAGGTTGAAATTAAGTGAAATGAATTCAGGATTTGATTTACTGATACTGGACATTCTTCGGCTTACACAAAATATGTATTTTATTATGGCAATGGATTCATGGTTGCATTACACTAAAGTAAGAAGGCAATTAAATCTATGTACACATACAAATATATCTTTAATATATTCTTTATCTATGTATCCTAAGACATGGCGATTGACTGTATGGTAATATGGTCCTTCGACTAAAAGCAGTTTCTTTGGATGTTGTCAGAATAAAAATGAGAAAGATGTATTATTAGATCGACCCTTTATTATTTTAATTTTAATTTTATTTTCTATGTACATACTGAACAATTTGTCACTTATTATGTTAATAAATGTATCATTGTTGAAAACTGTATATTATAATGCTTCTGTTTGAAAGATGATTATACCAATTAGGATTTTAATACTGTGTATTAAATATTTGTAATAATACTTAATTTTTATAAAAGGAAATTTCTTTAATTAACTTTTATTTACCCATTTTTTTTTTTTTACAGTTCAGTGATATATTTGATGATGTTAAACAATCAACTGAGGTTTTAGCAAAATCCACTGGTCAAATTACTTCAAAGAATCTAGGTGTTTGTGCTAGAAAACGTAAACAGAAATCAATTGATAGGTCAAGTAGGTAATAAAAGAACCAAATCTGATCTATCATCTTCAAGTAAAACTATTGTAAGACATTCATCCCACATAATGAAAGAAAATAGGTACGAATAATAATATTGTTGTTTGTAATTTATTACTATAGATATGTTACTGGCAATATGGATAACTTAACTTAAATGCATAATTTCTAGGCATTATTAATAATACCAATTAGTTTTAGGCAATATGAATAAAATACATTATGAACAACATTATTTCAGATATTAACCAAGCACTCAGTAAAATATCTAGGAATTATATTAACTATTATTTACTATTTGTGCGAAGTAAGGACCCATTTAAATTTTTATAGACCCTTTTAAATGCAAACCATATTTATCAGATATGAATGTAATACCAGGTAAAATCACCCATTATTAACATTTTTGATTAGGAGTAAAATATGTACGCAGCAATTCTAAGGACTTAATATAGTAAAATAATAAAAATGTAACAGACAACTAACATAATTTTAATTCTTACACTGAGTTTTACTTCTATGAATAACTGCTTTAAATTATTAATAGGTGGATTCCATTGGGTGGCTTGAAATTTGGTTTTAACAAAATCGTATTTATTACACTAAATAAATCATAATTTATAATAAATTAAGAAGGGCAATAGAAAATAAACAATAATTTAATAACATTCATTAGTCTGTGAATTTTACTAATAATTACATAATATATATAAATAGTATAATAGCATATTAATTGTAATTCTACAATAAAATTTACAATAACAAAATTAGTGAATAATTTAGTACTTATCAGTATTTCAATATACCTAGTTATAATTACAAATTTACAATAAATGACTTATCAAGTCCGTAGATGTTATTACAACTTATTGTTAACACAATAGTTATCAATTTTCTTTGACTACATAACAATGATTTCATAATGGAGATAAAAGTTTAATAAGTAAATTTCTAAAGCCCTTCAATTAACATTAACACAAGAATCAACACTAACTCTTTAACATAATTCATTACAAGAAAAAACATATATTGTTATTTCTCTTGAAACAACAATAAAAAAATAAAAAAATTATAATTTTAGTTTTTGGGCTTTGATACATGGTTTTCCATATCGTCGAGCTGCTTCATCAAAGAATGCCTGCTCCATTTGCTTAACTAGTTCATTGAAAAACATATTAGCTACTGCCGAATGTAGTTGCGATTTAAATTCATAAGATACAAAAAAATTGATAATACAAGTTCCTGGATTATCTTTTAATCCAGGATCACAATTCCACTGAGTAAGTAAATATTTAAACAATTTTCCATCGCGGCACTCTGCTTTGATCATATAAGGATGCTCAAATGTTATATGTGATACATAACTCTCTATTATTGGTGGAAAACCAATTTCTAAATAAGTCTTTGCATGATTTTTCTCCTTTAATATGACTGTAGACTGCCGGCAAAATGGCAAAAATTTTTTATAATTTTCTGTATCTTGAATAACATCAAACATTTGTATTGGAGAATATCTAAACAATATAAAAACAATGAATTAGGTACATGAAATATTATTACTGTTGCAATTTTTTTACCCAATTAATTTTTTGTCTCTATACACCTTTTTATTACTTCTTCCACCATCAGGTACCAAAAAATTAATAAACATTCTTGTTTGAGTATAACATAAGCATTTGGGTGTTATAATTATTTTTGAAGAATCACTAATTGTACAGATAGTTTGTTTTCCATTTGTAAAACTAATATGTTTCCATTTTCTACAATATAGATAATAACAATTATAATTATAATTAACAATAAAATACTTAATAAAAATATTAAAATGTTTCTTTATATATTATGTTATTATTATACATAATATATTATTTAAGAGTCAACAATATAACATATTACAAGATACATAGAATATTTAATAAAATCTCATTAAAGATAAATTGGGTTTCTCATGTAAATATAATGACAATATATAGCTTATACATTAGATAATATACTTTAGATAATTAGATTTTAATATTTGTAATTATACAGTCAAATATATTTTGATGGACAAATTCCAATCTTAGAAATCTACTAAAAATAAATGTATATATTCCATAAAATGAAGAAACTGAATACTTTATTTTTTGAATAGCAGACACCTGTTAAAATGCATGATTTAAAATTCCCTTAAAGTTTGTTAATAGCCATTTCTCATGGTTAAAATAAATATTAAATGTACTTATACATATTGATAATTAATGTTAGATGATAAGTTAAGTAGTAAAAAGTAATTCATCATAACACCACCTATTTATTTTAAAATACAATAAATGCAATAAATTCAAGGTAAGATAGGTTATTAAAATAGTCTTATAAAATTCACACAAAAAAAAATACATATAATATAGCAAATTAGATGTTTACAAATAAATATAAATTAATTTTACAAGTAAAATTCATAAGAACAAGATTTTGAATAAGTATCAAACAAATTACAAATATAAGAAAAATAATTATAAATTTACAATAAAAAATCTCACTCGGTTGAATTCTCACTTTTTTTGTATTAATAAATTTAATCATACACCATTATTAATGATTTATTAAAATATTATCAATAATAATATATAAGAAGTTGTGAAACTCATTCATTTTTATAGCATCGTGACCTCTATTAATTTTAACTAAAATGAGTAGGCGAAAATAACTAAATTTAATTTATTTTGTCTGTACAAATATTAAGTAATGCCAAAGAACATTCATCCATCAAGGACAAACCCAACAATTGCAATATGCTATACTTAATTTCATTATAACCATTTAGATATGAACTAAATTGATCAATTTTTTAAAAGAAAATCGATTAGTAAAAATAATTTTTCAAGTAGGTAGTCAAAATTAAATGTTAATGGTAAATTTAATGTAGAAAAAAAAATTGTCACCTGTTTTTCAAACAAACATTTGTATCAGCTAATCGCTTGAAATTTATGAACGTAGATCTGGACATGGTTTTTAACTGACAAATTAATATCACAAACAGAGAACCTTTGGCATAATGTTACGTAATTTTAATCAAATATTAGGTAACTATTGAGAATAATAAATTGAAATCGTCATCTGTATACTTTATGTTCGGCACATGAAAGGCGCGGAATGAATACGATTTCCTAGGATGATAACAATGCTGCGATAACTTATCAACAGTACTAGATAACAACGCGGAATTATTTCAATCATACCCACGTGATATCTTCACAATGTCTTCGAACATTCTTATCACTAATGGAATCCATTCGACGTGTTTGTTGTGAGTTAATGATATCGAATACGTCAAACATTCAAATAGTAAGTTATTCCCCAAAAAAAAAAAAGAAGCATTTCAGTACGATCAAACGCTTCGTACTATAATACTTTGTGAACTTGAAAAAATAAAACGACAAAGTAATAAACAATGAAAAAAGTTATTTACTCTAATAAAACAATAATATCATACAATGATTACAATAAAAATTTAAAATTCAGTAAGTTATTAGGTCAGAACATTTTTTCTCGTGTTCATTGCATTATGATAAAAATACTGTTGTAACCTATGTTTAAAAAATTTTGTTGGTATTATTTTGTATGCGTGTTATTATTTGGCATGCGGAAGTTCTATGGAAAATAAATGTCAAATCTGGTAGTATAATATAATTGAATAATTTTAATTGTATGTCTGTATAAAATAATAGATACAGAAAGTTCAGTATAAATATGTATTTTTTCTATGTTCTAGACAAAATACTTTTATAGTAGGTATTAACTTTTTAATAAATCTGACAACAGCATTTTTTTATAGTAAGAATTATAGATAAATGATTAAAAACTTTTCATCCCTTGAGTTTCAATATTTTTGAATTAGGTACCAAGAATCTTTATCCAGTGTTGTGTGGAATACTCGTAACATTTAGGTTGCGACGAAACTAGGAAGTTGTTGTTTTGACTTTGAAGAGTGACTTAATAGGACTGGAAGTCTCCTTGGGATTCTCGTATAGTTGTAAACCATATTAAATGACTTCCATATAACGTAATTGTGTGTTGTATTAAAATAGTTGTCTTATTCATTTACTAAAATAATTATAAAAACCTATATAGAACGCGGCAAGCGATAACTAAAATGTACTCGATTGTAATCGAATCGGTATTTTTTCAATTACGTTCTAGTTGTCTCCGCAATTTTATACAAAAGCATACAAATTTTAAAAAATTCCACCTTTTTTCAATAAGAACACATTTTTAAACTAAAATATGAAATATATAAAACTTTAATTTTAATAATTTTTTTTTTTTTTTATCTAACATTTTTTGTTGAAATGTTGATTTGTAATCCTAATATATAGATACCTACCTAATTCATCTAATTTGTACAGTTTACCTATGAGATGACGGTTCTATAATTTTGCAAATATATGTGCATTTTTTCATGCATATAGTTAAATATGCATTCTGTGTAGTCATAGATATATTATTTTGTAGCTCATAAATTTATTAGTTTTTGAATTACAATAATTTAAAATTATTTCATAAGGCAAATAAATTTTTGTTGAATTGAAATGACGTACATTTATAAAAAAAAAACATCATTGTAATATAATTCATTACATTCCTATTTTAATATTTGAGGTAGGTATATTTTATCTATAATGTGAGTGTTGTTGACTAAAGGTGCATAAATATATATATATATATATATATATTATTCATATAATACATACGAGTAGGTACATATAAATGTTAATTTAATATATATACATAAATGCCAATTATACATTTATAATCTTTACACTATTTTTTTGTTATATATTTGAGAATTACTAATGATTATATTCTAATATTAGGTTTACAGAAATATGTTATATTAGGTATTACAATTTTTTTTTAACTTTGAGTGAAGATGATTTAAATTTTTATTACGATTTTTCATCACATAATATCAATATAAAACCTAATAGTACGAGTATTATGGATCAACTAATAATAGTACTTAAATCGTTTCATAATGTTCATGTATTCACGTATGATTCATTTATGGGGTGAGCTTATTAAAGAATTTGTCTTCGTCAGTTTATTTATTTACACGACCTAGTTTTCAGAGGTTAACGAAACTACCCTTATGATGGGTTAGTTTTTGTTCAGCAGACATTCGTGTGGGTACATCGCGTGATGGTTAGTGATGTTTATGTGATATAATAGTACCGTAATAGTACCGGCTTATGTTTCATTCATTGTACGAACTATATTGATAGTTATAATTATAAAAACTAATACTGGAAAATATGACATATAGTTCATCTAATATTCAATTATGTTTTTAATACTGTCAGTACAAAAATAAGCTAAAACTGTATTTTTGTAGTTATACTTGCAACGAAAGATGGCCACGATGAACTTCACCACACTGTGTATTGTGTTAGATTTATGGTTAAAATATTTGTGTTATGGCCTCAACATTTACAGCATCGACTCGGCTTCAAAGAGCAACGACACAGTCGGTAATAATTAAATTATTTAAGTTCTTTTTTTATTTAAAAAGTCACTCATAAATTTCCTAGAACACCAATGTTGAATATTATATTTTGAATTTATGCCATTCCTGATTAATTATGGATGAAAATAAAATATTTTATAAAATAAAATGTGTAATAACTATATTCTTTTTACATTTGTATATCTACATTCTTAAAAGTTAATATTAAGATATGTTGTTATTAATTGTACGTTTAAATAATAAAAATATTTTAATGCTTGTAATAAGTAAGAACTGAGTAATAAGATTAATTACCTATCCGAGAAAAAAAAAATTTTAAATGTAATAAACAATTATTTTTGAACTTAATAAAGAAAGAGACTTTTTAATATATTTTTAAGAAAATCAGATTACATTTTTTTTTTACCATCCAGATTTTTATACTTAAATACTAATCTATTTAAATATAATATAATAAGATGTTGAATTTATAATGTTAAAATAAGTTTATAAGATTAAAATATTCATTAATTTATTTGTATTATTTTAATGAACTTAGTGATAATTATAAATCCAAAATTTATCTCAAGTGCAAACAATGAAATCTGGAACACCGTTAATGGACATGTTGATAAATTAAAAGAAGATATTTTTAAACAAGCCGGAGTTTCTGTTGAAATTTATAAAAAAACCGACATAAAACTATCTAGAAGTAAGATTAATTAATTATTTATTTAATTGTTATTAAATTCGTAAGAAAACGATTAAAACATCATTTACTTCTTGAATTTAAATAATCTTAGTAAATGTAGATTTATTTCGATTGTTGTGGGTAATAAAAATATAAATTTAAAAGGTAATAAAAATGCATACTAGTTTCTATGGTCTGCGTATTTGCATAGAATATAATAGTTTGATATGATAAAAAATTATACTATCTATCTTACTACTTATATGTTTTCATTGTTTAAACTGAAAAAAGTTGAGATTATTTTCACAGTTAAAAAAGAAAGAAGTGTATTAATTATTTTCACAAATAGTTGCAAAAATAATAGCAATATCTTTAATTAAATATTTGTTAGGCATCTTCATATGAACTAAAATATTTTTATTTTATACTTGCTTTTACTATTTTAATATGTTATGTAACTACTTAAAAATTTAAGTATGTTAATAACCATATATATATGTATACTATAAATTATTTTTTAAAAAATCGGAAAAAAAATTTATATCGTGGGTTATAAATTGGTTTAAATAGTACGATAAATGCTTTTAATTTGAATGTAATGGCTAATGATAAAGTGACCTCTAATGCATCCACCAAAAAAAAAAAAAAAACCCATAAGGTTTAGTGTAACATCATTGATTTTATAATAAACTTTCATTTTATTACCAAATCGATGGTCAATTGTTGTTGTGGCACACAGAGAATTCTAGAGAGAACAATCCTACGTAAACTTACCACAAAATTATACCCACCTATTTAATATCGTAGAATCAGGGCACGTTATTGTTACTTTTTTTTTTGCATCAAATTTACAAATAATTATTGTTAGTTGTAATCGCCTTAATTTTCTTTGTGTGAGCCGGAAACATGAGCAATTTGAGGATAAATAAATTTTGTTTTCATTTAATTATGACTAGATCATAAGTAAAACCTGAATATTGAAATGTATGCACTAATAACAAATTTAATTTATGTTCGTGTTTAGATATTGTTTCGATTTTCATAGCGTCATTCTGTGATGATATTTGGAATTTATATTACAGAGCTGAGTACGAAGGATTTAACGGATTCTTATATATTTCCATAACAGGTTATATATTTTAAATATCAATAATTAGAACGAAACTTTAAGCATTAGCTCAATTAAGTAAGAATATATACAAATTATGTTTTAATTAAATATCATAATGATCAATTAATAAAGTAAGAAAATAAAATAAAATTTACTATTATTAAAATAGTAACATTTTTAAATAGTATTCTATTTAAAAATTATTTTTTTTTCATGAAAATAATTCTCTTATCAATTTAAATACATTGATAATTTAGAATTATAATTTTGTCACATTAGTATAATAATTAAAAACCAAAATAACTACTATTATCTATCATGTACAAAATAAAATTGATGGACATGTCTAATATATTTAATAATGTAAATAATTAAAATGCATGATATTCCTATTACAATTGTAAAATATAATTTTTTTTTTTTTAAATTAACACTTATAAAATTAAATCAACTCATTAATAATAAAACATTTAAAACTTCTCCTTTAAATGTAATAATTAATTTCTTCGAATCAATATAATGAGCAGCATTATCTAAAACACAGATCCACGTTATTTTTGAATTTTTGATTAAATTCCAAACTAAATAATCGTCAGTTTCATCAACTTTGCAACCACGGTGAATTATCGTCGTGGTCGTACCAACAGCAAAGTTGCGGCGTAATAAAAAGTCACGTATGATTTCGACGAAGCTTTACGTATAACACACAATATACGGTATTGTAATTGTTTTGTGAAAAATGAAATATTGCAAAATTACTTATGAATTTACATTACTTAATACTTGAAATTATAAATTATGAATAATACACAATAAAACTAACAAGTATTTATAAATAAACACGTAACTCGTGTGTACAACGTATCGGATAACACAATGTTACACGCATAAGTATAATATACATGATAATACTACACAGACACAGCTATAATATAACGTGTATAGACGTAGAAAATGCTGTGTACACATTATACACACTAAATGATTCGGAAGATGTGTTGAGAATGTACTAATTCCAATAAGGCAATAATTCTCAACCTGGGGTTCAAAACGCGACGACGACGCAAACGTGGAACGGATAAAAATCCGTTTGACAGTGGGTCGTCGAATCGAATATTGTAGCGATCTATTCCGTTGGATTTTACCCTACGGTTTCAACGAAAAGTGCTTGGAAACATTACAATTCGAACGCGTTCATTGTTAGTTATTTTGCTAATTACACGACATTTGTTGAGAACGTAAGAAAATAGAGAAGTCCACGACACCAAACAAAGTGTCTGCTGAAATGTAACATACGAACAGAATATTATCGGTTTTTGCGATTAGGACGTTTGACATCAAAAACATAAAACGTGTTTTAATATTAGATTTCGTTGAATTTATTAGATTCCTTGGTTCAGTGCAAAATCTCGATGGTGTCGTCTTGTACAAATATTACATACAGAATAATACTTAATTATTTAAGATAACTTCTATTTGAGAAATTGCTCCTTCCGTCACGACATTTATTATATTTAAGTGATTTGTCATAATACGTTTTTAACTTTGATCACAAAATATTTAGAACAGAGGTGGATAATAAATAATTATTGTGAGTCAAACAAAGTAATAAAATGAAAAATTCTGTTTAGTTAAAATGAACAAAAATATATTGACACTCGAAAGTTATTTTTTGTAAAAAAAAAACAACTTAAATGCATTTTACGATTTCGGTGTAATCGTTTAATCAAATGAAACAAATTCCAAACATATAACCGTTCTTTGCACTACTGAGATTCTAATCGTTTACTTTTTATAACTTTTAGATACTGACTGTCCAAGACTACCAATCAACGAGGCAATTACTATACCTTTAACCACTCCTAATTCGGAACTATCTCAAATGGTATTGGACTTACGAATGACAAATTCATTCTCGTGGAAATCAGCCATTTTGATGCATGATAATTCTATTGGTAATTTTTATAGCATTTAAAATATTAGGAACCTAAAGTCTGTAAAAAAATAGTACTCTCTAGATTATCATTTTATCACTCTTATGGTTAATATCACTCATTTGGTTAACTCGTAGATATCGATGGTTTATATCACGGTTTTATTCTTACGGAATAAAATGGGCACAGATAATCCCTAATAAAATTGATCAATGGCATTATAATCATTTAATTTATTTATTTAAATAAACATTTAAAATACTTGTTTATAATTTACTATAAAATATGTTCTAATAATAATTTTTACTTTGTGACCTGGAACCAGCTTAATACCTACGTTTCTTATTTAAATGATAACTCCAAATTTATATAAATTGTTTATGGAATAATGTTCAGCACCTTTTCTTTACGAAATCGAATTTAATAAAAAAAAAGAAATTAATTCTTACACAATAGACAGCAATGGTTTATATTCTTATAACTACATACAAAAAGTCATGGTTTATGATGTTTTTAGTTGATAGTATTATAATACGATTATATAATTTATTAATTAACTAGTTAGTATAAAAATATGATATATTCAAGTTTTCATTAAATTTTTTTTTTAAATTACTAATTTTAAAATTGAAAGTATCAAATATCATTCAACAAGATTTTGTTTTTCAAAAAAACTGATTTTACTATAAGTATTAGTAAGTGATAATTATAAAAATAAATTAAACTACATTTCAAGTTATACTTAAACAAATTTTGAAAAATAACGTTTAAAACTTATTTTAGTTACCTGTTGTGTCATTTAAATAAGTACATTGTATATGTAATTACTAAGTATTTTTTTTTATTTGCATGTCTTGTTTTATGATGATTTAATGATTATAATCTACGATTGTAAGATCCTCAATACATTTTAAATTATTAGATTTTTAATTCTATGAAAATTACTAAGCCCATTTAGGATAACTGAAGTTAAAGTAAACTACTGGACAGCAACAATTTAAATAAATCATGTTTTTACCTTATCATTTTCAGACAATAGCGTTGTGCAAAATGTGGTTACGTCTTTAACAAAACACTATTCGACCAAAATTGTATCACCATCAATAGCAATCTTTGAAATCTATACGCAAGGATCTGAATGGAAAAGGTTAATTGTTAATATATTCCATTATTTAATTAAAATGAAAATTAAGTAAATATAGTACATTATATGTAGTAAATCGGTATTTGTTTGTCGATACCTATTTGAGATAGTGTATACTTCTACGTGAGCTTTATTAAATTGAAAATTATATCAATGATAACGAATTTACCAGAGTTAATGGGCATAGCCCATTCGGCTCCCGTTTTTCCTAAACGGCTCCCGTCGAAAAAGGTTTTACGAGCAGGTCAATTCCCAAATGGCTCCCGTTGAAAAAGGTTTTATAATCAAGTAAATTTCCAAACGGCTCCGGTTTTTTACAAACTGCACAAGCTGACACGATTGTGTGCCATATCCATATGGCATATCCGGTATATGAACCTATATTAAACACTTATTATTGTCGATATTGCCAATTAGTCATGAACACATGTGCTATAGATTAGATATCGACGATATAAGAGTAATATATACACGACGAAATAATATACTCAAGCTTTGGCGATTATGATGATACTCGCTGAGTACGAGTACGTATAATATTATATGTATATTTCACTTTGGTATAGATATTTTCGGTATTCTGTTTTTAAAATTAATTTGAAGTATACAATATAACAGTACACAATATACCAATACACAGTATATCGATATATCAACCTGAAATCGGTATACAAATTTAACCTCAACCGTTTGGAAATTGACCTGTTCGTAAAACCTTTTTTGACGAGAGCCGTTTGGGAATAATAAAACAATAGACAGGAGCCGTTTAGGAAGCAACGGAGTTAATAAATTATTATTATTATTCTTTAAAACAGAAAACAATAATAGAATAATAGGTACATAATAATACATTTTAATATCAAAAAATTAATCATATTGTCATGTGCAAGTTATATTACATTACATTTTTAATACCAACAAGATTAAAAGTACTTGGCATAGGCGTAACTTGGAGGGGAAAAATTGGGGCAATTGCCTTCTAAAAAAATTAGGAGAGGCAGTACCCCCTCTGATATTTAACATACCTTGTTTTAAAATAAGTACAAAACATCTGGTTATAGTTATTACTATAACATTTTTTTTTTTCAAATCTTAATTTTAAATTTTCGTTTATCTAATATAATGTTAGAAAATAAATAATTTTATATCATAATATGTAGGTAGTAAAGCGGCGTTTAGCCTTGGATACCTTTTTCGTTAGATATGTAATTATATCCCCCCCCCCTAATAAATTTCCAAGTTACGCCTATGGTACTTAGAGGAGTGTATTTATAAATGTCTTATGGGGAGGAGGGCACAAGCAAAAAGTTCAAAGTATACATAGTTATAACTTTTCCATCTCAAAAAACTGTCGTTATTCATAACTAAATGATCAAATTACAAGTGTTTAATAGAAACATAACATTTTATTACACAAATTTATAATAAAACATATTTTTAAATACAATTTTTGTAACTACAATAACTGAAGACGTCTGTGGTGTTAATTAGCATATGCATCAATTACTTGTTCAGGTTTTATAATTATTTCAGGGTGTTGCTTAAACAATGCTAATCCGTTTAATCGATGGTATCATATTATCATGATATATTGATATTTCAGTATTTCACCGTGTGCCGTGCATGAAAAATAAAAGGGCCTACAATAATAAATAAAGTATAAAATACGGTGAATGAGGGGGTACTGATTAGGTTAGGTTAGATTAAGTTTGGTTAGTTATTAACCATAATCTAAATTGCTTATAATAAACAAATCAGAAATATCAGTATTTTTTTTATTAAATTTCTAAATATTAGTTATGTGCTTACTGTTCTAATAAGTTATGCATTGCGAAAAAAAAAATATATGCTTGTTTATTAAAAATATAAAAGAAAACGTATTCGATTTACCCGAAACCGTACTTTTTGCGTTTGGCTTAACATAAATTAAGATTAAAAGATACTTTGTGAAAAACTTACCTATGGACCATAAAATATCGATCATATCATTATCGTTAACTAAGTAATTATCCCTCAATTTGAAATCAATTCAAATTACAAAATTTAAGCTATCTACTCTTTAAGTACACCGCAGGGCTTGTAAAAAATCATTATATTATGTGTTTATTTTTTTAAAGGAGGAAATTATTTATGGAAGCTTTGGAATATTTTTTAAAAGCGAGTGAAACGAATTTAAACTTCATTTGCATCGTGAGCATACATTATGTTCCTTTAATTCTGGATGTGGTAAGAATATTTAAAAAATGCATATTCCAATTTAAACATTTAAATTCCTTGTTTAGGCTAAATCAATGAATTTAATGTCAACGGAAAAAAGTTGGCTTATTATTATTCCGGATCTAGATTCGTCCAGGAGTAATATTTCTTCATTTGCCAATTTATTGAATGAAGGGGAAAATGTATCCTTTATTTATAATACTACAAAAACAGCTGCCAAATGTTCTGTAAGTTTGTAATAAAATAATGTACCGATTATATAGGTTAATACCTACATATATATTTACACAGTGGCATATTTTCAATTTCTTTTCTTTTGTGGGAGGGGTTAAATTTGTATAAAAAGTAAATCATTTTATAATATTATTAACAATACATATAATAGGTACAATAATAATATAATATAATATAATACCTATAATAATATATTAACAAGTAAGTAATTTATTTTTATACAAACATTACAACCACATAATGTAAGTTAATGTGTTCATTCTATGTACTTTCATAGCAAGATATTTAACTTTTAAACTTTTTTTTGGGGGGAGAGGGTTCGAGATCTGGGAAACCCCCTGAAAATACTTCACTGTATCTACATAGACCACATATAGTAGGTTAACCTACGTTAAATGAGTATCAATATGAAATGTGTATATATTTTATGTTCTTGGCATATATTTTACTTTGAATAATTACTTAAAATTTAATAAAAACTTATTGCATAATAATACATAGGTACCTAATTTATATATGAATGGAATATTTTAGGTATATTTTTCGATGTGATAAATTTGATTATATACATATTCATGAACAAATTATTACATTGAAATCGTATTTTTAATTATGCTTAACGTTCTTCGCAAATATTTTGTAATAGATATTGACAGTACCTAAACTAATTCATCAAAATGTTTTTAATTAACCATTAATTTCTTTATTATTTTAAACTGTATTTAGCACCCTAATATTTATAAATGTGTTTGTCACTTGTTTAAAAAATAATTATTATAGTTACAAAAATAATATGTTCATGATATTCTTTCAGGGTGGGCTTTTGTGTTTAGTGGATGAACTGATGTCAATGTTTATAATGGCATTCAGCGCTTTGATTCAACAGGAAATTGAATTATCACAGCGAGTATCAGAAGAAGAGTGGGATGAAATTAGACCATCGAAAATTGATAGAAGACAATCAATGGTATCTTTTATTAAGGTAAAATATGAAATTCTCATAAAATTTAAAAAGGAAATATTAATAATTTAATTTGTGTATATATTATATGCAGATATTTCACATAAATTTCTTAAAATAATTTATTAAAAATAATGCACCTAATTAATAATAACGTGTGAAATTAACTCCGATTCCTTTTCAATATGAATAACTTGTAAAATTCATTTTATCTATATTATGTGGCTGTGAACGTGAAAATATAAGGTAAAACAAGTTTATGTACTATAAATAAAAATGTGCAATATAAAACTATAAATATGCATAGTAAAATTAATGTTATTTTAATAACAATGATCTAAATCGGGGACAATTCTCATCAAATTTCAAAAAACTTAATCCAATACATATATGCATTTGCATATAAATTCGTTCCCTAGTTATAACAAATATAAGTAATATATATATATAAAAACAATAACATAGAACCATATGACATAGTTATATTTTATGACTTTGGGTAGGTATATAAGTACTATTATATTATTATATAGTATTTAAATAAATTTAAATAATAATATTATAATTTGCAATTTGAAACTTATTTTCGACATTGTTATTATATTATATTAAACTAAATATACCTACTTAAAAAACGGTTAAATTTATTTATTTTACATTTGTTTCAAATTTTGTTTTAAATTAAACAATCTATTTTATGTTATTTTTATCTGATAGTTTCGTTTAAATGAATCTGATGTTTGCGAAACGTGCACATCGTGGCAAATTGATTCCGGTGTTACATGGGGACAAGAGCATTTCAGTCGTGGTTGTTATATACTTCCAGTGGGTAATTGGAACTCCAAAACTGGTTTAAAACTGACTGAACCGCTTTTTCTGCATTTGGCATACGGATTTAGAGGAATAGCATTACCTATTGCTACGTTTCATGTAAGTTACAATTTATAATTTTATGTAATTTTTAAGTTTTGAAATATTATAGAGCCATGTAGCTATAATTATTTGAATAACGTTTTTTTTAAAAAATACAATTTTTTTAGTTTCCACCGTGGCAAATCATCAACTTCAATGGAAGTGGGCATTTAGTTGGTTATAGTGGTTTAGTTTTCGATATTATCAATCAATTGGCAAAAACATTAAACTTTACGTGAGTTTAAGTATATAAAAATATATATAAAATATAAAAAAATACTAGAATCTTTGCAGTAGTTTTAAAATATAACCATTACAGTGTTCAGAAAATTCCTTTCAAAAATTAATTAATCTACCTTCAAGTTCAAAAATAACTAAATCCTTCTCCATTTCAGGCTTAAAGAAAGGATCTAGTTCCTATATAAGAAACATTTTTTTCTCCCAATAATTTCTAAATTTAATTAATATTATTTATAATTGAATGAATAATATACGATAAAAGCCCACGAACTAAAATATTAGTATACGCTAGCCCTAATGTATTTGCACTATGATATGATTAACATATATTGGTACAATTATAAATTATATTTTAAAATTATGATCATGTTTACCAGGGCTAAAATTAGTATGATTTGAATTGCTTATTCCAATAATATAATAACTGTGAATAAAATGTACATACTTTTTTGACAGGTATAATGTAAACGTTGTATCGAATATGGAGAATATGAATAATATTTCAAGAAATTTATATACGCAAAATGCAAGTTAACAAAATTTTTTTTATTATTTATTTTAATTAACAATCTAAATATTATAGAATGTACTGGGTGAATACGATGCAGCAGTTTCAAAACTATTGTGGGATAAAATTATTGACCTTGTTCGATCCGAAAAAGTGAGTCCCACACAAAAAAATTTCAAAACACCGTTTGATTACTTATAAATATAATCTAAAATTAATATATTATATTATAGCTGTATGTTATTTTCAAACTAATATTTATTTTGTTTCTTTGTATTAACATAAATTGTACACACTCAAGATTATTTTATGATATTATTACATTAGTATTTTTGTACATAGGTGTTTATGGCAGCAGCTGCATTCACTGTAAAAGAAGCAAATAAAGTATTTATCAACTACACAACACATATAAGTTTAGAGTCTCATCAAATTTTAATAGCTAGACCAAAAGAATTAAGTCGAGCTTTGTTGTTTACAGCTCCATTTACGTTATTGGTAATACAAGCTTTAATGTTTACGGATAAAAATATTATTAATACAGATTTTAAGGATCCAAATAGTTTATAGATCATCAGTGCCAGCCCAATTGTGTGATAGTTGAAAAGGGTTAATTATATATGAATATCACCCACCTTATCCATTATATAGTGTCTTGGATGTAGTTGTCGAGTACAATAAATTTTATTCTACTTATCATTATAATTATTAACACAATAACATAACAAATAACAAATATATAGAACTAGAGCAACCGTTCTTTAAAGTCTTATTACGGTCAGTCCATGTAGATTACCTATATACCTACGTATAAATTCTACAACATAAACTATAAACACTTATCAATATTATAAAGAAATTCATGATTCACCTATATTTATACTATTTATATACCTGTATGACTAAGTATATAAATTCTATTTTATCGGTTTAAATGATAAAATACAATTTAATTAATGTAGATATAATTTTTTTTATTTTTAATTATTATTTATAAAACCCTATTGTAGAAGAAATACTCTCCAGTATCTACTATATTTATATGATAATTTAAATGTTTTATTGATACATTTTATCAGTGTTAGCCTGGTTCTAAAGGGCTCAGGCAGGATTTTATTTGGAAAGGTTATAATAAATCTTGTCATTTCTTTTGACGATTTTGCTATGAAATTTATTAGTTTTATTTTATCTACATTCAAAGTAATATATTTTTTTTATAGCCATAAGTATTACCTACTAACAAAAAATATGAATATTTATATTTAAATGTTGTATTATGATTTTTTATTGTTTCACTATGATAATAGTTTTTTAAAAACAAATAGTAATATCTGAGTCGCACATTATTGTTTATAATTATTTTTCTGTTTAGACTTGGTTATGTATAGCTGTTGTAGTTGGTCTCATGGGACCTTTACTGAATTTGTTTCATATATTGAGCCCATACTATGAATATCACAACATTTCAAGAAAAGGAGGTCTAAACTCACCACTAAACTGTTTTTGGTATGTTTACGGCGCACTATTACAACAAGGTATGCACATTTTAAATGTTATCGTATATTGTATAATTGTAATATTTAAGAGTATCTAGAACAAGGGTATCATTTCAACTTTTGAAAGGTTGGGGCAACTGATTAAATTTGCCGACTTCATAATATTTAAAAAATTACGGTTACCTATATATTTAAAAATTTAATATTTATGGACGATAAACTATCAATAAAATATTTTTTGGAACAAAACTTGTAATGAATAATGATGTCATAATGATGAACAATGAACATAAAATGTTTCAATTTACCCAATTAAATAATAACATTTTTTTTTTTTTTTTTTTAAGCTAGATAATTGTACAATCTGTAAAATTACGGTTTACAATAAGCACAAGTGATAATGGAGTTTATATAGAAAAGACAAATAGTGGGTAAATTAACAGACAAGTCAAATAATTACTACTATTTACATCTATTCTGACAGGGGGTTTGAGCGAAGAGACCATCCATTGATGACACTTCGTGAATTAATAACATTAAATATAGTAAAACATTAATTTATTTACTTATCCTATAGGCTATAAGTTACTTTTTTCTTTTTAATTTGTTATTGTTGGGGACATTACAGTAATACAATTATGTGGTGAAAAGATACAAATTTATAAAAAATATAAAAATTAAAAAGCCATATAGCCATATGAAATGCATATTTTAATAGTTCTAAAGGAGTAGCTGTTTTAAAATTATCCATTTAATTCGAAGCTTGATTTTTAAAACGCTCTAACTCTGAGTACCTACAAATCAAATCCATTGAGGTCTTCTGAGTACTTCATAGCTAAATCTTTTAACCACTTACATACATCTTCTGATTTCATATTAAACAATTTGTTTCTATTTTAAAATCCAAAATCTGATACAACTTTTTCCATCTATTCATATTTCCAACTAAAATTAGAAATAATCGAGTCGATGGTTAAATAGCATTTTTTTTTTAGTTCTTGTTCTGCTTTTAATTTTCGTTCGTCATTCGGTGAATCGTCAAAATATCTTTTGACAATTTTTGAACGTTTTTCTTCAAATTGCGAAAGAATATTTAAAATTTAGATTTTTCTTTTGTTTTGTTTATTGAGGACTCAAATCCATTATTTCTGATATTCATTATAGACGATACTTACCCTTTTAACATATGTGAAGCCGTATCTATTGTTTATATTATGAAACATAATAATTTTTTGCATTGCTGGAGACTTAAAATTAATACTATTATACTCTATAGTGATTTGTAGGTTAATTTCCCCAAAAAATTTTGGAGGGGCTTCATCCTCTCCAAGCCTCCCCCTAGTTACGCCTATGCTCGTGACACATATACGGCCATACGGGAGAAATTGATAAATTTGATCAAATAATATTAAATATCATACTGTAAGAGTTGGAAGTAAAGGCGATGGTGGTTGAAAAATGTTTCATTATTTAGGATAGTTTATAGCATAGGAAATAGTTTTATATCTTATAAAGAGGAATTGAAAAGTAAAAATACATATATTATAACTTAAGTTTAAATCAATGTCAGGTAATAATAAATTGATAGGTAATCATTGTATCAGAAAAATAAAGAGTCTTGTTAAGTATGGAAATAAGAATTAACGACTATAATAATGAATTTCTTGGTGTAGGAAAATATGTTTCGTCAATTGAAAAATATCGTAAATGTGGTTTTAATTATTATTATGAAATATGATTAAATACCACTAAATGGATAATCAAGTACTCCCTACTCTTTAACAGACCGAACGAAATGATGAGAATTGACCAACGAAACTACGGAACGTAGTTGTTCGCTCGACCCGTGTTAAGTGTTTAGATTATTCCTATTGTATTGAAATTTCCGGATTACGATGACATTTTTTTCCAATTATATTTTTTCCAATAGAATTTGAAATCATTAAAATTAATTTGACAAAATATAAATTAATAATTATAACAGGTATAATTGCAAGTTTCATTTTATTTTAAAACTACGTATGGAGTGTTATCGCACCATCGCACGCGCGCCATAGTACGAGCTGCCACTGCATATAAATAATTATTTTGTAATAAAATCTAGAACTCTACAGCTCTAAAACTTATATTAATATATGAAATATAATTTGTTAAATTTAATAGAATTATAATAGTCAACTACTCATCGTATAAGTTTTTGAAGAGCTTCATGCAACATACAAGCTTCACGAACTCGTATAAAATGATTAAAATATATTGAAATACGAGTACCTATCTATATTATTATCGTTCTGTGTCTGTGATATTATTACTTAATTGTGTGTCCACTCACATTTTCATGGTTATACGAGTACATACAAAAATGTACAAAATAATATAAATGAAAATGAAAAATAAATAAATAAATGTACAAAATAATAAATATCACTTGTATCATACATATTTTACTAAATACGTTTACCTACTTGACAATTGACGAGTAACTAGAGTGTTTAAAAAGCAATCGCATACTTGCGTTTGCTATTTAAAATAATAATAAAAGCTTATAAATTTGTATTGCCTTATCGATCACTGTTTTTGCCTATAATATAAAACATGTACCGTTCATTTCAGGCGGTGCTCATCTACCCGATGCCGATAGCGGTAGATTGGTAGTCGGTACCTGGTGGCTGTTCGTTTTGGTTATTGTTACCACTTACAGCGGGAACTTAGTGGCATATTTGACGTTTCCTCAGATGGATGCAATGATATCTAATGTGGCTGACCTAATGGCTCGTACACCACAGGGATATTCATGGGGAATACCGGATTCTTCGAATCTACATACGCTGCTTACTGTAAGACAACCGTATCTAGATATCAATCAAAATTCGTATTATGTTAATTGCAATGGAAAAAAAAAACTTACCCTCGCAAATATAACAGATATCGTAATAGTTAAATTAATATGTATAAGTTAAAACGATACACGATAGGTACACAGACACGTGTGGTTGTAGATATGCAAATATTAATGTGTATTGTCTACCTAATACCTATTTATAATAAAATAATGTGTTTATTCTAACATATATATGTATTAATTTAATATAACGAAGACGTTGCCGGACGACACGATGATCAAAGAGTTAATAAAAAAAGCAGAACATCATAAAGAGTTATCGCTACCGGTCATAGAAAGAGTGAGATCTAGTAAATACGCGTTCATTCACCGCCGTACCAACTTGATGTACGTTATGAAAAACGATTATCTGCGAACCAATAGATGTGACTTTGCCATTGGTAAATACTTCTAAAACTTTTATAAGCAAGAAAAATGTAATTATATTTGTTAATTTTGGTTTCATTCAGGTTTAATTATATTTTTCATGATCTTGTACAGTTTTTCAAAAATAAAATGTTAATTACTTGTGTTTTTTTTTTTAATATTAAATGCGGTGGGTCTAGTTATAGTTTTCATTAGTATTTTATTGAAATAACAAAAAAAAATTTTTTTTAATATTTTAATTATTTAATAACTACTTAATAACTACAATAATAACCTACCTAATAATAATATTCAGAGGTTACATTTAAGTTATTTTAACATTATATCGAGAACAATATTTAAAAAAATGTACTAGAATTAATTATTATAATCAATGGTGCTAGGATTGTTTTAAATAGGTAATTCATATTGTAGATAGTCAAGGTCAGTATTATAATTCATCACTAATGGTTTGAAAAAAAAATTTTTCCATCAATTACAGCCATGTTTATTAGTTATACCATTTACTAGTGTAAATTTACACTTATTAATGTTTTCTAAGTAAAAGCAAGGTTTGTAATAGTTTTAACTTTTTTTTCTTACATAAATGTACACTGTTTTCAACATATATTTTTGAATAGTATTAATTTTATATAATTTATAATATTTTGATTTATTTAAAGATATTATGGAATACTTAATAGAGTTGATTTATTAAAGCCATTCTTGAATTTTAGTAATGTCATGGGATTTAACTTTAATATAATTAAGTACTATTACAAAAATTATTAAAGTCTTATACAAACTCTTAAGTTTATTTTAGTAAATATTTTCATGACCAACAAACTGTTAGAATTTCAAACATAGTATATTTTTTAGTTAAACGTTGTTACCTTTTAGCTATTCTTAATACTTATTTACTATATTTACCAATGTTTTAAAGGAAATGAAGATTTTGCAGAAGAAAAATTAGCCATGATGTTATCAAAAGAGAGTCCTTATCTCGGTCGAATAAATAGAGAGTAAGTAAATGCCACTTCAAAACAGTAAACAGATTGTACTAGTGTAGACAGACTTTAAAATAATACTTCTGTGAACAATTCCACTAAATAGTTATGACAACCTAATAAAAAAAAAAATTGCTTGATAATAACCGACTAATATTTTTACAGAATAGAAAAAATGCACAAAGTTGGTCTTATAAATAAATGGTTGGTGGACAGTCTACCTAAAAAAGACCAATGTTGGACTACCACACAAATGGAAGTGACAAACCATAAAGTGAATTTAAATGATATGCAAGGATCATTTATTGTTTTACTACTAGGTATGTTTCCTATTACAATATAGTGTAGTATTTTATTTTTTTATCTGTTGTAGGAGTATTATCATCATTGGTGTCGTTTTTATTTGAATATCTTGTAAATAAATACAAGAACCATCGCCAAATAGTTATAACACCATTCATAAACTAAGTATTGACAATTTAAAAATTACACAATTGTAAAATGAACAGTCTTTTTTTTTCTTTTTATTAAAATAAATAGATAACAATGACATTCTTACAAATAATTAAACATATAAACATACATTTATTTCTATACATATAGAACATTGAAGTACCAAGTACCACTTATTGAACCATTACATAGAATGATTATTTTCACCAGTCAAATCACCAAGGTAAGTGAAAAGGTTTTTAATTTTGTAACTCCGTTTTCGATTAGTGAAATAATGTGTTACTACACTGTCATCTGTAAATAAAAAAGCTTTAATTAAACATTGATAATAATAAAATAATGGTTCTTATTGTTTTAATTGAAAATAACCTTATCTTTAATATTTTTAAAATTTAATTCTTACAAAAGTTCTTAATATTTATATTTTTTATATTTAAACGATGCCGTTTCGATATGCGTTCTACAGGTTTTGTCTATTCTATATTGGACATCGACTATATCTCATGTGTTATCTACTACAGATTTATATATCATATGTTGGGTATTTATTTCAACCTTATTCTGTTCACTTTAAATTCTATTACTGTAGGTTTTATAATATTTAATTTTATTTTAGCTACCTATTACTTACGTACATTGTTTGTAACGATTACTATAGGGTATTGTGATTTTTTTTTTATATTTTATTTTATTGTGCATTATTTATAAATAATTATGGCTGCAGTGCTATTTCGTGAGTTTTACTGTACAATAGTCTTAAATTAAATTGTGGGTCAACATTTTTTAGTAAAATAATAATTATTAAAAAGCGTTGAAGACAATGCCCCTAGTCATAAATGCAGCATCCAAATGCAATTAAAACAAAGGAAATGCCATAATGGAGAATGGATGGACATTTTTCGGTATCCAAAATAAGGGCTGTCAGATAAGATCACCACGAGTGGGTAGCAACTTTTTCATTTGTTACAGTGGGTTAACACTTTTTAAAATTGTTGAATTTGTATTTATGTTCGTATTGGAATTGTCCATATAATACAACACAACACCTAACACAAATGGTAATGGATCAGACAGGATGGAGCAGTGAATGTGTCACCGACTGGTTTAACTTGTGCCAAAAAGTATGTACAGCTGTTTTGAAGACTAAAAAAAATGGTTAGAAGTTCACAAAATCCAATTCAAATTGATGAGGCTCGTTTTGTTGGTCGAAGGGAGTAAAATAGAGGCAGATTAGCTTGAGACATTGCTCTTTCCTTGGAAGATATAAATGATTAGGTAATTAATAACTGAAATCATGGTGTACAGGTAAAAGGTACCGGGTTATTTATCCTTACCTAGGTTTCTGTACACTCCATATAACTGAAATTGCTGGGAATAATCTAATTCAAAATAATTAATCTTATGTTTTACATCGATACCAAAGCTTCCATCCTTTTGTTATTCAGAAAGAGTATCAACAATAAAAACGACATGTGCAGAGTGCAAACCAAATTAGAAACTTGTTGGTGAAGTGCATACCTAAATGGCACCATTTAAATTACCAATTCATTTTTCAATGACATTATTTATATATGGGTTTAATTTAATACAGTCTTACATATATTTGTAAAGTAATTTTAAGAACTTTTAGTACAATAATTAATGTTACAAATAAAAATACATTAAATTCTAATAATATGTTATTAGTATATTCATTAGGAAGATAATCATAAAATAATTAATGTTCATTTTATGATTTATTTTAAAAACCTTTACGAGTAAGTTACTTCTATTAGATATCTTAAAATATTGAGTAAATTGATCAATATTTTTCAAAAATAAAAAACATTGTTTTTAAGTTCAAAATAATAATACAAAATGTATTTTTATAATGATTAACTAACCAACAAGAATGCTCAAAATGATTAATAAAAGTAAAATATTTATATACATTGATTATTAAAATAGTATTTAACTATTTAAACACTAACAAACCTAATAATATAAGATACTATAAAAATTAAGCAATTGTTTATTACTGTATTACCAATCACAAATAGTATACATTAGAATTTCTTAATCTGTGGAAAACACATGGATAGTATATATAAAATAAAGTGTACATTTTTTAACAGACAAAAAACATAAAAAAAATTATTTGGTCAAATAACACAAACTTTTTCAAAATGTATAGGTGGTACTTAAGGCACATTTACATGGTTCACTTTTGATGAATTATCCAAAATGAATAAATAATGAACAATGTATACTTTAAATCATCAAAAATGATCATCACCATGGAACGATGAATGAAGTTGGATTGTGTCCAACTTTCATTAAATCTAAGTGAATCATCCACGATGAATCATCAAGTGATTTGTGTAAAATAACACCAATTTTACCTTCAATGTTAGTGAATGTTCAAACACATTTTTATTTTTGATATTTTACTCTGATAAGAAAAATTGTGATAAATGGTTATTACATAATAATTATAATCCAATAATATTAAGTTTAATAGAAGACCGGAAATGTTTGTGGAACACAATTACAATTCCTGCTCTTACAACCACATTAGACTTTATTTTAGTTGAATAAGTACTGTCTATAACAATATATAAAGTATTATTCCTTAAATAAAAAAAATAATATACACTAATAACTCCTTACACAGTAAAAGGTGTGATCATCTATAGTGAACCATGCACAGTTTCTTTTAATTTTTAATGTTTCACTATGAATGATTTATCTGAAATAATCATCAAGAGTGAACCGTGTATAAACGTGCCTTTAGATATAAATATAGGTTGAAACCTACTAGTCTAAATACATTTTCAACTTACCCACATTTGTGACAGGTAAAGTATTATCATTGGCCGATAAAGATAGCAAATACATAAATGGTACCGTCCATAAACATACAGTAAAGTATGAAATAACCTTTAAAAATAAAAATGATAAATAACATATATCAATTAAATTAACTAATTAAAAAAAAATGTTCAAACTTCTGATAATGTTGAATAACGTTGTCGAAAATATTTGAAGGCTAACACATGATTGCCAACCAATAGTATAATTGACATAATAAATGACAGCGATGTTAAATTAAAGTGTGGAAAGTCTGTGAGCAACAAGTAGTATATTATATGACTCAAAAGACCAATAGCAATTAATGTTAATGGTACATTGTCAAATAGATATAATCCAATATGACATATTATCACAACCTATAATCAAGTAACAGTATTACATTAATAATAAAAAATTATTATTATTATGTTCCATAAAACTAAGAAGAAAAAATTAATACTATTATAGTACTAAGTTTATCCAATATATATATAAATATAAATCTGAATAAGATTAATATTGTTTATAAAATGTACTGTAGCAAATCATAAATTCTTAACACAATTTATGTTCTGTAAACAACATTGGCACCAGAAACTTTAAGGATACCAAATATATCTTTTAATCAAAAATTGTTCAATTCACTGATTTATACATAATATTGAATTGAGACTCAAAAGTCAACATTTTATAAAAAGAAAAAAAAATCGAATAAATCAAACATTAGAAGTACGATAAAAGGGAAGTATCAAATACATTTATAACTATAATCTGGCCGACATTGTTCACTAGGAACAAGAAACATTAACATTACGTTAAATATTTATAAAAAAAAAAGTGAATGTAATTGTATGCATCATAATGTTCAACGCTATCAAATTAGTTTTGATTATTTTATATTTGATCAAATCAAATAATCAAAACTTAATCTCTATAATTATGATATACATAATAACAAATATTCTATATTGATTAATACAAAAACAAATAATTAGTTCAATGGAAGAAAGATATGAAAGAAGGTCCAAATAACAAAAACATTAATAAAATAAACAAAACTTAATTCTTACATGAATTGTCCATTTTATAACTTTCTTGGTTAATATTGTGTGTTCTTCTACAAACTCTGCCAAGTAATAAACTCCAGCACCTCAAATGAAAAAAAAAATAAATAGAAAATATATAAATTTAAATATCTCAGGATATAAATATAGGTCCAAAATATAAACTTTTTGTGGTTCATTATTTTTTTATGGAGAAGTAGTATAATATTATACTATTATATAATATGCAATATAACAGTTTATTTATACACATTGGATGTCCATTGAGGATTGAATTGATTCATAAGGCAGAGTACCTTCTCATTAAAATGTTTAAGCCTATTATATATATAAATATATATAAATACATAAATGCTAACCAAATATATATGCTGATTCAGAAATCAAATGCATGATCATGCAATTGCTATTTTAATTACCTTTAATCAAAATATAAATTAATGAAGAACAATTATTGCCTTAAGAAAAGAAATATATATTAAACGTTCAAAACAAAACTATCATTTGAAAATGGAAAATGAAACACAATATTACTGGGTTAATTGACCACAATCTAATAAAAACATGTGAAATTGGATATATATTAAACAGATGTATAGTTATTATCGTATTGAAAGTTACATTTATTTTATAAGCTTCACGGAATTAAATTCTAAAACGTAGATATGCTTTAAACGAGATCCAACAGTTGAAAATGTAAAACCATTCGCTATCGTTTTGTACCTTATTAAGAATGTTTGTCATTCAACCTATTCAACTACTACATTCAGAACACTAAGCATAAAGATTTTAACAGCAAGTGACCTGAACGAATGTGTGTTTGGATGATAGGCCTACGAATAATTAATAACGCAAAACGCACTAACCCACGGTTATACAGTAAAACAAATTCAATGCACAACTCACCGATAAAAATTGAAATAAGAGCTATCTGCAGTACAGCAGCAATAGCAATGACCAAGAACATAAAAACCATGTCTAGTGATTGGCGCCTACATAGAATGCGTTTCAACGTAGAACTGTGCCCGAACAGTCGTTTGACAATTAACGAGAACGAGGGAGGAAACACACGGACCCGTCCGGAATCGACGGGCTTTTGACACGGACAACTCGTCGCTTACGCGTACGACACGGACACCGACTTTTAAGATAGTACCGACACTGATAACGGGCTTATCGTCGCAAGTTAACCGGTGGCACGCTATCACCATGCACGATACCTGTAACCTAATCTAATCTCTTTTCTATGCCAGTAACCACGTCCGCGTAGCACAGATCTCCGACAAGCCGAGACGCATATCTCTTATTTGTTGTTGTTGATAAGCAAACGTTACAAGCACGTGAGCCGGGTTACTGTGAAACGTTTTTATCTGAACGTTTATTATTATTCTTGTATGGATTTCGAAACACTATTGCAGTTGTAGTAGCTCTCGCGCGCGTTACACTCAACGATAACTCGTAAGGGAACGATTTCCTACTAACATTTTCGGTGCTTACGGCCAATTACAATTCGCTTTCGTTTTTGGTTTTCTTGTTACAGTAAGTTGTCAATTGTTCACAAAACGTAGTTTTTTGAGACACTGTCGGTTCTATCGAGGAGCGTGGATTTAAATTTATGCTCATTGCCATCGACCGTCCGATCAGTTATTGCGAAACGATCTAATCGATTAATTTCATTTTATTTTTTTTTTTTTATTTCAGCAAATAAATTATGGACGATGAATATACAGTTGGAGCATTGTGTGATTCGATTGCATCACAAGGGAAAAAAAATAAAACCATTAAAGGTAATATAAGCAACAACTCTTCAACAGAACAAACTAAACGTAAATCTGTTCATTTAAAATTCATTGGAATACTTCCATACTTGTACATTTATAGCTAAAAGTATGTTATTGATTGTATATTGTATTTCATTGTTTTTATTTTTATTTTTTTTCCTTTTAATTACTATTAATGAACAACTGTTATCATTATCTATAATGTATATAATTGGACCTGGCTTGATTAAAACTTAAAAAAATGAAATAAATATTGAGATCGAATGAAAATATTTATTATAGTATCACTACAATATTGTTTATATTTTAGGTGAAATTATGCAAAAGAAGAAAAAAGTTAAGAAACAACTTAAGACAGAAATAAATGCAATTGATTTACCTGAAAATTCAGAAAAATCAAAGAAAAAAAGATCTAAGAACAATGATTTGCCTAAAGCCAAAAAACAAAAAACAGATAAAAATTGTTTGACTACTCAAAATGAAATTATAGAGACCAAACCACATATTAATGATGAAAATCTAATAAAAAATAATATAAAATCATTAGTGTTAATAAAAAAAAATAAAAATAGTATTAACTTTGAAAAACATATTAGGAACAAAAAAATCAAGGATGAAAATTTAAATAAACCTAATGATAAATCTAAAACAATTCAAAAGAAAAATACATTTTTCAAAAAACCGTAAGTACTTTATCATAATTAAAAGGAATAACAAAATCATCTAACAAATTAATAAATATTGTTTACAGAGATATGAAATCTTCCGCTGAATATATTGAAAAAAAACCAGTATCATTAATAAAAAATGAAAAAGTAACTGATTTAGAAATTAAAAATAAAAATATTGCTAATTTTGAAAAACGTATTAAGAAAAAAAAAACCAAAAATGATAATTTAAAACAACCAAATGATAAATCTATAACAATTCTAAATAAAAATAAATTTTCTAAGAAACCGTAAGTGCTTTATAATAATTAAAAAAAATAATATAATCATCTCATAAATTAATTAATATTGTTTATAGGGATATAAAATCATCTACAGATTATATTGAAAAAGAATCAAGAACCGTGTTTGTAGGAAACGTTCCAGTTAATATTAAAATGACATTGATAAAAAAATTATTTAAACAATTTGGAGAAGTGGAAACAACTAGGTTAAGGAGTGTTGCAGTCAATAACCTTGAGGTGCCTAAACGTGTGTCTATTATGAAAGGCGATTTTCACCCACAAAGAAATACTGCAAATGTGTATGTGCGTTTCAAAACTGTTGAAGAAGCACAACGTGCTTTGGTTTTAAATGCTACTACATTTGAAGGGCACACAATAAGAGTAGATATGGCCTTAAATTCTGGTCATAAACAGAATAAAAATAAAGGAATATTTATTGGAAACCTACCTTACAGTGAGTGTAAATCGTTTAATTTTACTAGTTTTTATTATCTAATTATCCGAAAATACATTTTCATAAACAACCATACAAATGTATGTGTAAATGTTATATTGTTTATGTAGATATTCAGGAAGATGAAATATGGGAATTTTTCAATGATTGTGGAATAATTTCTGCTGTACGCTTAGTTCGTGATAATGCCACTGGCGTTAGTAAAGGTTTTGGATATGTAGATTTTGAGGTTAGTATTGAAAATAATACAACTTGTATTTATTTATTGAACTGTTTTTATTCTAACTATGAAATGTCTTAAGTATTCTTTCTAAGCTAATACTCTAGTTAGGATCTTACTACTATACTATGGTTATCTAAATTCCTTTGGGTAAACTTTTTTTATTCGCTCAACTTGTCTGACTTCTAGTCCTTTCAATAGTCAAAACTATCTATTTCCATGATATGTAATCTTTAAATAAACTTTTTTTAGTCCCTAGTAAACTGCTTATGCACTTAAATATTACAAATATTAACTTTTTTCAACTGACTACCAATAGTAACCAACATTCTCACAAGAATTATATATTTGTTAATTTGTTACGATTCGTTTCTTCGACTCTTATCATGATAATGATTACCTTATCATGTTTTTTTATTATCATTTATTTTTATATAAAAATGCTGTAATACATGAAACTGAATGACCTCAGACTTTTGTTTATTATAAACATAATAGAATTTTGAATATTGAAGTACTTCTAATACTTAATAATTTATTTTAAAATCTATTCAATTTTTTTTTTTAAATAATCAAAATTTGTTTTTATATCAGACGAAGGAATCTGTAGAATTGGCATTACAACTTGACGGGAAAAAAATTCAAAATAGAGGAATACGTATTAAAAGGATAGATGTCAAACCTAATGCAATTAAGGGGTTCAACAAACAACCAGTTCAATTCAAAAGAACCAAAAAAGTGGGTAGAATGAACAGTGGTCATAATTTCCAAGGAGAAACAATGAAGCCAAAAATGCAAAAAAAGGTAATATTTAACTATTAGTAATAACACTATTGATTACTTACTATATAATAAGGATCAATTAATAATTAATCAATTAATTAATTCACAGTTTAATATAAACAATCGAGTTGATTATACCTATTGAATATCATGTGTTCAATGACAATTCGCAATATTTTCAACTTTAATTGAAATATATGATATTTTAATTATTCATTTAAATTTATATAAAAAAATTGTTCATCTCTAATTATTTTTAACTATACACTTTTATAATATATAGATAGTAAATATTATTTTGAATGATAAATATGATTTCTGACTAAAAAACATTTGAAGAAAATCAAATTAATTTTGATAAATATCTACTGTTTATTTAATTTGTTTCTAATTGCACTTTTTTTTTATTTTTATACAGAAACCAAAAGCAACAAAAACTGATTTAATGAGAAAGAAGATTGCTAAACAATTAAACGCTTGAATTAATTTGTATAAATTAATAAAACAATTGATATTGATTATTTTTTGTTATTTATATTTCCAACTACAATACATATTTTCAGGCAAATAAATAAAATGCATAAATAGGAATAACATTTTATATTTGTATTTGGCTTTTTACTTTATATTATCCAAAAAGGTAATTTATAATATAATTTTTTGATCAAATACAATTTATAAAAAGCCACTGAATGCCATTGTTGACAAAAATAACCTTATCAAGTATAATAGCCAATATAATTTATTTATTGTATAAATATATATGAAATAGACAATGGGATATCAAAATAAGGAGCATTAAATAGATGTAATATAATTTTAATGTTTGAACCTAATAAATGTCAAAAAATACTATTTACACTTAGGTTCTACAGTAAGATTATCAATCAAATTGAACAAAAAAATAAATTCTTAGTAGTGAAAAATATATAATAATAATAATTAAAAAAATAATAATAATAATTAAGAAAAAAATTATTCTTTTACATCACCAACACCGTCAGCATTAATAGCAAACATGGCTTCAGATTCTGGTAAACAAGGAGAATCATATATCTTACATATTCTTGTTTCCCCTCTACCCTTACGCAAATACAATCTAGTAGTAGATGAGTGTGCCATTATATTTCCTCCGACAGGTTTTTTTGGGTCAGCTGCAAACATAGTTGCACAATCAACCTGAGCAACCACCTGATTGGTAATGACAACAGCAACGCCAAACTAAAAAACAAAAAATACCTAAATGAGGTATCTATATCTCTACAACGGTTATACTGAAGTATAAGAATAATTAAAAATGCATACTTTTAAAGTACAGTAAAACCTCGATAAGACGGAATAGCTTTGGACCATGACATTTTTCTGAGTTAACGGGGTTTCCATCTTGACAGGGTTAGTTAATTACATGTAATTTGAAATGGGACCAAAAAAATGTTCCGTAATACCGAGGTTTTCATCTTATCGAGGTTTTACTGTATTTATATTACCTCATCTGCTAGACGTAATAACATTCTAAGGAACCTGGCTAAATGATTTTGTCTAGCTGATAATTCTCCTCTACCAGAATAATCAGTTCTGTATAAAGCCATAGCACTATCTACAATTAATAATGCATATCTAAAATAAAACAATAATGTATCCATTAATCATAAAACACATGATACAGATAATAGGGCCCTGCATGGGCTGAGCCTAGCCCTTTCTTGAACCTGGTACATTGGGCTAGATAGACCATAGACCCGTATATTTATTATGAGTATACATTGTATACATATGTTTTATTTTTTAATTCATTTTTTATGGACTATGGTTTCAAAAAATAAAAAAGTGTTGGGTTACAATGAGTACAGGCATTTACATCAGGTTACGGATTTGGGTGAGGGTTGAGCCTGTATTCGGTAAATTATTTTAATATTTGTATTTTTGTGGACAACTAAAAATAAATAAAAAATATAATCAATATATATATTTACTAAATAATAAATGTTGTAAAGTTGAATATTATATAAATAATTGAACCACCTTGATCTTTTACTGGGCAGGATTGGCCTGAAAAAAGTATTAGAATGGTCAGGACTGGATGGGCTTGCTTATACAATTTTAACTTTAGGAGAGATTGGATTTCATAAATTAGAACATTGAAGAGGCTCTAATGAGCTGGGTTTTTCGTATTAGAATATGGACCGGGCTAGGCTTAAAAAAATAAGCCCATGCAGAGCTCTAACATATAATACAAATATAAAGTAATTATTTTCTCTAGTTTTATTATTTTTACTTCACATTTTAAATCATAATAAATAAAAGTATTATAACTAGTAATGGGCTAGGCATGCTTGGCATAGTCATACACATAATAGAAGAAATCCTACTAAGGAGACCACATATAATATGAGAGAACATAAGGAATGATGTGAAAGCATTAGGAGGAGGTTTAGACTAGAGGATACAGGGCATCAGATAGAAAAAATTATCATAATTCTAGTTATAAAGACTATAAGTAATTATAATGTATATAATATAATAGAGTTGTTTTACCTTGATTCGGCCATCATAGCAGCAGCTTGAAGTAACAATTGTGTTTGATGATCTGTATTGTATGCTCTAGCACAAGCAATATTATCAAGTACATCACTTCCCACTAATTGATACCTTTCAGCTACTGACAACAAACGTTCTGGTCGGAACGTACCTTCAGTATCAATGAAAAGGCATTTACCTTCTCCACCATTTTGGCTAATGGGCAACTAAAATTTTATAAAATATTAGGAGTTTAGAATAGAATTTTAAAAATTATGGTTAGAGCTTAACAATTAAAAAACAAGATATTTTACCTGACAAGTAACAGCCAAAGTAAGGCACAATTGCGTTTTACCAGTTCTAAATTCTCCAAATATTTCTGTGATTGAACCAGTTTCAATACCTCCGCCTAATAGACGATCTAATTCCTTTGAACCAGTTGTTAATTGAATGATTTCAGATCTTTTTAAGTGAAATACTGTAGCTGAAGTAAAACCAAGTGGAATCATTTTAGATGCTGTTGCCTGTAATAATATATAAAGTGTCCTTATCAGTGATTGTAAATTCAAAAAATTATTGAATACCATTTTTAAATGTTTACCAATATTTTATCTGCTTTCGCTTCGCTTATACCTTTTATGGTAATCAAATGCTTTTTTGTCACAAAAGCAATAGATTCAACTGTGTGAAATCCAGCTTCTTGAAGCTTTTTTATATCTCCACTAGCAAAGCCTTGTTCCTATAATATTATGTTCAATGAGTACACCCATTTTTTAAAAATATTTAGTTTTATGTAAAATGAATAGTTTCTAATTATATATGAGTTTATAAAAAAGCGTATTTGTTATTCACATCGCATAATAATATACTGAACAGTAAACAAGAAAAACGAGTGAACACCATAAAAATAGGTAATTACCAAACTATTAAATGAACGAGAGTCCACACCAAGAGTAATGTTATTATTTTCAAGAACATTACTATATCTGTTTCTTATAAAATTTTAGAAATTCTTTCGATCTAAACCTTAAAAACTAGAAGACAAATTCCAATCTATTTTCAAAAATAAAGTCCGTCCATCCCAAGCCTCCCAATTTTGTCTAGCTTATTGGTTTTTTAATTTAAATATCTGTGACTCATACTAATGTTAATTTACTTCTCATACACTGACAACCGAAGTCGCTGCATTCCTCGGTACCGTCATTTCGCTCCGTAAATTGAAAATATCCCTCGACTTGTTATGCAAAACCACCTCATGTAGGTAACAGGGACAATAAAAATTTAAATATGTAAAATTAAAATTAAATATTCAATTCTAAGAATTTTTTAAAAAAAAAAATGTGTGTTATGAAAATAATGAAGTTTTTGAAGTTTTTCATTAATAACTTCAAAACAAAGTTTGTCCGGGCTACTTATTTTTAGCATACTAATAAAACACCCAAGAACACATATTTTGGAAAAAAAAATTAAAAAAATTGATAGGTTGTTAAACTAAAATAATGCCAAATTTTTAACGTCATCAATTAAATTTTTTTAACTTAGAAAAAGAGATCATGAATTTATATGTATTTTTAAAAAAATAATAGGACTCTGGAAGTATTGTTACTAATCTTTCGCTGATGGATCCAAAACTACAATACGGTGTGTTCCAACAACCTTAAAACTAAATTATAAATTATTTAAATTATATTTTACTTCAAGTTTTGAGATTGGAATTGGTCCATCATCTTCTTCATGATCTTCAACTGCTTCTTCAACGTGAGAAATTGAAGCCATGGCCATTTTTGGTTTTTGGATGAAAATGAAATTACTGAAAATGTTTTGATACACATAGTAAATTATACGATTAAAGGGAATAAACCGACGAAAAGATTACGAATTAATACAGCAAAATAAATTCGATAGAATCCAAACGCTGAACACTTTCCAGAAAAAAGCAGTCTCGTAAATCAGATTCGAAATGGATAGGTAAACGTTACGTATTGCTAATATTTAAGATGAATAAATGAACGCAGCGAACGGTAAATGTGCGGATCAAGACAAAAATCTTTTAAAATTGTTCAAACCGGCTGGTCGCGGAGAACGATGAGACTGGACTGAAAGACGGGATCGCAAACCAAAAATCGATTCGAGACCGGCCACGATCGGCGGGCACAGCGCAGCGCAAACGTGTTTTCAGCATAACCGGGGTCCGTGCGCCGACAATAAATGTACGTACCTGGATTTGAAATATGTATTTGAAACCGATTGAACGCGGTGCGATCACTCCACGCGGTGTGTCAACGCGAACCACGAGACTTGCAAAATGGAATATTTCGGATCGTCGGAGAGCACGGTGAGGTCAGCGATGTGTCAATGTCGATTTGTTTCAATGCTGTTCATTTTGAATCGTTATCAAAAACGGTCACTTGAACACGGGACAAAGCAATTGGCGCGAAAGTGGTGGTACCCACGGTTCCGAACGACGCACTGCCAAAAGTCCCACCCGCTGTTGGTTCGTGAACATTACCGTTGTAACTACGTAAACGACAGTACGACCACGGCAGCGAGTGGCCTGCGCTCAGAGACCGGTGATAACGGCCGATAGTTGAGAAACGAGTTTTAGCTTTTGTTGATTATTTACCCAACAGTTTACTCGATCGGTAAACACAGTCTAGAGGGGAGAGGGGCACTCGTGTATTTGTCACCGGGGCCCGGTCATCCTCAAGGGCCGGAATGAATAACCGTATTCATTTGATAGAAGCTTTTTCAAAATGGTGCAACGTGCAAATAAAAATCTGTATGTTGTATCAATACGTTAATACGTTCAGGAAATATGTACCCATTTATGTATTATTTTTAAACTTGTGAGTTACGAGTTGATTTTTCCATTGATATTGAGCCTAGTTAAAACTACCTTAAACGTATTCTACGAAATACGATAAGAATTATTTCAGCCTGCTGTCAACTTCTCTCCCCACACCCGAACTTACGATTACAATGATGTGTGATGTAGGTACCTACTATTGTGTAAAGGTTTCCATACACTGCCGCGATGGCGGTGGTGGTGGAGATGGCGATGGCGATGCGGTGGCGTTGCGGTGGCGTTAAATGTGTACACACGTATTGTAATGGGAGTCTGCACACTGCTGCGGTAATTCGGCCGCGGCAAAATATCGCCGCTGCGATATTTTAAAAACCGCAGCATGCTCGATTTCACCGCCACCGCTCAGCGGTATTTTCAATTGACTTATTAAATATACGCTAATAGTACTAGTACTAATAAACTATCTAATATATATGGTGTATATTAGTCTAGACTTCGATTATTTCCTAGAAACTATTCAATTTATAGTTTAATATACTATTTGACTTAATTAAAAAGTAATTCATATAAAAATAATCAATACAATATTATACATATATATATTTATATATATATAATGAATATGATATGTACAATAGTATAAGTACTTAATATAGTACCTACTAACGTACTGTAAAGATAAATCGTCAATTTATTAATGACATAGGAATTAATTAACTAACTGTACAATTATTGTATGTAATATCATTGATTATAAATATTTATAATCAATGGTAATATATAAATATATTATGTATATACTGGATAAAAATCGCCACCGCCACCGCCGCAATGTGTTCAGGTCTGCGATTTTAATATCGCCACCGCCACCGCGTTTACAGTGTGTGAGGACCGCGTTTACATGTTCATAAATAAATAACGAATCGATGAACACACGCGTTGTGTTTTGTGTATCAATATTCATAGACGAAACTAGACACTTTTATTAGGTCAGGCCAAATGAAAAATATAAAAAGTATTATTACGTAAAATTAACTATTATTTCCTATAGTATAATTATAAAAATAAATTAAACAATAACTAATAAAACCGATTATTCGAATACATAGAATAAACTTATTATATTCTATTATAATCCTTATTTGTATCAATTGCACTTAATTACTATATTAGATTATAGTATTATATGAAACGTACAAATGTACACGTTTGTATGTATAAATATATTATTTATAATGCCCAAATAATTATTAAAATATATAATATATACATATTTTTAGTTAGTATTAGGTCAGGCTATGGCCTGACCCGTAGTTTCGCCTGTCAGTATTGACATTCGACATTTTTATTTTATTAAATTGTTAGTTGTTTTTGTTCTTGTTGTCAAATGGCGTACCATCACAAATCAGAAGCTCAAAAACGGAAAGAGCGAGAAGATAAATTTGAAAAATCCCAGAGAAATCAATTGACTGTCGAAGATTTTTGTACGAAAAAACCAAAGAAAAAAGACATCGAAGATAGGTCATCAGTGTCATGTGGTAATTGCTATTATTTGCAATAAATACAGAATGATATATATAATTATTAGGACTAGTATTAATATGTAATAAAAAATTGTGAAATATGCATTTTATTTTTAATTATTTAATAGGTAATTATTATATTTAATATGTAATATTATATATTAAATACACAATTCTATGCATCACGTTCAAAATACGTAAAAATGTCCAAATTAATTGTTCTATCGATTTAAGCCGAGCGCTCATAAATTTTAATTAGGTACCTAATAAAGAGTTAAACATTTAGGTTTATAATTCTAAGTTTACAATTCTAAAATCTGTTACATATTTAATAAATTTTTAATTTATAATGATCACTTATATATGATATTTAATTTTCTCTTATAATCACCAATTTACTTCTGAATGTTTGTTCCTTAGCAAGTTTATCTTCCATAATATCTAAATCAGCATAATTATTAATACGCAACATATCATCATCAGTATTATCAAAATGTAATGTTTCTGATTGGATATTCAATTTATCCAATATTTGTTGTTGTACTGCAAATAAATTGTCAATAATTTCTTGGATATTTTTCAAATTGTGTTACATAACAATAATATTTCTATTTATGGATTTTTGAAAAGCTATATATCCTGTATACACACAAATATTACTTAATCATACAAAACATATTACGGTACACAATTTTTATATCTTACCATCATCATCTCTATTATCACCAGAACCAGCTGGAGTTATTACTTGTCGTATCAAAGTTGGAGTACGCAGCTTCTTTTCTGAATCTAGTAAATTATCGCTAACAGAAGCTTCAGAAGATTCAGAATTGATGAATTTATCAAATACATTTATTTTTGATGCAGATTTTGTTTCTTTTTGAATATCTGAATGAGGTCTAACACTCTCTAAAATGGTTTGTATATCCTGTGAATTTGATGTGCTTTGTACTTGTGATGAATTTGAACCAAATAATACTTCTTTGTTTTCTTCAAAAGAATTATTATCGGACAACAAATTATCTACTGTTGTTCCTAAAACATATATTAGTTTTATTTAACTCATTGACAACTAATATAATATATACACCAAATTTAATTTATGTACTAAAATTGAATACTAATAAATTAAATAAATATATGACTATAGATGAGGTAGATAACATAATATAGTACACATTTTTATACTAGTGTATTTTTCCTTGCCTTCAAATTCTTTTAATGTTGGAGGAAATAATAAAATATGAGATGTATAATTGTTGCCTCGATCATTGCTGAATTTTTTTTTTTTTTTGTTTTACTTATTCATTATTGTATCTCTATATTGAATACATAAAGAGCTAAGTAATAAATATTTAAATTTTTTTTAAACTACCTATTATTATTATTTATTATAATGCTATTATATACCTATAACAATAAAAGTATAAAACAAAAATAAACACAAAATACATAGAGGCTAACTTTTTACATCATACTCACTATATTAATTAAGAATGAATAATTGGTATAGCCGTAACTATACCCTCAAAATGAAAAGTCATCATTTTCATTTTAATATCAGATAAATCCCATTTATATACATTTTGAGAAAGATTATTTACATTATAAATGTTGAGCTTTGATGATTTTAAAGAGTGTATAAACATTTCTTTCTGGTTTAAAAAAATTTTACCAATAAAAATGTTATTGTTGGAAGTTGTTGGTAATACAATTTCAGTTATTTTTACTATTTCACCACTTTAAATTGAAAAATAACAATTTGGCTTTTTGGTAGTAAATTTAACTTTTTTAATATTATTATGTTCTATGTTTCCACTTATATATTTTTCCTCATAACGTCGAACAACTTGTTGTAAAGGTTTTTCATGTTTACAGAGCATATTTTTCAAATCCTTCATATAATTTTCAAAAGGGAATGCACTACAACAATCGAGTGGCCCAAATTTAATATAATCATCAGGTAAATGAATTATGCTATGAAAATTGTATGACATAAATTGACTTCCATAGATTTGTTCAAATGATTTAACAAAATAAACTAGAAGTTTGCAAGCATACTCAACATATTGTTTATAGTTAGGGCTTAAAATTATTCTCATTGCAATACTTAAAGCCATACAATTTTCATAACAGTCTCTAGATAAAATGTTTTTTAAAAGTACTAGTTCGGTATACAATAAAAACTGCCGGAATTCAGTAGCCTTCCAACGAGCTACATCTTCTATTGCTCTTGGTTTTCGTGGAAAACCATTAGTTATATAAGTTTTTAATGTTAAAAGAGAATTTGTAATTTTTCTAATTTTCCAACTAGGCAACCAAACAGTCATTGGTCCTTAAGTAGCACGTGGGTTAGAAAAAAAAAGCAAACAGTGTACTAGACAGACGTCCTCTTATACTCTAAAATATAATGTAGATGTGGATAATAATTTTATAATATTCAAATAGTATATTAAATATTAAAATATATGTACTTACGCGTATTGGCTGGTGGCAATTACTGTTGAACAACAACTGTAGAACGTTAAACACTAAAACAGCCACAGCGAATTACAGACGATCACAGAAAACATAATACGTTCAGAGCTATTTTTGGAATTGACGATAACGATGGACGATGCACATATGCGATTAGACGATCGTCTAAATTATAATGACAAATAAAATATGTACATGTACATATAATCCACTATTAGTTAATTATATTATAATATTATTATATTATAGTACATAATTATGTGCTATTCCAACATAGGATGGAAAATTGATGTATAATATTTGGTGTGTAATAATTTTATAATATTTTGACTATATTTCGGTTTAGATATTTTGAGATCAAATATTTTCAAAATATAGGATAGAAAATTGATACATAATATTTGGTATGTAATAATTTGATAATGTTTTGACTATATTTCGGTTTAGATATTTTGAGATCAAATATTTTCGAAACAACTGTATAATATTCTACAGTAAATAATTGCTTTGTAACCTAATTCAAATATTGTGAAAATATTAATGTTTTCAAATTGCTGTGTGGGTATGCACTGCGAGGATTCCTTTTACTGGCAATAATAGTATAATTGATGACAACTTTACATCATATTGTATTGAAAAGGGACCAGAATTTTTTCAAAATGATAATTGTTCATTTGAAAATTCAGTTAGAAAGGTGAGAATAGAAAAGTTTAATACATATTTTATCGGTTAAAAATATAAATTATTTATATTTATTATGATAACTATTTCTTTGATATTAACATAAGTTAATATATTACTATTATTTATTATATTTATACTTTAGAAAATTATCACACAATACACCTATCACTAACTCCTTTTCAACGAAAGTTACCAAATGGCGAGAAATGTAAACGGTAATGGTTAATGTATTCTCCTAGTCAAGGTGTTGTATATTGTTTTATGTGCAAGCTTTTTGGAAGTGACCAACAAAAGTACTAAAGTCCCTTTAATTAAAAGATTTATTAAGATTAATTAAAATCTAAAATTTTAATTTTGGCTCTCCAAATTGCGCATATTGGTGATATGATTTTACTACTTAATTAAAAGCGTTTAAATTTTTATTAGTCTATATAAATATTACAATATAATAATATTAACTATATTGTACACTAAATTAATTAATAGTCATAGAACAAAATAAATGTATAACAAATTGATAGCTTATTTATAAGTAATAATAAGTAAAACAAAAAAATTAATTTAATTTGACCGTTTACATAAAAAATGTATTTCAACGTATATTAGTTGAATTTTTAAATAAGTTAGCTATTTGCTCAATATCTATATCTTCATTAAGATGTTTTAATCTTCGTAGTGCTGAAAAAGATCTTTCTGCAGTACAAGACGATAATGGAACCGTCAAAATAATTTTTAGAAGTCAATTAAACTCTGTTAAAATACCTCCAAGCGAATTATTCGATTTAAATACATCTATAGCATCTTGTATAGGTACTGTTTATGTTAATTTTTCTTGATTTTACAATATCTAGAAACATATCTCTATGCAACTTAAGTTTTTCTAGATTGAAATCAATCTCATAAAAGGAACTAATACCCTAACAGCATATGTTATCAATTTTTCTTTATCTATTATAAATTTTTGAAGTTCACATAAATGATTAATTTTTTTTTTTTGAAATCGGTTATTTAATTATCATAATGTAACATTTAGAAGTTCGTAAAATATAATTTTGTATTTTTCTCTAACTGATGAAAATGTATACCCTTCACTTTCATTATTACCTTGAAATAATTTTTTTTATTCTCAGTTTATTTGGCTTTTTCAGTTTTAGATCACTAGACTTTACTGAAACTTGTTCCTATAAGTCATAAAATCCCGTATCTCTTAGTTGTTGACTAGATATGATTATGTTTTCAATTTTTAATTGTGTTTCTTGAAAACTTAAAGATATTCTTTGAAGTTCTGAATTTAGGATTTCAACCCTTCAAAAATAATAATCATTACTTTCGTATAAAACAAAAAATCAAAATTAAGTAAATGTTTTTTATAACCACTGGCTTTTGCTCCATTTTCATTTTTTTCCTTTGAAATATTATCAAGAAATTCTATTATACTGCATAGTTATTACACAAAGTTTTATGAGATTATAAATACACGTTATAAATATCCAATATTCTAATGGGTGCCCAGCCTCTCCATAATAATTTCAATGAGTGCCTAAGCCCCCGGGCACTCATGTACATGGTGTCTATGGATGTACGTACCCACACTTACTAACAATTGTTTCTATTGATTGATTTCAACGTGATTATATGATCCCCCGTGTAATTGTAATAGTAAGGACCGATATTTATATATGCTCTTAACACCACCTTAAATTCCGTGCTTTGGTTAATATTATTAAAGGTCTGTCTTGAGCCATGATTGAGCTACTTACGGAATGGAATTAATGGGAGGTGGCCATTTCATATAAGTATTTTCTTACTTTAGATAGTTGATTCAATTTTAATTGACCACAGTGAATTATTATACCATACATTATACTTACAATAAGAAATAAATCGGTTCACAGATTTTGATCAAAGCCTGTAAGTTTATACTGATTTACAGAAATATTTAGCGATCCTTCTATCATTGAACTTCTTATGGAAAAGTGATGCAAGTATACATTATAGAATTTTTCTACAACCTATTATAGTAGTACTATGTTGCTTTTGTCAGCTTGATAGTGAACACCGAATGTGCTATTAACACAAGCATTACCCGTGTTTACTGATAATGAAAGTATAATGTAACAAAGATGCCTATATCTGGCTTGAAATGGCTTTATTTCAATATTTAAAGAGAATATAATGTACAATAAGATAAGACATTTGTAATAATGAAAAAAAAAACTGACATCTTATTCATCTGGTTCTATAATATCGATATCGCGATTTATATAATTAAGTTGATTGTATACTAAACGTTTAATATGTAACAATTGCAATCTAGCACGCCATTCGTCCACAATATCACTTATTTTTAAACCATCTATTGTAAATGGTAACATATTTGATACAGAATAATAAAAGTTATACATCGAATTTAAATTTTCTTCATCCTGATACAAATCTAGTATAATCACCACATGTTCCAACAATTTAATAACAGTTTTATAGGTTTTGAATGGTTTTTGACAAAAATAACTTTTAACGATAATATCATGTACAAACCTGTAAAAATATTTGTATAGTTTAATTTTCTAATATTATGTTATCATAAATATAAAGAAAAAGTCTTAGATTTTTGTTTTGGAAAATTAAATTATGATCATTTTTTGTATTGACTTTGAAATTAATTATAATGAATCATTGACACAATTAGTAATGTAAAATAAAATACTTAGAAAAATGTATTATGGTAATTTGATTTTTTTTTTATGTATTAAATATTAAAAATTAGTTTTAATATTGAATTTGAGATGAATATTTTTAATAACATTATTTAACTACAATGACACTTACCAATCTTTCAAGTAATATGGAAATGTTTTTGTGCTGATCACTCCCAAAAGTGATAAGTATAATTTGAATGCTAAATATGTATACAATTTTTTCATCAAATTATTTTGTATAGGTAGAAATACATTGATAATCAGTTTACCAAGTTCAAAATCCGTATATATTGACCACAAATAATCATTAAATGATATAAAAGCAATCTCATCATTTTCATCCAATGCTTTTTCAATACAATCACTAAATAATTGTTTTATTATATGCAAAGGTTTTCTGTAATTATTATCAAAGAAAAAGGCAACACATAATTTGGCCAATATTAATAGATCATTGCTACTAAATCCATTATCAGTTTTCAAAACATAATATGATATCAAGTTCATTAACAATTCAATGTTGTGTTGTCTTATTTGTTTTAACTTGTTTTTTTCGTGTTTTTCCAACGTTTTATAATTGTTTAAACAATCCAAATCAACACTCCAATTAGAAAAACATTTCTTAAGATCCTGAAAATAAAATTAATTAAATTCTTATTAAGTTAATATAATTGGAAATACATTGATTGACTATCTTAATCAATAATTATACACATAAGAGAAAATTTAATTAGTGTAGAAACAATAATATTGAATTGAAATTACTGAAAACTCAAGTCAAGAATATTTGAATGCCATGATTTTCACCTGAGGTCTTAATATTTTTTTCATCATATTTAACCATTATAATTATTTAAATGTTTAAGGAAATTAGTGTTTTTACTTTGACCAGAGAAAAATATATTGTAGATGATAGTATATATCACCTTTTTAAAAACAATCATTTTTTTATGGAACGAAAGAACGAAGTTTACGGTCTCAGCTAAGCCAACACGGATCTCATAAAAATTTACATTATAAGATTCAAAAATATAATTATGAACTATACTAAATGTTGATTATTTTGAATGCCTCAACTTAGTATTGAATATGCATTTTATACTTACATCTAAAGCCGGTGACCAATTTGCTTTCATTAAATAATTAAAATGTACATTTGCTAATATTACATTTTCTTCAACTGACATTAAGAGAAGCCTTTTTAAACACGACTCTGATTCAATAGATTCAACATTTATTTTCAAAGTTATTTTATACTTGCATATGTCAGGTATAGCGATTTTTATTAATTTTAATGATGAATTTGAACAATCTTGGTTTAAATCAATTATTACTGGATCACTGACTTTTTCCAAAATAATTTCCTCATCAATAGTTTTATCTTCAATAGTTTCAGCTTTTTTAGAATTTTTAGCTTCTTCAGCTATTTTGTTTTCAATTTGATATCTTAATAATCTAAGAGCTTTTCTTTCTTTAAAAATTTTTCGCTTATTAAACTTATGACGAGACTTGCGAATTTTTTTTTTGGCCCCTCTTTTTTTTTGAGCCTGTTGCTTCATTTACTTTGATTTTCTTCAGTTTTGGCATCTTAAAATATTAAAAATATATATTAATTTATTAAGTATTAAATACATGAATGCAATTAATTTACATAGTTTAAAATCAAAGAATATCTTAAGCTTAAAAAAATCATAATACATGGATATATAATATTTTAATTTTTTAGTGTTTAATGTAAATTGTTAAACTTGTTGACTAAACTTGGTATAGAAAAAACAAAAAATTAGTTTCAAAACAATGTAAAGTATAAGCTATTTGACTACCTATATGTTATATGTTACACCATAAATATAATGCTCACTAGTATTTTATTTCATACATTTTATTTTTCTACTTCCAAATGCCTATTATTCAAAAGAATTTAATCAATTGAAGGTAATTAAAATCACCAAACATAGGCAAAACATGTCAAAGTGAAAGTGTACTGATGTACAAATCTGATGTCAAAGTGTACTAAAATAGTTAGATAGTTTAGTGTCATTTGTGGTGTATAGAACTGAATAGTATGGTAAATTATAATTTATAGGCAACTTTTTAAAATGCTTATAAAATAATTTTGTAACAATTTTTGATAGAAGAATCCACAGTTCAATACTAACAAAATTATGACCTCAAACTTAATGTAGAACACAATGTCACAAGTGTAGGGGTAAGCTGGTGCTAATTCACAAAGAATTGAAAGTCTCTAGATGCCTTTCAGATTGAAAATTGTTAAAAAAATGTTCAATGTATATGAAAATAAAGACATGTTAGAGAGGTACTTCACTGAATATTGGTGACAAAATTTGAATTTGAATTTGTTCTCAAGAGATATAAAATAATGTTTTGTGAATAATCCGTAACAGTTATTTTTTTATTCCTAAAATGAATGGTATATATACATATATATTTTTACACATTATATTATTAATAAATGAAAATAAAATAAATTCTTTAAAATATAAATAGGCCTCATACTTTACAGTAATTTTTACGATGATAGACCGCATACTTAACAGTAATTTTCACTATGGTTAGACCACATTTAGAAAGAGAATTATTTTAAATAATCCGGGGGGCCCCCAGTTGAATTAGTGTTAAAGGGGTTTCATTTCTAAGGATTTTTAATTTATAATTATAATCATTGTGATTGATTTTTTTTATGATCAATTTTTTATGGTTTTAATTATTGACAGCCGTTTTTAAGTGTACAAAAAAAAATTATTGTTATAAAAAAAATCATTTTATAAAATTACATTTTTTGGGGCACTTCTGAAGTAATATATTTGGAACCCTTTAAGTACTAGGCTAATGCTACTTGAACCTTCTTATTATTATATAGAACAGGGATGGGCAACTCAGTTACTAAACGGTCAATTTTTAGAAAATTAAAATCTAGCGGACCAGAGCATAGAAAAAAAAAAGTCATTCAATACATGAATTTTAATTAGCATTTATATACACGGAAATAATAAATTCAACACACATATCACGATATGAATAATACGAAGAAACTGATATAATTAAATAGTTCCGTAGTCGCCATATTTGGATATAGGAATCAGCATCACTGAATATGGTACCTATTTTATATATATTTTTTATAAATAAATACCTAGCTTACTTATGTTGTTAATTATATGTATTTACCTATATTTTAAAATGGTTTCAGATTAAAATTGATACCAATAATGTAACTATTTAAACTTTGTCATTATTGTGAAAAAAATTACTTACTTATGAGGGACTTAAAAACATATTCAATTATATACATATACAATTTAAAAATCCAATTTAAAAAAAAAGTTCATTCTAAAAGATAGGTATTAAGAAATGTAGAACAGCCGTGAGACATCTCTGGGCCCTGCTCATAATATACGTATTATATATTATAACCTGCAATTATATACGTACATGTAAAAGTTCCACGCTTCACACGATTAACCATCGGCGTAACTAGGGTGGGGCTTAGCCACCTAAATTTGTATTTAGTCCCTCTATAAGGTTTTACATTTTAGCCACAACTCGAGCTCATAGTTAAAACCCAAATCCGATAAAATAAGAAAAAAAATGTTTAAAATAACTCATAATTAAGGTCTGGATTTTAATGCAAAGTATATGCATATTTTTTTGGTTGATCATACACAATGCTTTCTAAGAACATAATTCGTTTCATGTACCGAGGGTTTCAAAGTTACAAATTTAATTTTGCATTTTTTTTTTTTTGCATATTTCGACGTTTTTTCATTTTTAGAGCATTTTTAGTATCATTGGGTCATTTTGTTAGTTTTTAATTAATATTTGTTCAAAAATTAAACAAATTTAGTCTATTCAAAATAAAATCAAAACATAAATTATTTTCTTTATATTTTAGTAGGTTTATCGGGTTTTTCCATACACATGTTTTTATCTTATCTTAATTTATTATTGACTGTGGAACGTCACCAGTATTCGGTCATATTATATTTTCTAACAATTCTTGATTAACTATATGACTGTGCAAATTGCGAATAGCTATTACTGGTATTAGTGTACTAAACTGCTGACTGACAAAGTGTCACAGTCACAACTATTATTATTTCTGTGTATTTACTTATTAGATATTACGTATTTATTAAAATGTTTAGCATATTTAAATCAAAAGCTAAGAAAAGTCATAATAATGCATCAAAAAACCAGTCAATGAAAGTTTTACCAGATATGCAATCACCTCAGGTAATACAAATACTCACTTTGGATAATTATTATTTGATATCTCCGTTTAAAATTTTGTTTTAATATTAATTATTGAACAGGTTCTTACAACAACATGAACAACGGAATCGACAACATCAGAAACTGAGCATAGCACTATGAACATTTATTTAAAAATTATTAAAGATAGTAATAATGTGAGAGATTTGGAAAACAAAAAAAACTGGTCCTGTTAAACCGATTTTAGATGTGAGTTGTAATAATTTACTAATATTATATTAATTAAGACAATAATATTTGTAATTATAAAATAAAAATAGAGGTATTCTTTAACTGTTTTATACCTAAGTATAATATTTTAAGTTCACTGTTTTTACATTACTTATACAAAATGTTTTTTTTAACACCAAATTACAAACTTTAAAACCTATTATTTTATATGTAGATTTATCTATAATGTACTTATGAAATATTATAATACAGTAACTAAATATAAATTACCTATATTTTATTATTTTTACAAATTATTAATTATTATTTATTGAGACTTATCCTATGACAGTAGCTGGAAAAAAAACAGGTATTTTAATGCAAAGTATAATATTTAAAACAATACTCTTGGCTCGAGTACAGCTTAGAAAAAAATGCTGCATTTTGATTTTGCTGTCAACATTTTGGTTGTGGTGATGTTGATAAAGTATTTGCAAAAACTAGCTTTACAAATTGAAAAAAGGTATTAACAAATTTAATGTATTGTATTTTAGTTCTAAAAATAATTGATGTAAATATAAATCTAACAATAAATATATAAATATAAACTTAAGTGTATCTAGTTTCTAATAACTTATAATTTTATAATTAACTTATATTTTTAATTCCTTTTATTTATATATTATTTATTAATTATTAGATGAGAGGTGCAAATTCAAAAATTTCAAAACTAAAAGCACATACTGCTACTAAAGAGCATATGTTAAATATTTCTAGAATGTCAGATTGCAAAAACAGTGTAGCTGCTAGATGTGTTAGTTCTCAAATATCAATTGTTCATCAAAAATTTGTTGAAAATAATAGAAATTATTTAAAAAAGCTTACTAACATTGCACTGTTTTTGGCTCGTCAAGGAATTGCATTTCATGGACACAAAGAAGACCCAAACTCACCTAATCAAGGTACCCATCTAATTAATGAAAGTATCTGTTGAATAAATAATTAAAACTGATATTTTTCTTTTGATTTTTAATGTTTTAATTGTATTACAAGTATTTAGGAAATTTTATTGAAATGTGTAAATTATTTTCCAACCACAATTCAGAGTTTAAAACATTATTTAACTATTCAATAAATTACACTAGTCCGCTAATACAAAACAAACTTATTAGCTTATGTGCCAATAATGTTCAAAGTATGATAATATCTAAGGTTAAGGATTCTGGATGTTTTTATATTATGTGTGATGAAGCAAGATAATTAAAACATTAATACAAACTACACAATTTTTCTATTTATTTATAAATAAATAATGTATAATAATAATAATAAAGTAATTTTTCAAAGGAGTCATAAGCAAAAGTACATGTCTATCTTTATTAGATACACAAAAGATTTTGAATTACTTGAAAGTTTCCTGGGTTTTGTAAATGTTTCACAGAGTCAATCTGCTGCTTTATTATTAAGTTTTATTTTATATTTCTTAAAAAAATTAAACATAGATATTATTCTTATTTTTGCTCAATTCTATGATGGGGCCAGCGTGATGCCTGGTTGTAGAGGAGGTGTGCAAACATTGTTTAAGAATTATCATCCTAGTGCTATATACATTCATTGTATGGCCCACAGGCTAAACTTGGTGATGGTTAATATGTGTAAAAATGTGAAGGTATGTACTATATATATATATTTATGTATATATAAATCTGTTATAAAATAGGTACTTTAATAGGATGTCAGCTCATTAATATATATTTTTTTTGGCCCAAAACAACATTATAGTTTAGTATTCAGAAAATCAAATTTTGTGTTATTAGCTTTAATAATGTACAGCATGCAATAATATATATCTATATAATATATATAATAATAATATATCTATGCCTACTATGTAAAAAACTTCAAGATATGCAAGTAAAACTAAAAATGAATCTTGTAACATTATCAAGTATTTGTGATACTCATTAGGTGTGTAGACACAAAAATGATAAAGCTGTTATTGAAAACTTCAAATTCATTGTAAATGTTTTACAAGAAGAGGTAGAAGAAAATAATGATCAAAATTTTAATTAAGCTATTTGTAAATATTAGATTTCTGATAATAAATTATGACATACCTATGTTAAAAATTGTATAATATATTTTTATAGGAATATTGGCCATAATGTTGAAAGGAAAATTTGTTGTATATTTACATATCATGAATAATGTATTAGGTATTATTAAAATTTTGAGTTGTAAATTACAAATGAAAAATGAAACTTAAGGAAAAGCTGCTAATACTGTTGTTGGAGTAATTAAAACATTTGAGGATAGTAGAAATTCAGAAAGTTTTTCAAATCTTTAGGAAAAAATTAAAAACTTTTCACTAGAAAACTATCGATTTGCAAATTCCTGCTAGAGGTATGTTATTATTTACCATGTATCACTAATTTAATTAAAATTAAAAATGTATGCAATTATAAATACTATTATTTAATTTTTCAGTGTCTAAGAGAAAGAGAAGAGAGGTAACATAACTTAATGATTTTGTAGTGAGCACTACAACAAGTGCTATTGATAAGAAATTTCAACAAGATGGTGTAATCACTTCAATTGATTTTTGGAAAATTTATGAATTTTTCCCTGTACTTGATAATTTAATAGTCAATCCAAATTTTCAACACAAAGCTTAGATTACTAATTATTTATATTATTATTAGTAGTTATAAGGTAATAAAATAGCAACCAACTAATATTAAAATAATTTGACACATAATAGGCAGAGTATTTTTTACATTTTTACATTGAATTATTTAAATATTTTGACCTAAACATAGATCTTTTAATTTTTGTTTTAGTTTTTATTTAATATAGATGAATATGCATCAAAAGTGTGCACTAAAAGTAGCAAAAAGATGTTTAATAAATGCTTAAAATAGAGACAATTCTATAAGCGGTATGAATGTTGAAGATAAAACACAATTTCAACTGTTGAAATCAGTTTTACAACATGAAGTGTATCCAAATGTTTATATATTATTAAAGACTACCTTCACTATACCCATAAGTTCAGCTTCGTGCAAGCGATCTTTTTCGTATATGAGGAGAATTAAACCATACATTAGGTCAACTATGATCTAAGACATATTCAGTGATCTGGCTATAACTAATAGAAAAAGAACTAACTAATTTAATAATTGATAATGATATTTTAAAATTATTTACATCAAAATATAGGCGTAGGTATACAGTTATAAATTATAATATAATATATTTTACTTATTTAATTATTTATATTTTGTTTTTAATGACTAGGTTATACTTGATTCTATGGTTTTAGAGAACTTATTGTGACAATTACATTTTAGTGATGTTTCCAGTGGGAGGGGGATCGGTCCCCCACAGGTTATTTTTAAGGTAGGTTTTCTAGCCCATGTAACTATTAAATCTTAGTTACGCCCATGCAATTTACTAAACTAAACATTTAATTTATTGAAATTTAATTTGCATATAAATGTGTGATTTTATGTGTTTAAGACGATGCAAGTATCAAAATTTCAATAAGACGTTTAGTTTTTCAAATATTAAAAATCTTAAAAGAGACATTTTTGTTAAACGATGCGTCATGGCGAGTGGCGATCGAACTACGAGTCCGCCGACCGCCACTATCTAATCATTTAATCTAATTTTACAAATTTTACACACTACACTCACATATATATATATATATATATAATTAAATATTATTACATTATATTTTTAAAATTTGGTTGAACGTATCTATTATGTAATGTTTAGTGTGTAAAATACGTAGAATTAGATTGGATAGTAGTGGTCGGTGGACCCGTAGTTCGATCGTCGCTTACCATGACGCGTCTTTTAATATACTAATTAATTTATACTTCTAATTAATAATACTTTTAATATTTGAAAAAATAAATGTCATATTGAAAATTTGGTACTTGCATCGTCTTAAATACATAAAACCATACATTTATACGCAAATTAAATTTCAAAAATAAAATGTTTAGTTTGATAAATCATTGTGTGAAGGGAAGAACTTTTACACGTATAAGATGACAATTGATGGGTAGAGCCCAATGATGTCCGCGTCTTTTTTCAATTACTCATTACTTATTGAATAATGTGAATAGAAACGTAAAACCTATACCATTATTCTTAAAACTGAACATTTTTTCGAATAAAAAAAACATATTTTTTGTGTTATGTGCTCCTTGAACAATCACAAAGCTGTACACCACCGATGTTAATCAATTAAAATAAAAATGTTATCGGATTGTTTTAACCTATGTGGCTGGCAAAGGGGCGACAAAGTGTGGATCAAACGGAACGCAAATGACAATAGATTCCAAAATTACTAACGAAAAAATGTCGGTACGTACCTTGGGTAATGTATGAATACAACGCAATTCAATCAGTTAGCACCAAATGATTAGAAAAAATAAATGCCTAATGCGGATTGTCAAACCACGATGGCAACTAGTTGATAAATGACGCTTACTGTTGCAGTGTTGTTGTTTCTCAATCGCAACTAGTAGACGCCATTTTGCCCACTGGAGTGATGTTGGTAGCAATACAGTTCGCGGGCGTTTGGGGGTAGCGTTCGACCGTCGCGTCTTAAAACATGCGTTGTATGTTCCGACGTACTACCAACTGCGCACTATTATTGCACGCACCTCCCGAGCCCATTATATTCACCCTCACGCAGCACGACACAGATAAAACATGGCAAAGTAAAATGTCGTCTTATCCGTCGTATGACGAACGGTGCGTTTCGACAGAATATACATTTAAGGTTATAAAGGCGTAGCTAGATATTTCATCAGGGGCGCGAACGATTATCAAAACATGTTTAATCATTTATTAAGCATATTTTTAAATTTTTTTACACGTTTAATTTTTTATTTTATTTTATGATCATTAATTATACACTGTGTCATTGGGTAGGAAATTATGATTTGTATACTTTAATCATTTGAAAAAAAATATGTTGAAAAAATAAAAATTTGAAAAATTATAAGTAGTTTAATTATTGGGTGAAATGAAAATTTCGTTAAAAATATATTTTTTTGCTATATACAGGAAGGGGGAGAGGAATTGTCCCTCTTGGCATCCTCTTGGTTTGAACCGTTTTAGGTTAGCTTAGTAGTATCGACTTATATCGTTTTCGCAAAAATAGCTACAATAACCAGGTAACTAATTTCCTAAACAAGATCGATAATTTCAACTTGGTAAGATGAGAAGTTTAATGATGTTCGGTTACCAAAGGACTATGATAAAAACGCGATAACAATAAACTAATAATTGACATAATTATCGTAGTTTTAACTTTATTGTATTATTAATTATTAAAAATTCTTATTAAATATTATTGTATTGAATTTTAATAATATAAACTACGACATATCATTTCGCCAGCGTTAAATCGGAGTATATCTTGTTTCGTAAGAAATGCTCGTAGTCAAGCTATCAAATATTACACCAACTAATGGTTCATAAACTAAATAGAGTTGAAACCACGGTCTTAGAAGATAAGATACGACAATTCTACCTAATCAGCGTTTCGCTCACGATATCTAAAACATTTCCGCTACTGTCTACCTTTTGTAAAAACGCTTCTGGTTATACGTTTATGAAGTTATGTAGTAAATATTATTTTATAGGGCTACAGCAATTTAGCCGATAGTATTTTAGCCAAAAATATTACCGACAGTATTTTAGCCGACAAATAATACAGCCGATAGATATAACACAATATTTCAGCCGACAAATAATACAATAACCGTGGTCGTCACCTTATCTTCTACATATTAAGTTAAAAAGCAGTTTATCAAATCAGTTCTTATCAAATATTTGTCGGCTGTTATAATTTTCGGCTAAATTACGGTGAGCTATTTTACGAGTGCCCACAAATTTTAACAGAATTTCGGTATTAAACATTTATTTCCTAATCTTCAGCGATCTTTTATAAAATGGTCAAAATTGGAAATATTTTCGCCTAATCAAGTGGACGTAGTATACTGGGTCGGCGGAGGAGAATTTGTGGACTTCTAAGACCATGATTAAGACTATTGACCCAGAAACTAGTCGATTTTATGCATTAGTATTTTTCTGATAAATGTTATCAAACAGTTTAATAAACGAAATGTTCATAATACTGTGTTCTATAATGTTTCTAAGCGTGGTGGTCACTAATGCGATGCAAGAGACGATACAATAAAAAAAATGCGATTAGAAATTCGATGCCGTATCGTCTACTATGTACTAGTATACAACTAAAATAATGCGCACTGGCGCGCGCGATTACAAAGCAACAACGATAATTATAGGTATCGATCGTTCGGTGATAGTATCGCACGACTTGTGATTACAACTGATAACGTATATCGTGCCGGTAAGTCGTATCGAGGGATTCATGTCGCTTTACCTATCGCATAGCATTAGTGGACACGGTGCCTAACGTTTTCTAACCGTAATTGTTAACAAAAATTATTTACATAACGGTTTACTCCACAAAATTGTTGCGGCAAAAATCACAACTGTTAGAAAATACTGTGTCGATCGCATACTCTGTTAAGCGTATTACTGTAAATGTATACGCACTAAATAAATTGTATGCAATATGATGTACTCGAGAAATAAATGATCATTACTAAATTCGATATTGGATGGTTAAACAAAACGTTAACATACCGCGAAAACTATGTAGACAATGTAGTACGACAGTAAAATAGTGAATTAATCTCTTTTCCTACACTTCCGTTGTTCTAATATTGCGTGTGGTATGCCGTTCATCAAGACTTACGTTTACATCCACACAATATATTGTAACACTTCGGTATAATATTAAAATATAATTTCACTATTTCAATATTGTATTAATGCAGTATTCTGTATTCGATATGAATTTTTTTTGTTATCAATCTTAACGAGTGCATACCAGTCGATTGCAGGATAACGCCCACATATCGATGTCGTGATAAGCTGATAATCAAATGGCCGAATTAGCATATTCCTGATAGAATTGCCGTTTATTTATTTTACTCCAAACTGTTTTTAAAAGATCATGTATAAAAATTAATTCTATACTACTCTGATTTCTTGCGAATTTGTTTTTTATATTTTTGTCTCATTTCCCACTGACAACACAAATCAATTGTATCAAAATGATGCAACAATACATGAAAGAAATGGAACAAGTAATATTTTCTTCATGTATTCTTCAATAGTTTTACTTTTTATTTTATCTTATTTTTTTTTGTATCGATCTTTTTCTTCATCAGGAGCCATACGATCCTGATGAATTTGTTGAACGTTTAGCTTATCGAGTATTTGGAAACAATGAAGACAATGATAACACGGTTATAGACGATGTTCAAGATACATTTGTCCAGGCAATTAAGTAATATGGTTTAAAAAAATAACTATGAAATTAATTTGTACTTTTAATTTGTTATTTGTACATTACAGAGACTTAAAATTTTTACAAGAACGACAAAAAAGAAAATGTGAAAAACTGGAACAAGTGTGTCGAGAAAAGGAATCATTATACGCAGTACAAATTCAAAGTCTTCAAGAACAAAATAAAGTAGATTTAATTTTTTTTTTTTTTAATTTTACTTAGTTTTATTTAAATGTATTTAATTTTTAACTGATTAATTAGGCTGGAATATTAATTTTTCAAAATTTGGATGAACGTATAAATTATGTAGCAACAAAAGTAATTCATGTTGGTGATCAGCTTGAATCAATCAATACGCCACGTTCAAGAGCTGTACAGGTGCATAAACTAATTGGATATTTAGAAGAGTTTATGTCTGCTGGACCACTATCAGTAGATATTTTTAATGATCCATCTAAGGTAAAAATATATTGTTACTGATATATTATAAATATTTATTTTTATAAATATTTATGTGGTTTTTGGTTTATTTTAGATTGATGAAGCTGCTGATGTGATACAAAAACTATTTCCTATTGCTCAAGAGCTTCCTCCAGGCAAGTAAGTTTAAGATAAAATATAGTAATTTTATATACTTTAAAGTTCCTATTCTTAAATTATAGATTTGAGGAAGCCAAAATGAAAATAGTTAAAAAATATGATGAAATTGAACGTTCATTAATTGAAGAATTTATTAAATGTCATTCTCAAAAAAATTTAACTCGGATGAAAGAAGTAGCAGCTATATTAACTCACTTCAAAGGTTATTCTCAGTGTGTAGATGCATTTATTGAATACAGTCAAGCGGTACTAATTATATTAAATTATTTAAAAAGTATATGAGTTATTTTTTTTTTTTAATTTATTTATTGAATTAGAATTCTCTTTCCGGGAAAAATCTCTTTGCTGATATTATTCCTGTCTGTGAAAACAACCTAAAAATCATTGAAGCAGTATTTACTAATCCAGATCAAGTTATGGCTAAATTTATTTTAAATATTTATCAACTTAAATTACAGGTATTTGTGTTTTATATATTTGTATTTCATTATTTGGTATTATATGTTTTTTTATTTTTTTAGAATTATATTATTACAATACTATCTGAGGTAAAAGATAAAGATATTGCCAACTATTTAGAAAAGCTCTCTCAGCTTTATAAAAAGTAAGCTTAATTAATTTACATTATGATTCTTTTTACTGTTAAATTACTAAAATATTTTATTCAGAAATTTTTATTTTTCAGAACCACTATATTATCCAAAAATCTTTCACGTTTAAATATTGGAAATGATGATATGTTTTTAAATAAAATGCAAAAAAATATATTTCAGAAGTATTTGGATGCATACTTTTTGTAAGTTTTTTTTTTTCAAATTTTTATCATAATTTAAAAAATAAAAGTAGTATATTTTATAACTTTATTACTTCCAGTTCTGAATTGAAGAATCTCAAAGATAAATTTCTAACAATTTTACAACGGTTCTATGAATCTAAAGGACATCAGAAAAAACAAATTCAAGTTGGAGGGTAAAATCTGTGATTTTAATAATTTGATATACTTAAAATAAATACAACTTAAGTTATATTATCCTTGTTTATTAAGGAAATAAATCTAGTATCTAACTTATTTTTAATTAATTTTGCAAATTGCCTACATTATTTATTTGTTAATGATTGATATCCATTTAAACAATCTAAGTAATATAGTGAAAGAACCAGGCGCGGATCTAAAAAATATTAAGAGCAGGTGCTCAAAAAAAAAAAAAAGAAATTGTTACATCTTTCCGTTTTATATTTAATTTATTAGTGCTAACTTTTTTTTTTTTTTTAATCAGTATTTATTAAATGCAAATTTAAAAATTATATTAATTTCTTACATACGTATAATGTAACTGTAATTTTCTTGAGTGTTTTCTATTGAATTCTTCAATAAATTCCTCTAGAGTAATTTTAATATCCCTATGAATATTATGAATCATAAGTCCATATAATCTATCTTCTCTTATTGTTGACCTTAAATTATCTTTATCTTTGGGAAATTTTTATAAAATACCTGCATGTCATGTCTCCATATATTTGTCAATGCATGGTATTTTTTATAATAATCTAACTTTGAACTTTGACTGTCAATAAAGTTACCAATATCTATTGCATCAACAAATATATATTTTTGCACATTATTGTCAACAACATTTTGTAAATCTTCAGAATTATTACTATCATGAATAGGTGCTGAATTATCATTACTAGTAAGTACTTATATTTTTTCATGATTTACTTTGGATCAATCTTGCAATTCATCTGAACGATCATAATTACTGTGAGATTTAGAGTAATTTTTAGAACCTGACATCGTATAATTATTATATATTTCACCTTGTTTATTTTTAAAAATTAAATATATAGGATAACTGAATGTAGTAGTAATAATAATAATAATAATAAAAAAAAAACAGTTTTATAGGTACCAACAATCATATTATATTCGCTAGACAATCACGAGTCAACTGAGACACATAAATAAAATGAAAATATAACAATTAATAAGAAATAGAGATATAATAAGAATAATTATTAGTGTTTTCCACCTTTGTTGTTACATAAGAGTATACGAATAGAATAACGAAGAATTATTCTATTCATCATGAGTTACAATGGCAGAAAGTACCGATAATATTATTATTATTTTTTTTTTGGAAAATAACAAATGTTATAATTTATTTTGTGGGTGCCTTAGACGACAATGTGTGCCCAAGCACCCGTAGTCCCCTCTAAATTCGTGCATAGAAGAATCATTTTTTTTTTTAATTTCCAATTATAATTGTATTAAGCATCCATATCTTGTTTTATATATTTCCTTGTTACCATAATTATTTCCAGTTTTCAAGAATTACGTAGAGATTTGCAGACCGTCATTAGCACTAGGACAAACTTTAATATTATGCATATTGAAGATTATGGCGGTGAAACATTTTTATCTGAATACGTAGCTACTTCTCTTCTTCAAGAATTTAATCAAGCATTAGATAGGTGTTGTACGGTATTTATCATCTATTTTTCTTATAATATTTACTATTTAAGAAAATTATTATAATGAAATTTGATTAATACAACTTATTTTTTATTATTTTAACTTGTTTTTTTTAGTTATCTTCATCATCTGATATCCCATCAAATAGCTATCAAATTTTTGAATTATTATCATCTTATCTGATTGACGATTATGTTGATTATGGTCTAGAACTAGCAATACAGTCGGTGCCAATACCAGAAGCTAAAACACATGATCCACCGAATGTTTACTTTTTTGATGTTATAAAACAAGTTAATAAAATTATTTTGTTATTTGAAAACCAAATTTCAGATGCTTTAGTTCCTTTAATTATGTATGTATTAATAATTTTCATTCTATTATCTTAAACAATAAATTCAGATTTTACAAATAAATTATTTTGTCATTTATAGTACAACACCTAAGTATTCACAGTGTGTAAGCTTGAAGAAAAAGAAACTGGAACAAGTAGAATCAAAAATTGATTTTGGTCTTGATAGGTTTGTTAGAAATTAATATTTTTTAAATATTTATTTTGTAATTTACCTATATTTATTTTAGATCTCTAAATGCAATTACTGGTTGGATAAAAATTTGTCTTACTTCGGAACAAAAAAAGTCTGACTTTAAACCAGACTCTGATGTTGACACCATGACATCTGTAGTAAGAACATAAAGTATAGATTTATTTCTAAATATTTTACATGATAATAACTCACTAGAACTCACTAGTTGTAGTGACAAGTGTTATTAATCTGGTAGTTTACAATATTTGAATAATAATTGTTCTTCAAAAATTATTATGATAATTAATAAGTACTAATTATTATTATTATTACTTATTAATTATATATAAATACATAAATAAATAATAAATACAAAGGTAGTAGGATAATTACTGTAATTTTATGGTACAACTATAATTAAAATTTATTATTTAGCATAATTTCTTATATCTTATTAATTATAACATTTGTAGAAATATTTACTCCTCTTTTTCATGATTTTCAGGCTTGTAAATGTGTTGTGCAATATTTGAGTGCTAATATAAAACATATACGGGAATGTTTGGATACTAAGAATGCTGAATTAGTTTTGGCAGAACTAGGAATAAAATTCCATCGAATAATCTATGAACACTTATTACAATATACTTATAATTCTGCTGGTAATAATTTATTATTTTTATAAACACTTTTTGAGTTATAAACAATATTTTTCTTCAGGTGCCATGTGTGCAATATGTGATGTGAATGAATATAGAAAATGTGTAAAAGATTTAGGTTCATCATTAGTAATTGATTTATTTGATACTTTGCACGCATTATGTAACTTACTACTTGTAAAACATGAGAACTTAAAACAAGTCTGCTACGGTGACACTTTGGTAAATCATTTTTAAATTTATGCAATATGTTCTTATATATATTGTATTATTATCAGATGTATAATATTTAATTACATTTTGTAGGTGGGTTTAGATCATTCAATACTCAGCAATTTTATTCAATTACGTAGCGACTTCAAATCACAAAAGTTAGCTGTTTTATTAAAGAATCTAACATCTAGATGATGCTCAACAACTCATCGTCAATATGCTTAATTCCATTATAAAAAAAGTTAGGTTAGGTGCCGAGTTAGTTCTACACTGGTTGTATTGACTGATTTGAATTAATTATGTATCAGGAAGTTTATTTATTTGTACAATAATTTATTTTGTTACTTAGATATAACAATTCAATTTTTTTATATCAAATATATATTTATATATAATATATACAAATAATATACTTTAGCTTATTAAATATTTGTAGTAATCTGTTTAAATTTTTACTAATAATTAGTTTAAATGTTAAATATATAATTTTACAAGTGATATGTTATACATAGTTTGTAGTATATTCATTTAGCAATAACATTTTTATTAACTTGTGTCATACATATATATTTATATTGATTGAATATTATTTTAATTTCATTATCAGTATATTGAAACATGTTAAATGTGTATACACACACTATTAAGAATATTTTATAATAATATAATATAAGTATATTTTATACCTAATAAATAATTGTATGTTACGGATAAAACTTATGTCAATTTTAAATACTAATCAATAAAATAGTAAATTTAATATTTAAATATGTCACATAGTAATGTATTTGTGTAATGCATTGTGTTATTATGTTCAATCATCATGTTAGGGGCGTATTTAGACTTACTTCTAGGGGGGGGGAAGACGACTCGAATATGTTTTTTTAATTCAAGATCAAAATGTGCAAGTAAAATTTTTGGTAATATTTAAATCAAGTGAATCCTTAATATTTGTGGTTTTTTTTTTTTTTAGTCTTATGCCGGGTCCATCAAATAAATAATGCTTTTGGAATCTTTTCTAATCCAAGCTTGTAAGCCATTACAATGCCCACTCATATTATTTCCTCCATTACAGGAGTAGGTAGCCAATAAGCGAGGTCGAATTAAGGAGGGGGTCTAGCCGGGGCTGCAGCCGTGAGGTCCTCTCGAGTACCCAACTGAAAGGGGCCCAAACAATTTTAAGCCGATACACATTTTTTATCATACTAAAATTAGTAGTTCTATAGATATAAATTGTATATACCTATTAGTTTTATGATTTTATAATGCAATTGACAATTTATGAAATAGTTAAAAAAAATGTATCGTCCTGCGAGCGTAGCGAGCGGGCGGCACCCGTTTCACCCAAAATGAACCTTTCCCGTTTCGACCAAAGCCATTTTAGTCGTTTTCAAATTAAGTTGGCAATGGTTTTTAAATAATATAATACATATACTATTATTAATTTTTATTATTATTATTAAATTTAATTATAGATTATTACAGTTATAGTACAAAAAAAAGCATTAAACAATAATTGTTAATAAACTATTATTATTATTACTTATAATTTACACTATATTGTTCTTTACTAAAATTCACTAAAAGTCATAAAAATAAACATTTACAAAAATTATCATTTTTTTTAAATTTTTACACATGCTTTTTATAAACTCATACCTCCTAATTTCGCCAGATCTATATAAAAGTATACGTTTTTCATTATATTCCTTTCTTTTCTTCATTTTTTTTATCTTCAGTTTTTTTAGGAATTTCAACACTATTAATTTTGATATAAGTTCCCGTCTGGATGTCATTGCGTATAATATTTAACCAGATTATTATTGACGGAAAATTTGAGTAAAAATGATTCACAGGCATTTGTTGTGAACTGTATACTCGCTGAATTGCATGTCCATAATGTTGGACTAAAAACACTGTCCTCAGAAATATAGTTTTCTACTAAATAGTCGCAATACTTAACTATAAAATAATAATACATAATAGTCAATAGGTACCTACATAACGGCGATAATTTGAGTGGAAATGCGTAGCTGTGATAAAATTATTATCAATGATAAATTGTGGTGCTGTAAAATTTTGCCGAAAGTCTTTTATTAATCACAACAATTTTTGTTCATTTTATAAAAAATGCTCTTAAAACTAAGAAAATGCACTAAAGTCGTCAAATAATGCAAAAAAAGAATTACTGTAAAATAATCAGTATCCGTATCATCCAAAATACCAACTGTAATAATGTATAATTAAATATGTATTTTATAAAAACTTTTCCTATGATTTTTTTTAAAAATAGTCAAAATAATAATAATTATAAAAATAAATAATAGTATATGTATTATATTATTTAAAAACCATTGCCAACTTAATTTGAAAACGTCTAAAATGGCTTTGGTCAAAATGGGTATCTGGGCGAAACGGGAAAGGTTCATTTTGGGATAAACGGGCTGCCCCCCTTTCGAGCAGCTTTGTAAAGTATGTTTTGTCAAAAAGGCTCATATAAAATTTCAGCCCCAGTGCCCAAAAGGTGCTTGATTCGGTCTTGCCAATAAGGTATTTTTTCCAGCTTAATGAATTATAATTCATAACAGTAAAAAAAAGTTCAAATGGTTATTAAGATAAATCAGTACATAAATTAAAATTGTTTATAATTGATACTTATACTATGATCGGTTATTATTTATCCTTAAATTATAATCGATATTAATCCGTACATAAATTATAATCAATTATAATTGATACAATTTTACAATCAATTAAGAATTATAATCTGAGAATGAACTGTTAAAACTAAATTAATTAAGTTAATGATAATTTCAATTAATATATATAATTAAATATATAAATGAATAAATAATTAGAAAAAAATAATAAAAAATTCTTACATTTTTTTTGTAAAAGGAAGCAGAAACCAATTAAATTCAGTATAATTATAATGACACAAAACTCGTTTCTGTTCATATTAATTTAACAGTGGTAAAAGAGAGATTTTAAGCTATAAATATCATTACAACAATATATGATACCATGGGCCCATAACCGTTACGAGAACACATATATTTATGTTATATTCGTAAAATATTTTACATTTACATAATTTATAAACAATGTTGATTATAATCAAAGTCAATTAAAAATCGACCTTTTCATCTTTTCGATTATATCAATTGTTTATGAAGTATCAAAAAGAATCGATTAATTCGATTACATAAAATAACCGCGCAGTCCTAGTTCAGTCCATCGGAAAAACTCCAGAATTTTCGCAGGAAAGTAATTTTTTTTTAAAAAAAGTTACAAACCCATCATGTCCAAAGAGCGCTGGTTTGAATCTTTTTTTTATCCGTGAATTTATATGTGAAGAAATAAATGTTGAGGTTTACTCTAAAAAACCACATGTTGCTGACACCGTTAGTATAATTTATGTCATTACAATTAATAACATCGATTACACAACAAAATGTATACACATAAAAATTAAATCCTTTTTTTAATTGTATGTATGTATTGTTTTTCTACCGGATGGTAGATATTATTGAATGCCTACATTTTATTCATATACGGTTTTTAACATGAGGTCGATATAAAGCGTCGATTACAACATTTTTGGATACAATAAAAGTGTGCTGATAAAGGTTTTTTTTTTTTATAATTATGGCAACGCGTTGTTGTTATAGGGGTTTTATTTTCATACGGGTAAGTAAATAAATACCGGCGACCAAGTTATTAAACTACGTTGTAGAACAATAGTTAATATCGGTGTAGGCATTGGAAATGTTAACCGATTACGCACACCACAACGATGGAAGTACATGGCAGGTAATATTGAAAAAAAAAAAACGTTGGCCTTGCAAAGAATAATAATATTGTATAACCGACGGTTTACAAAGATAATATTGGTCTAGATACGAATCGCATTAATCAACCGTCGGATAATTAGCGGGTAATGGCCGAAGGGGAAAAGCATCGCCTACGTCGCCTGCAACCGCGCGTTGGATTTCGTTTATTCGTTTTATTTGCGTCTCGACAGCACGACATCACCAGTGATCCATCGGCGGTCCCCGCGTTCCGTTTGAATTTTTATGCGACACCAGCCTTCATTCACGACTGCGCGCGATAAGTGGGCGCCCGTTTGAATTTCAATGCAATTACGTTTTGGGCACACGAAACGTTTGGTCACGACCACGAACTATGATTATAATGGACTGGTTTCGAAATGATGAGAAGTGGGATGGGTCGCAAATGTCTGTGCTCCTCCTTAATACTCGGGATTTTTATGCTTTCAAGCACAACCTGGGTTTTAAGTACCATATCACCATTTATTCTTTGATCACACTATACCGCCTTATTTTTAAAATATTGATAGTGAAAATAATTTATACATTCATAATTATTATCTTCTAACTTGTTTGATCTTCGATAGTTCAATACTAGACATTTTAGATTTTGTTTTTACTTTTGAAAATTTAAAATGAAAGCAAGGAAGTGCTCAATTCTGGGATGCTCAAGCGTAAAAAAAAATCCTAAGATTTCTCTATTTAAAATTCCAAAGAATAATTCTTTGGCATGGAATTTGGCAATCAACAAGTATATTTGCATAGACTATGTTATGAAATTAGTGTGTGCTGATCATTTTCTTCCGGAAGATATTGTGTCTACATACTCAATCCCATCGGATGTTGCTATTGTAAGAATTAGTTAGTTAGAGTTAATGTTGGTCCTAGTTATTTGATGTGCATTAAAATGCTCAATCTACTGAATGCTGAGCTCCATTATACTTATTACTGTATTATTGTTTATAAACCAGGGCTTTGCACCCGAATTAACCCGAACCTGTAATAACCCTAAAAACCCTTAAAAAATCAAACACCCAACACCCATATAACCCGAATGATTTTTTTTTTTAAAACACCCGAATTAACCAAAACCCGAATAATTTTTTTATTTTACAATCTTTATGTGACATCATTTTGCATGTATTTTTGTGGTTATTTAAATTTGTCATTAATTGTTTAATAGTAAAATTATTATTCACAGGAATAATTTCACAAATAATATACAAAATTGTTAATTAATCTAAATTTATCTAAATAAAGACAATAGCAATATATCATGACAGGTGTGCATGAATGTTATGGTATGTTGAATATTCAAGTGTAAACAATTGGGATAATATTTTTAAAATTATCCCAAGCAGATACGTTGTATTATTATAATTTAATAGGTAATAGGTCTTTTACGAATCACCGAGTCGTTATTTATTACAATACTGTAGGTCTGAAATAGAACTGATGTCTCGCATATGATTACCTAAATTGTTGTTCGCGTTATTCGTATTTGTTCAGTATATGG